TGCCTTTAAGGTTGTTTGAATTCAATGCCAGGGGTTGAAAGATGGACGAGTCTCCATTTAAAGATATTTAGTGTGGTAAGGGTAAACATTATGCCAGCCCACATAGCTTAATCGGTTAGAGCGCGAGACTTGTATTCACAACATTGTGGGTTGGATCTCCATTCTGGCCAACTAAAATTACTAATTAGTCTTTCAGATGAGACTTTAAATCAAGGTCCCGTGTATGAGTGCTTAAACACTTGGCATGTTAAAGATCCAGGGGAAGCTTCTGGAAATGGGGCATCTAAATTCTGTATCATTCTGTATCTTGCACTATCCTCCAAAATATAAAATGACTTATACTCTTCATATGGGCTACCGGTGGCGAGTATAAATAAACTCAAATACACATTATGGTCATTTCAGGACCAGTCCATCTGATAAGGTAAATTAAAGCCATTTTCATCATTCAATTAAAGATGTTTTTTTGCACAGAGATAATTTTTGCACAAAATATTTCTGTCATCATATTCTAACAGCATGCCAATTCTGCCTGTACATCCACATAAAAACTGGAAATGTCCTTAAAAAATCCAAAAGATAATCTATAATGTTATTGACCTGAATATTTTCTTAAGTACTTATAATTTTTGCTATATTACTTATGATCAACATTGAACAATATTGCACCCACCTAGCTTGCTAAACAGTCTAGACGGTACCTCAGGGGAATGAAAGGTTACTGAGGTCAAATTTTATTGCAATTTTGACAGGCAGATGCATTTCAATGACAGGTTTATGTAATAAAACATTTGTTATTTTTTGCTGATCGCATTTTATCAGGGTTAGTTTTCAATCCTGAGGCAAATTGCTCTTGAGAAAAGTCTATGATTTAAAGTAATTAAGATTTTTAATGACTTCATCAATGATTGGTTTCTAATTGGTTCAGATATATATTTATTATTTCCTTGTTTGTTTTCAATCAAATTTTGACAATCAAATTTGCCAAATTAGCCCTAGAAAACAATTACGTGCATTTAGATAAATTTAGTATAGTTATAAAGGGTATTATTTTTTTTCCTGAATGAAGAGATGTATTGTATTTATAAATTCTGAAGATATGACATTATGACAAATAATTGGATGGCAGATTTACAATAGGGTGACATCTTCCCCAATTTCCTGATTTACAGCCCTTAGAGAAAAAAGATTTATTGGAGAGAAGAAACAAATGCTTGAAGTTTGTGACAGATTACTTAGAAACATTTTCAATGAAAAATGGAAATATGATGGTGGCTGTAACTTTTCTTTGACACTCTTTATTCAAAACTACATTATTTCTTTGAGTTGATTGAAATGAATTTACATTTTTTTCACTTTGGGATGATTTCTGCTTCTTTTGCTTGAATGAATGATATTGTGTCAGTAATGTAGATTTATTGATATACGAAGCTAATGAATATCCTATCCGATTGTGAATTTCAGTGTTGATATAAAAGTGGTTGTCATTGTGCATTTGTCCTTATTATTAAAGTACATAGTCATGCCCTTTCTTGATTAAGTATACTGAAATCCAATCAGATGATGAAGAAAGGTTGTCAGATAAAAGATAAAAAAAAAATAAAATAAAACATCATATTTATCGAATAGGGGGAATTTTGTGTAAAATGATTGTAATTTTTGTGTAAAATTAAATTTAGATAAAAAGATAACAAAAAAACCTCTGTAACCAAATAATTAGATACAAAATGTATCATATACCTTCATTTTGATATCAATTCAGTTATTTTCTTCTTACACTGACATTCAAGATAGCAGGGTAAATAAATAAAGTGGATTTTTTTGTTAATAATGGGATATGTCTGTATTACATTACAGTGACATTTTTTACATGGATATGTGACATATTGGATAACATACTTGAAATTAAAACCAGCTCTCATTCAGTGTCATTCCTCAAGATATCACTTTAAGCTGACATCTCAAGTTTGTAAATTCAGTAAAATATTCGTTTTCTTATATCATGATAAAGAATAATAAAGTCATGGGTCAAAAGTTGGTCAAGGAGTATTATTGGCATTTTCTTGACATCTGAGATTGTAAAAGGTTTTAAAATTGTTATAGTATAGTTATAAAGCTCAATATGTTTTAAGAGGCAGGTTTTGCCACCTCTGTGCTTAAAATATATATCTTTTGATTTACATAATAAATTGATATCTGTTGCTTTTCTTTTAACCCAAATTCAATGCAAAATTTGTATGAGAAACTTTTACTGGAAAACAAATTAAATGCCAAACTCCCTCTGGAATATGCATTTCGTCTTGTGGGTTTGCTCAAGTATTTGCACCTGTGTACAGCATAGAGTCAGGTCAAACTACTGCCCAGCCCACCAGCAGCTTCTGAATAATTGATTATTGCCACAAGTGTTGACAATAATGGTATGCTAACTGAGGCATCTAAAAGCTTTTATATTAAATGCACATGATTGTGGTACAAAGACATTGAATATCCATTTGACTGTTTATGTTATGAAAAGCACAAAGCTACACCTGTTTTAACTTTGCAGGTAATTTTTCAGTCATCTGCTACAACTGATGCATGTTAAACAAAGCTTGGATGTCAAAAAGTAATAAGATTAAAAATGTTATAATACAGGTGTCATTTGCTCAATTTTGATCATACCATATGTCTTTGAAAATCTTCTCAAATGATTGGCATTATTTTGTCTTCCTAATAACTCAATTTGGAGTGTAGGATAGTTTTGGTAATTCTTATATTTCCTTACTGAAATCATCTAGGAGCAGTCTATAATGTTAGAAATATAATAAATTGGGATCACCACAATCAATTTTAAATAAATACTTACGTTTAATAATTTACGTCGGACTAGTAATCTAAGGATTGCTGACCGCGTGGGTTCAAACCCTGTCAGGGGCAAGCCGTTGTTTCCTTGAGCAAGAAACTTTACATTTATTGCTTAGTACTGGTTGGTTCCAGGAACGGATTGGAGAGTGTTTCAATAAGCTTACAGCTTCCAACACAATCGAACTAAAATAAATTTGTATAAAGTAATAATTTTAATAGTTTGTCTCTCCAAAAATTTTCAGATCCTCAGTCCTATAAGATTGGTAAATTGAAGTGTTTGAGCACATACCATTCTTGCTGTTGTAACACCTGTACACAAAGGAAATATGGTTACTTATCATGTAGTTAATCTTTAATTGTTGAAACCAAGGTAAACACAGGTTATGTAGATGGTGATATATTGGGGGGAAATGAAACCGGGAGAGAAAATCTTACTATGTAAACATACTGTAGATAGTTGAAGAGAAGTTTCAAGGGCTCTTCTGTCACTTTTAGCAAGTGGTTGTTAAACAGATTTCTGTAAACAAACCAAATAAGTTTTTGATAATAGCAAATGCCAAGTAAATATGACAGTGCATGATTTAAGTAAGATTAGTTACAAGTTTGAGGTGACACTTCTATATTTACTTTAACAGTTAAGAAAGTAAACAAAACTGTATGAATATGAGGGATATGTAGCTATTGAATATTTTGACCAGTATTTTTATTACCTTAAGGCCACTTGACATTGTATCTTTAAAAAATCTCATTAACAAATTAATACATAATTACACTCTTGCTTCAAGCTTACTTAAATCTCTAAGGCCAGTGTCCGTTTGTGTAATAGGTCTACAGTTTCTATATAAGTGTATTTAGGCCCTGGATGCAGTTCAAGGCTTTCTGTAGCAGTTTTGTAGAAGAAAAATATATCTAAAATGCCATTGGTTTCAATTTCCGTGCTAATGATTCTGAGAGGTAGAGTTTGTCTTAGAAATAATAGTGCTAATGGCATAAAACTTAGACAATAAAAATGCCTTTATTTTACTTTTCCATATTGAATGGTTTGACTAAGAAATGTTCTTCTCAAATTATTTACCATTCTTTTAAAACAATTTTAGCACACAAGTACTAGAAACTATTTTCAGTCTTTAAAATTACAACCTCCTGAACAACCGCCTTAATTATTTAGCTGTAAATATTCTTAATATCTTTAATGATAATAATCAGGTATCCATTTTGTCTGAAAGAAAGTCTTTTGAAAATTAAATTTAGAGAAAATACAGTGTTGTCACTTTTACAATACAGCAATAAAGCAACCCAGGGTCAACTGCTAAATTTTATGACTGACAATTTAATGCCACATAATTGTAGGCCTTTAAATATATAATTGTGAATCTTCAGTCACGAAAGAAACGTTAGAAAATAAACCCAGACTAAGTTCTTAAATCCGTTTTGTCAGAATAAGTTAACGCAGTACTTCTCTGACTAAACAAAATTATTGCAACACTTAAATATTATTATTTTTAAATAATCTATTTTTATAACGTTTTAAGCGGGAAGTATTTCATTGAAGTCACTATCTCTGCATCAGACTGTTTAATTTTCAACAAACAGTGCATGAGGTTTAATACATTTTTAGGGTTATAAAAATAACACAAAAGAAATCAATATTTTATCATTGATCAACAGGGAAAAAAGTTTCAAAAGATACTCAAAAAAGAGTGGGTTTGTTTTCAATAGTAAAACCTATATGAAAACTACATTTTATGAAAAGGAAAGAAAGAGAGAGAATCAATTTTTTTTTCATTACCATATTGTTAATATGTGATATGCATATACAGTACTGTTGAAGGTATGTATTTTGTAAATAGTTAGCTCACAGAAGAATCACACTAGATGCTTAAGTTACAAAGACGGTTCAATGGAGCCTAGAATTAGTACTCATCACACTGTCTTTGTCATACTTAACAGTTTGGCAGGTATGGTAAGTTTGTCAGTATTTGCAGAAGTTCGGCAGTCGATTATCAATTTTTCCGGAAAGAAAAGGTAGGTCAGCCGTCAATTTAGGCAATCTCCTCTCTTGACACAACAGAATGCAGCAACAAAGTTCAAGGCAGCATCATATTTGGTTTCAAGACAAAAACATTTACATGTTTTGTTATAAATTGATATTTCAGTTCCGCCCAAGATGTTAGATTATTCACCTCAGTCTTTTCATCAACCGCTTGGCTCAAACGTAACAATATTCTGTCGAGCCGAGGGTTCACCTAAACCATCAGTTTCATGGACTAAAGACGGTAGACCTGTTCGTCTATCATCACGTGTGTCATTAAATAAAGACAGCAGTGAAGTTTTGATAAGAAATCTTCAGGAATCGGATGGGGGGATATATAAATGTACATTCCAAAATACAGTGGGGCTGATAGCCCAAACAATACACCTTATTGTGGAAGGTAGCCTGTCTGTTGTCTTGTCTGTTTATGTCTGTTTCTTTGTTTGTTATTGTTTATGATTTGTGTAAAATGTTTTTTGTTGTTTCTTGTCTGTCAGCCTTTATAAATAGATATAGCTGTATAAAGGTTAAACACTTAACCTTCAGAATTTCTTAATTAGACTAAATTGCCAAGCTCCAATTCTGGGCTATTTGTTATCAATTTGGGTCAGCCAACAGTAAAGAGCCCTGGTTTGACATGGCTCTATACTAGTGGCAAAGCTTATAGAGTTTTGGTTCTAGCAGGTGAAGGCTTTAAAGGCTTAAGTGTATTAAACTTTTGTTGTTGTACAATGTATGTAGAAATTTATTTACATGTTTTGTCCAAAAAAAAACAAGTTTTGAAAATGTTTTCAATCATGATGTGGCATTTCTGAACTTAAAATTAAAAATTAATATCCTTTTTCCCCAGAAACATTTATAAATGATTAGTGTACATTGTTCTAAATAATTTAAAATAAATAAGTTATATTTAAATAAGTTATACATGTTTTGTACTTTTGAATTTTTTTTTTATCTATACAATATCTTTCATTCTTAGGTCAAGCATATATTATTGGCCCACCATCAAATCGTACAGCAGTTCTTGGCCAAAGGATTGAGTTCACTTGTGAAGCACGGGGATACCCTACCAATATAACATACAGATGGTAAGATTTTTGTATTCACAAATCTTTCATATCAATTTCTATCACTGGAATAGTTATTTAAACACTAAAATTAGATTTTTACTTACTTCATGTATGTTAGAGTTACAGTAGATAATGCAATAAAATGTAATGAAATAACTATTTTTTTCCAGACAGAAATTGAATATTGTATATATATTGTTTATCTGTTATTATTGTTTTCGAAATCTTCAAATCGCCTGAAGTTTTTTCTGAAGGGCATAATAAAAGTTCCAGGTATAGAATGTATAAGATGTCAAATTAACAACTAATTTATATTGTATTTTATCCGTTTGTTTTTATTCTAAACTTACAGGTATAAGGATCATCAAAATGTGAACACTTTACCAGGGTTTGGTGCAATACCAGGTTCAAAACCACGAATATCAATATCTGAGCGTGATGGTAGTCTTATTATAACAATTGTAGAAAAAGAAGATATGGGCTGGTATACATGTCGCCCTAGCAACGGAGTAGGTCAGGACCCAGAAGCCGGAGCCTACCTCAATATAACTTGTAAGTTGACACAAACTTGGTCAAAGGTTATGACCTTAGAGTTTGGAGGTCATTCTCCATGTCTTGAATCTGATTTTTTGTGAGACTTAACCCCCACCTCCTTCATTAATAAACAATCCTCTCCCCATTTTCTCCCATTGCAGATAATTTTACCAAATATTTTTAAGTTACTGGCCCTTTATAACTTTACAAAGTCTAAGTCCATTTGTGTGTTTTTGAGTTATGGCTCTTCATATGAATTAATTGTATTACTAGTGAGTTGGAATGTATTATCATAATTTGAATATAAAGTTTCTGTTTCATACATTTAACAGATAAGCCAGAAGTTCTGGTTGACCAAATGCCAAGGAGTGCTATCTGGGCATTGGGGTTTAAAGAGAAACTTCTCTGCCCAGTCGATGCAAACCCGCCGGCTTACAGTATTCTCTGGACCAAGAATGGTATGGTCATTAAAACGACCAGCAGGTTGACGGTCATGGGTAACGGCACCCTGGTCGTTAGTCAGGTTGCCATGTCGGATTCCGGAAACTACCGATGTACGGCAATCAGCTCAATCGGTAATGGGGAATCGGAAATAGTTCAGGTTGAGGTAAAAGGTGAGTCATGTAGAAAGTAAAAAAAAAAAATCTTTAGAAGAATATGCATGTTTGAGATTATTTTTATAAAATTTTGATGTCATCGAAAGTATTTTTATTCTCTGTTTTTTATTTGTTTGTTAAATGTTTATTTTTTGCTTTTGGATGACAATAGAGGATTGCCCTACTAGCAGAAGTAGTTTAAACAGTGGCATGTTTGTGAGCATAGTATATTTGTCCCTTTTCATCACTCATTCACCAGTATTACATAAAACTGTGTACAAAATATCGCAGAATTTATTCAATTCTGTGAAAGAAAAAAAAATGTATCACCATATCTTTTGTCTACAAAGCTAGAGAAAGATTTTACATTTCAAATTTAGACACATGATTATGTTTTCATTGCAGATTATTACTGGACCAGGATATTCTTGTCAAGGCCACTTAATTATCTGCTTTGAAATTAGAAACATGACATTCTCCCCTTACTCCACCCTTGGACCTAACCCCTACCTTTTGCAGGGAAATGAATATCTAATGAAGGTACTGAAAAAAACAACCCATCTTACTACTCTAATTTAAGAGTATCTTGAAACGTTTGATGTATATATCATTTGAGAACTATATTTCAGACCCGCCAAGATTTATCATCCGTCCTGAAGCCACTTACATTAAAACTCTCGGCCAGTCAGTCACCATGGCCTGTGCAGCTGCAGGGACACCTTTACCACAGATCACCTGGAGGAACAAGGTTTTACTTTAATGTTCTTAAACATAAACCATTTGCCTAATGGATTGGCATTGCCCTTCTTTGAATTTGAATTGGCATTGCCCTTCTTTGAATTTGGATTGGCATTGTCCTTATATGAATTTGGATTGGCATTGCCCTTCTTTGAATTTAGATTGGCATTGCCCTTCTGTGATTTTGGATTGGCATTGCCCTTCTTTGAATTTGGATTGGCATTGCCCTTCTTTGAATTTGGATTGGCGTTGCCCTTCTTTGCATTTGAATTGGCATTGACCTTCTATTAATTTGCATTGGCATCACCCTTCTTTGAATTTGGATTGGCATTGCTCTTCTTTGAATTTGGATTTGCATTGCCCTTTGAATTCGGATTGGCATTGCTTTGCCCTTCTTTAAATTTGGATTGGCAATTCAAAGGAATTTCAATATCAAAATACAAGAAAGTTAACTGCCAACATGATAGAGCCTAAACACAGTGCCTGGGCTGGCTCCATGTTGGTGGTAAAGGCTTATCACTTCTATTTCCAGCAAGTGAAGGTTTAAATCAAGAGTTTAATCACATCTCTGTTTACAATTGTTCTTAAATCTTTATCCTAAATCATTTGTCTGATAAGACTTGTGGTGCTTTATAGTTAGAATTGTCTGTAGCTAATATAAATAAGTTCAATATCTAAATGCCTTAAGCAAGCATCTGACAGAATTAGATTTTAGATCTTGTCGAACTTTACAGAAATGCAAGCAGATTTGGCTATCTACACGCGACACTTGCAAGTTATTATCGTTACTCACAGAGTATTAAGTTAAATTAGTTTCAAATTTACAAATTTGTCTTGAATTAAATCCTAGATAATTATAATTCTTGACAGAAATAATGCTCTGACATTTTGTGTGCAGCTTTTACTTTAAAAGGGATGGAATAATCTTAAACACTATACCATTTGGATAGCAAATACATGTACATAGTTAAAATGATTTACCCAGTTCTGGAAATATGCATAAAAGTTAAAAATGTGTATGTAGAAGAATTAACTAACATTAGCTTAAACAGTATGTCGAAGTTTTGTTCAAAGCGATACATATAACTAGTCTAGAAAATTATTTTATAAATGTTGTCTCTCGATATTAGACTGGTGTATTTTATTTTAGGAGACTGGTATGTTACAGTCAAATGGACGTGTACAGAGAGTTGGAGGTAATCTGACTATACATAACTTACAAAAATCTGATCATGGTGTCTACGAGTGCGAGGCTAGTAACGAAGTCAGAAAGATCGTAGTCAGCACACTCCTAACTGTACAGAGTAAGTTCCCTTTATCCGATTTTCATGTTTTGGTAAAGCGTGTGTTTACATACCTCTTACGAACTAGTCTTAGCATATAGAAATACTTCTGCTATTTCTTACTGTGTCTTTTCATAAAATAACAGTTAAAACAATTCCTTCTGAATTAAGATTTCCTCTTACCACTATGGTTCAATCCTGTAAGGCACTAAGTGTTCTTTCATATGAGGAAGCTAGCCAGCTAGCTTACAAAATGTTGGTGGTTCTACTGAAATAATACATAAAAGGCACCTGAGGTCCTCCTTTAACATTAAAGTTGGGTGACCATTTTCAGTGTGGGTGTGACATAGCATTCAACCAGTTATTCTGAGTAAATAGAAGTTTGAAGCAGTTTGTAGAATCTCATGTTTAAATCAAATCATTTGAATAAAGAGAATAAGTTAAATGGATTTTGTGGGGAACAATTTTGAATAGACTTTTATAATGATCAACACAATAGGATTTTAACAAAATTACTGTTTAAAAGGAAAGAAATGAAAAAAGAACAAGTTGAGTTTTTCAGTTAATCATCAACTGAAAAGAATAAAAAGGGAAAGAATTTCAATTTTTCTATAGCCTTATTTGATTTTGTGGAATATAAGTCAGCTTTGCTGGGGTTTTTTACAGTTGATGTATTAAATTACCTTTATGATAATTTTTTTAGCCATGTAACTTCACAGGAAGACATCTCATTCTGTAAAATAACATTTGTAATTGTGTGTTATCAAAGATTAACAACCATGTATATATATTTTAACATCACTAGCTATCAAAGGAAATGGTATTAACTTTATCATGTTATTATTGTGTTTACCACTTGTATTAATTCTAGCGTTATGTGTCATTATTGGTGTTATGTTAATTGTTTCTAATTTGTTGTGGCTTATGACACTAGTTCCTGTGTCTAGCAATATTTGCACACACATTTGACGTCAAGATAAATTGTCCAGCCGTAAGATGGGAACAGAACAGATTATTCATATAGACTTATATATAAAAAAAAAATGAATATTGTCTTTGTGCTTTCATGTTTTATCATTGTCTGGTGAATTGTTGTTATGTAAGAAATATGGAAAGGAATTGCGAAGTAGATACGTTATGTAAGAAAATGTGGAGTGCTTAAGTCTGATGTATGTTGTGTCATGCACAAAAATATTTGGTGAGAAATGAGAAATATGTCTAAAACAAGGATATTATGTCAGATAGATTTATAAGTAAACATGGAAAGCTTGTCAGTAATAGAATGGACTCATCATACATGAAAAAGGGATGTCTGGTGGATGTAACAGTCAGACATGTCCTTAAGGCCACATATAGAAAATATGCACAGTTTTGAATCATATTTTTTCATTAGTAATAGTATTAAAATACCGTCTCAACAAAGAATTTCCTTCCTGTCCCAGTATTGATCATAATACACAGGTTAAACTGTTTTGAGAAAAAATTTCATCGTTGAAGGCAAAAAGCAAGGTATAATTGTTAAAGCGTAGTGTTAGACAGATGATTTATTCAAATAGTAGACTTGCATTACTTTCAATTTGGAATAATCCACTTATGTTTAAGGGGTTAAAACAAGAAATATTTTTCTTCAGTTTTACAGTTTTGAATAATATTTAAATAATAGGCCATCAGTAAAGGATGTTATCAGACTAAGTTCATTTGCAGAATCAATTGCATAGGTGTATATCCCTGTTGGTATTCTATAAAATGTTACAATTATTAGAGTCATGGTAAAATTAATTTAGTTGTTGAGTGGGTTTTTTGTTAAGGAAATTTGTATCAGATATAAGAAACATATTGTTGTATACTGTAGAAGTGAAATATTTGACACAGATTTATAACTCTACAATTTTTCACATATTTTTCCTCACATTTTTCAAGCATGTTTTGAAATAAATTGCTTAGTTTTAATCTTGACAACTTGATAAGAGCAATTAATTAATTTTAAAGTGTATCTAGATTAGGTAGTAATGACAAATAAATGCATTACATCATGCTGAATTAATTAGAAGGTGGTCTTCTTATGTGATGATAATTATACTTAATGCATTGCAAGGCAATACATTTGTAATATTTATATACAAATACGTACATGTCATAAAAAATGTTACATGTTGGGGTTCAATCATTTCAACCCATAGTTATCATAATAAATGGTGAATTGCACTCATCCTTGGTTGAATCTAGAACATTGTGAAGGGAATTCAGTATAATATTGAAGTTGTAAATAGTCAGCAGTATAGATATATGTCAGGCTGCAGGAATATACAGGTAAACCTGTCTTATGTCAGGTAGCAAGGCTGTACAAGTAAACCTGTCTTATGTCAGGTAGCAAGGCTGTACAAGTAAACCTGTCTTATGTCAGGAAGCAAGGCTGTACAAGTAAACCTGTCTTATGTCAGGTAGCAAGGCTGTACAAGTAAACCTGTCTTATGTCAGGTAGCAAGGCTGTACAAGTAAACCTGTCTTATGTCAGGAAGCAAGGCTGTACAAGTAAACCTGTCTTATGTCAGGAAGCAAGGCTGTACAAGTAAACCTGTCTTATATCAGGCTGCAATGATGTACAGGTTAGCCTGTCTAAAAAAAATATGTCAGGAAGCAAGGCTGTACAGGCTAGCTTGGTTTGTATAAAGGCTGCAACAATATACAGACCAGTATGACTTGTGTCAGGCAGCAATAATGTATATAGCCTATCCTAACTTATGTCAAAACTGTGAGGATATAAAGGCTAGCCTTGTTTGTGACAGAATGCAAGATGTGCAGACTTGCCGATTATGTCAGGCTATAAGGATGTACATGCCAACGTGACTTGTGTCAGACTGCAAAGCTAGCCTGGTTTGTGTCAAGCTGTTTAGTAATGATAGTTTTTATCATTGGTAGTGATTTATAAAGTGTAATGTAAAAAAGAATGCTTATCAGCTTTTTTCAAAGCAAGTAATAAGTACAAAATTTACGCAGTATAGTATTTCAAATTATTTGCTATTTTTTGTGTATTTTTAGCAAGGTATTTCAGCACCTAATATTGTTATTAATGTTACAATGCTTTCTTTGTGTAAAAAACTTGCTCTGCTCAGAATTTGGAGATATGAATGTTAGAGATTTCAGTATCAAATTAATAAAATTATGAATAAAATTGAAGTGTTTAAAATATGGCCAAATTGAACGAATCTGCGAACTGGTTTAGCTTTTATAATAATTGAAGCATGGGCAAAACTTGAATGTTGAAATTATTGTAAGGGTTTATTTGTATTAATACACTCATATAAACATGCATGTATTTATTGTATTTTGTGTATAAGAATCCTTATGAAATGGATGTGATACTTTACTTTATATAAGACCATATAACCTTTACATTATTTGATCTTCATGAATGTGATACTTTACTTTATATAAGACCATATAACCTTTACATTATTTGATCTTCATGAATGTGATACTTTACATTATATAAGACCATATAACCTTTACATTACTTGATCTTCATGAATGTGATACTTTACTTTATATAAGACCATATAACCTTTACATTACTTGATCTTCATGAATGTGATACTTTACTTATATAAGACCATATAACCTTTACATTACTTGATCTTCATGAATGTGATACTTTACTTTATATACGACCATATAACCTTTACATTCCTTGATCTACTTATATAATAAATTGCACTGCTTTGGTTCTGTCATTTGTTATTTTAAGGAGTTTCCATATAAACATAGATATGATTATAATCATATGCAACGCTGAAAAATATTGATATTAATTTCCTTTTGTAACTTAACCCTTAATATGCTGAAAATGTGTTATGGATTTACCCAGATTTGAATTAGGAATAGTCCATTCAAAGTTTAAGGGATTTCAAAATCAAGATACAAAAAGTGAGCTGCCAACAGTAAACTAGCCTAACTGTATACTGGTGGCCATGAAGACTAATGAACTTTGGTTCCAGCATATTAAGGGTTAATTTAAAATATGAGAAATGGTGTGGCCAAGTGGTTAACATGTCAGACTAGTAATCTAAGGATTGCTAGATGTGTGGGTTTAGACCCAGTGTGTGTGTGTGTGTGGGGGGGTTAGACCCAGTGTGTGTGTGGGGGGGGTTAGACCCAGTGTGTGTGTGTGTGGGGGGTTAGACCCAGTGTGTGTGTGTGTGGGGGGGGGGGGCAACCTGTTGTTTCTTGAGCAAGAAACTTTAAATTCTTTGCTTAGTACTGTTTGGTTTCAGAACAAATTTTAGAGTGTTTCAGTAAGGTAATACCGAATCAAACTAATATAAATTTGTATAACTGATTAAAAATATGTTTATATTATATTCAAATACATATATAAAGGAAATATGAGTCCTAGTTGAAAATGTAAATTTTTGAAGATTTTATATGAGAAATATGTACATTATGTGTGTTTTATTTATTATTTCAGACACAACTCCACATGCACCGTACAATGTAACAGTACATACAGATGTGTTCTATGCCACGTTGACATGGATTGCTTCATACAGTTCTACACCACAAAACTTTGTTATATGGTATTGTTAACTTTTCTTTATCACAACTATAGTTTGGTGATTAAATATAGTTTAAGAAAGATTTATGTTGCAGTGCAGTGTATGTTTTAAGACTTTCTTTGAGATGTAAATTTGTAAAACCTAATGTACAACCTGTTCAGAACAAAACATTTTAAAAAACACATCAAGGACTGTTTGTTGCTGAGCTGTGTTGCTCTTGTGAAGTACAATTTATAATGACTTGCATGATGAAGGTCTATGAAACCTTTTATGTAAAAAAAAGTGTTATTGCCCTACAAAGTGCATTTGCAAAGGTTGAAGCAAACAAAACTGCAAAATCTTTGCTAACAGTATAGAGCCATGCCAGCTTGCTCATCTCTTGCAGTCTGACAAAGCTCCAAACCATTGACTAATCTGCTTCCAAAATTTCATTATAATATCCCTTTGCCATTGTGAATAATCAAAATCAACATTACTTACGTAAGCTTGATTGTGAGGATTTTAACCACTTAAGAGATTGCTTTGTGGAACTAAACAGTACTGATGTAATAATAAATAAACATGGTTGAGATGTCAGAAGGATTGATAATACTATGGTTGAAAAGCAGACATTTTAATCACCTGGCCACTGCTCCCCTTTTGATTGCATTTGACAGTTTGCAATAAAGTTCAAGATCATTCGAATGCAAGCTTAAAGATAATAAAACAGCATTTTCTTCAGCACAAAATATTTCTGTCTGTTATTTTATTTCAAGTATTTTCTTTCTTTCAAATCTAAAAATCTGAATTTTTGATATTGTTAAATTATAAAATTATTTGAATTTAATTGTAATTGCAGGTATAGATCTTTAATCAATGGTAACCCCAGTAAATGGCAGACAATGAGGGTCGAGCCACAGAACGCAACTCGATTCACCATATACAGACTCGAACCTGATACCCTGTACGAGTTTAAGGTAGCCTCAAGGAACATGTTGGGTAGCGGAGAGTCCAGCACTAGTGCTGTTGTACAAGCTCGTACAAAAGGTATGGTATATCGTCAATTCTAATCTCTTTATCTTGATAATTAACTGAATCGTAATACATGTATGTCCTAGCAAAGTGTGACAGATCATATCTGATGTATACAAAATTGATAAGTTAATACATTCTCATGCATACATTCAGTTTTAAATTATTTTATAAGCACCTCTTATCCGGGAGTGTACTTTTGTTTCTGTATCTCATTTGCAGAAAGTATTCAATTTCAACTCCACCCATGGATTTTGGCATCATAATTGTTGGTTAATGTTCAAGACTCAATAACTCTAGCATGAATTTTGAACAAATTATACCCTCTTTGTAAAATAACTGGTAATAGGATAACATAGAACTACAAGTATGGAAGGTTTACACTTGAAGCTTGTGTCCTTGAGAACATTATAGTAGGTCACCGTCAAAGACTCATAACTTTTGTATAGAATTTGATGGATTTATTGTGTACTTTTATGATTCTAGTTAGACCACTCCAAAAGATCCATACATTTATCATTGATTTTTTACTAAATTTATTATTACATGCACCCCCACTTAGAAAATTTCTGCTTTGTCGAGGCTTTCACTTGCTGTCAAGCACTGAGAAATACTCAAGCACAATGTACAGCTGGCAGCTCTTTATTCTCCTAATTATTTTTCTGAAAATAAAAGTACTATTTTTTTTGGCATCATAGTTTCTTATGATTTATTACATAATAATGCTTTGTTTTTTACCTAGTTTAATCTAAATTTTCAAGCTACGAAGCACCTTCACCAGCATTGTTTAACTAATGTTAAGATCACTTAGTGTTTATATGCTTTCACATTGTTTTCTAACATTTTATCATCTTGTTTCAATTAGTGCACTTGCTGCTAATAAAAGTTAAAAAATTAGACAATTATGTGCATCTGCAAAGTAAATTAGCAGTTGAAATATGGAGAAGTATTTATTAAACAGTATATCAGAATTAGGACAAATTTGAGAACAAAAAGTTCTAGTCTAGACCAATTAATAACAATTTTCATTCATTTCCACCCGTATGGGAACCTTTTATCTTACTATTTTTATTTTTTTTGGTAACGATTTGTACCAAATCCAAGTATCTCAGCCCTCAGTGAATTAAATGATAATTTTAGTGTCATTATATTTGCAGACTAGTGAAATACTAAAATTTATGTGGTTAAGCATAAATTTTGATAGCATAAATTTTGATCGCAAGTGTTAGAGAATGATGCTGGCTACGTCCTGCATTTATAATAATTAAAATCTGCATCACAATCAAAACGCATACTATGAAGCAACCATTTTCTTTGATAATACATACTTTTTTTTTCTATATACGGATATATACATCATAGGGTGCCTGACGTTTGGCGCTCTAATTTGAATGATGCATGTGATAATTAACGTAGAGTTATGAGAGGCTTATATTTGCAGCTTTTTTGTTATGTTTCAGACAAGGACCATTCTACTCAGAAATCCTCTGGTACCAATAACTACACCTTCTTACCGTCTCCCCCTTGTCTCTCCATCATCTCTTTCCTACAACTTTTATCCTTTATATGAATTTATATAGATCTTCTGTTGAAACTGTGAAACATAAATTTTTTTCGTTGTTGTTGTTTGATGTCACAATTACATGCATAACAAGCTTATTGAATTTTGCACATTTTCACATTTTTTTGTCTCAGAAAATTTTAATAATTGTTTGAAGGGTCCATGAGTAATACTCAATTTTGTCATCAACTCGCAGTCTCTATGAATATTAGAATAAAAAAAGCTACAATGATGACTGAATTCACAGATTAAAACAAACTCAAAAAACATTTATACTACTTGATTTTTTATAAGCTATCATAATTCAAAAGTAAACGATGTTTAACATGAATAATTGCATTTCGAACTAAAGCATTTTAAATACATTATTATTATGCCTGAGTGGTTGCTTTACCATTTTCATTAAACTGACTTTCACAGTTTCTACGTAGATATGCATGTTATTTATATAAAAAAATCTATCTTCGATATTTGAGTTTTTACGTTATTTGACCCATTTATCTCTGTTAATTATATATTTTAAATATTTTTTTTTATTTCTTTTATTTTGTGACAAATTTATTTATTGTTGTTTTTTGCCTGGCTATAAAAAAATTTATTTGCAGTTGATGTAAGCTGTCCGGTGCTCAATGTATAGGTCTAGCCTGCGCAGCCATTTATTGGTGTTTATAGCTATGTGTATTGCATGGGTACAAGTTTTCAGGACTATTTCTGAATTTCAGGCTTTTCATAAAAGCAAAAAAAAAAGCTAAATTTAATGTTTTTGGGATTGTTGACAACTTCTACCCATACTTTTGTTCAGTAGTATTAAATCTTTCTTGACTATTGTTAAACCTCTATTAATTTAAACCCTAGGATGTGGACAATGAAACAAATTTATAAACGTCATGTCTTTTAGAACAATTTCACACTGTGTTTTTCTATGTCAATGTTTTCCAGTTTATATTCTATGCCAAGACTGTCCTGTTGACAGTTTGTTTTTCCATGTCAAAAAACTGTGCTGCTGGCAGTTTCTTTTTTATGTCAAAAGAGTTGGAAACAAACTTCCAACAGGATAGTCTCTTGAATAGAAGACAAAACAGTCAACTATTTGTGGTCCAATTTTGTCAATGTTTACTTCACTCACTAGCTAGAATGTATGTGGAATATTGAGAGGAAAAAAAATTTGAATTAGGTAATAAGATTTAATGAGCACAATTTCGACAGTATCACGTTAACGCGGTAGTCGGTACCCTGAGGATTAATACATTTAATATCCAGACAGTCATGTCCTGATTTGATACCGTAGGGAGTAGATATGTCTTATTGAATTAACATATATGTTTATAAATAGTCAACAAGGGTTTGGTTATACTTTTACAATTGAATTTATTCAACTGAACTGCCATTTTCTCCAGATTAGATATATTAAATTGGAAATAGACAATTACAGTACCGTGGGTTGTTTTTTATGCCACCGCAGCATCTGCGATGCGGTGGCATATAGCGATTCACCTGTGTGTGTGTGTGTTTGTTTGTGTGTGTGTGTGTGTGTGTGTGTGTTATATAGATTATATAGTGAACTTAAAAAATCTTCTTGTGAAAAACCACTTGTCCAATTTCAACCAAACTTGGCAGGATTGATCCTTGGGTGAAGGGCTTCCAAAGTTGTTCAAAGAATTTCATTCCATGCAGAAATCTGGTTGCCATGGCAACCAAAAGGAATTATAAGAACAAATTTAAAAAATCTTCTTGTAAAGACCCAAAAGGCCTAGAGCTTAGATATTTTGCATAAGGCATTGTCTGGTAGACCTCTACCAAGATTGTTCAAAATTATAGCCCTGGGGTCAAAATCGGCCCCGCCCCGGGGTCATTGATTTTCACTATATGTACATATAGTAAAAACTTAAAATACCTTATTGTAAAGACCCAAATAGCCTAGAGCTTAGATATTTTGCATAAGGCATTGTCTGGTAAGACCTCTACCAACATTGTTCAAATTATAGCCCTGGGGTCAAAATCGGCCCCGCCCCGGGTCATTGTTATATAGATTATATATTGAACGTAAAAAATCTTCTTGTGAAAAAAACCAATAGTCCAATTTCAACCAAACTTGGCAGGATTGATCCTTGGGTGAAGGGCTTCCAAAGTTGTTCAAAGAATTTCATTCCATGCAGAAATCTGGTTGCCATGGCAACCAAAAGGAATTATAAGAATAAATTTAAAAAATCTTCTTGTAAAGACCCAAAAGGCCTAGAGCTTAGATATTTTGCATAAGGCATTGTCTGGTAGACCTCTACCAAGATTGTTCAAATTATAGCCCTGGGGTCAAAATCGGCCCTGCCCCGGGGTCATTGATTTTCACTATATGTACATATAGCGTAAAAACTTAAAATACCTTATTGTAAAGACCCAAATAGCCTAGAGCTTAGATATTTTGCATAAGGCATTGCCTGGTAGACCTCTACCAAGATTGTTCAAATTATAGCCCTAGGGTCAAAATCGGCCCCGCCCGGGGGGTCATTGATTTTTCACTATATGTACATATAGTAAAAAATTACTTGTAAAGACCAAAGGCCTAGAGCATACATTGTGTTGTAGACCTCTACCCCAGATTGTTACCCAAAAGGCCTAGAGCAAAAAAATTTCTTCTAGCAATTTGACAAATGCTAGAGGTTAGATATTGCATGTTGTGTAGTAGCACCCTGGGGTCAAAATTGCCCCGCCCCGGGGGTCATTGAATTTTCCATATAGTAAAAAAAAAATCATTGATACAAGGTGGCTTCAAAAACTTAAAAATACTTCTTGTAAATGCCCAAAAGGCCTAGAGCTTAGGTATTAATGCGGTGGCATAGCATTTTTCTCAAATGCAATCTTGTTTTTACTTGTCCTGCTTTTGAAAATTTTCTGATGTTGTGATAAAACTGTTTACAGTATGGGAAAAATCAAAAATGAACAAAAAAATTGTTAAGATTTGTATGGCCTCTGTTGTATTGATACTTTCCAGTTTTTGTGTGTTATTTGTCATAAGTCAAAAACAATAAACATTTTATATACATTTTTAGAGGCAAAGACAAAACCCTGTAATTTGAAATGGAATTGAAACATGTCGGTTTCAAGGTGTCCAACGCTTCAATATAGATGTTGTTATAATGAGGTAAAACTTGTACATGTAAAACTTAAGTAACTCTAGGCAACAACAACAAAACTCCAGGCAATTGTTACGTCTCGCTGTCAAAATAATTGCGATTATAATTTTGGTTTGATGTGTAAATATTATGTAACTCAAGGCTATTGCAACATTTCAGTGTTGAATTGAAACTTTTGAATTTTTCTGAACATTGCTAACCTTATTGACAGAAAATTGGATTTACAAGGCTAGGTTATTTGGGTCAATTGATTTAAGAGGTGGAGGGAATTTTAGAGGTCCCTTTATGCATTATCAGGCAAAAGTGTGCACCATAGATCTTTCCTCCCTCCATATCAGTTGAGCAGGAAGGTTGCCATATGACCTAAACAGTTTTGTGTGTGACAAAAAAAACAAAAAAACAATTTGTAATGTGTTCACTATTATATTTGATTGATTGGATATCCTGAATTAAATTAAACTGTTAATAAGCTTACCTATGTAACTTATCTATGTAATAAGTGATTTTTGTTTTTACTGATTATGAATATTTTATTTTTTATTGTGGAGCATACATGTATTTTATCATTTTCTCCTGAAATGTAAATGGTGCTTTGTTGTCATGTACCTAGTAACTTTGATTTTTATTGTTTCTTCATTTTGTATTTAGAAGTGTTTATTTACAAAACAAAAGTATTAATTGTTAATAAAATTAAATTGAAAGAGATTAAAAGATTTTCTTTTACATAAAAGAAATATTGCATGTTGAAATATTATTTTTTTATATTTTTTGATAGAATTAATATTATTTTAAGAATTAAGATAGTTTTGTTCTTCTAACTTGTGGTATTAACATTTTGTATCAGTTTGCTTTTAGAGTAACTAATAAAATCATAGAAAATTTGATGAGATAAGATACAAAGCATGTTGTTAGATTGGGCAATTTGTAAATAACAACAATTTCATATTATTTTAGAAATTGCAATTGCAATAAATTCTTATTTGTTATTATATTATTTATGATACAGTACTAAAAGTAAATGCTAGATATAATAATCATCCAGTAACTACAATAGTTATTGTGGGAGATCTGTAGATCAGTATTTCTTGAGTGATTCCCCTTTTTAGCTCGACTTTTCTATGAAAAGGGGAGCTATCCTACTCGCCCCGGCGTCGGCGTTGGCGTCACACCCTTGGTTAAGTTTTTCGTACCACCCCACTTTATTTCAGAAGTATTACAAGTATGGCTTTGAAACTTACCATACTTGTTCACCATCATAACCTCCATCTACAGACAAGAGTACATAACTCTGTCAAGGTTTTTGACAGAATTATGGCCCTTTTTTGACTTAGAAAGTGTATTGAGCTTGGTTAAGTTTTTTGTACCACCTCACTTTATTTCAAAACATTGGAGGTATTGCTTTGAAACTGACCATATTGTTTACCATCACGACCTTCATCAACAGACAAGAGGACATAACTCTGTCAAGGTTTTTGACAGAATTATGCCCCTTTTTGACTTAGAAAATACATTGAATATGGGTAAAATCCACTTATTGCCTTAACCCTTTGAGATATTGCTTTGAACTTTTAATGCTATTTCACATCATTACCACCCATCTGTACGCAAGAGAAGGTAAATCTCTGTCAAGATTTGCTCATGGCATTTGTTCACTTTAAAAGATACAGAGATTCTTGTATTGCCTTTTACTGCAAAAACTTTTTTTATTGGCAAGCAATAAAAAAGTCGAGCGCGCTGTCTTACGGACAGCTCTTGTTTCTCATGGAATATGATTAAACTTTTGAATAAATACTTATTATCTTAATCTTTTACAATCACAAAATAATCAATCTTATTGAGAAGTGATTTACATAACATTCATAACACTCTAGAGCCCTTAACAGGCGGGCATTTTCTCAGCATGTGATGCTCTTGTTTTAATTTGATATCAAAACGATTTATATTTATACAAGAGAACATATAAAATGTATAAATCTAGCATACGCTTTTCAGTTGTTCACATCATTTATTATGTTACTATGATTATCAAAGAGTTGTGAAATGGGAAGTCGTATTCCAATACCTCATAACTCATTTTTGTTTTCAATATTGTATGTTACATGTTATGAGTTTTGAGAAATACATACAATGTATTTATGTGCCATTTAACATCAAATCTAAACTTCCAAAATAATGGTTGCAGTAAAGGAAAGGTACTGCATTAAATGTATGTGTTTCATGGGTCCATGTCAAAGTGGATTGATTGAAAAATGTATACAGTCATACAGAAGATAAAAGAACAAAATTAATAACATCAGTCCCAAGCTGGGGCTTTTAGTAATTCTCGAAATGTTTGAAAAAATCACAGGCTTTTATGGTGTTGTTTATTTGACAAGCTTACTTTCTGTTTCACAGCTCTCTTGAATTACTAATTGTTATGTATAAAGTCAACTTACGGAACATTGGTGGTTCTACTCAGGTGCCCGTCGTGCCTAAAAAAATGCACGAAGTGGTACCTGAGGCCCTACTCCACCAGTAAAGCTGGAAAGTCATCATATGACCTATACTGTGTTAGTGCAACTGAGCAAAAAAAAAATAAATAAAAAAGTAGAAAAGAAAGCATATACCATAAACTTAACATGAAGCAATATAATGTCTCACAATTTTAAGTGTGTTTATATTTCAGGTTATGTAGATGGTAAAGCAGACTACCCTCCAGTTGACGAGTCAGGGAGCACTTATTTCCCTCCAATTGTTAAACCTCATGGTAAGCCAATAAAGTATCGTGAATCTGTGTGGTTGACCCTTATCCCTGCTGGAACCTAAAGTGATAAGCCTTTGTCACAAGTATAGAGCCAGGCCAGCCTTCACATCTGTGCTATCTGACTAGGCTCTACACTGTTGGCTGACTAACTTCAAATTTTCATCCTGACATCCCCAGAAACTTATGTTGGACAGTTCCAAAATGCAAGCTGGACAAGTCCATTTAATAACAGATTTAATAGTAGATTAAGGTTACTGTCTATCTCAGTTGTATAGAATTTGGCAGGGGTGTCTATGGCCTAGTGGTTAAGGTTGCCACACCACTTGCCACTCATCACTGTGGGTTTGAATCCCACCAGGGACTTTCAAGTGAGGAAGCTATCCAGCTAGGTTACGGAACATCAGTGGGTCTACTCGGGTGTGCATGAGGTATTCTCTTGTCAAATATTTCTTGATGGTACACATAGGGTGACATCTTCTGAAAGTTAACCTTGAAAGTCACTGTTTAAACTTAACATTGTTACTGTGATTTAACAACCTGCATGCCTCCAGAATAATCAAAATATCTCGAGGGAATCAAACTTTAGGAAAATGTACAGAGATTTTAAGATTAATAAAAAGATGCAAGATTCAAGTAATAATTTACAAAATGTACTTGTTATGTGCAATTTTAGAGTATTTTTGCATATTTTTACCTCCTTTTGGTTATTTACATTGTAAGGGCCTTGCACAATGTTTAAATTACTTTCTTGTTCACTTCTCAATATTTTCCTTATAAAAAACATTTTCAAAGTTTTCTGGAATATTGGGCATGAATCTGGAGGCATGCTGCGATAAAGTGATAAGGTTTTTTCTGGAAATAGTTTTGTCTTCCTCGAAAAGATTGAATCTACAAAACTGTCTCTTGGTCAACCTTACAAAAGTAAACTTAAATGTTCATAATTATATGTGCTTTATATCATGAGTCTGCAAAAGAATATAATTTATTCATGGTAATATCTGTGACATAGTTAGGTATGTATTTTCTTTCCGTAAATGTGGCATTTTTTTTATTTTTCATGTTTTAGAAAAACTAGCTAGTTAGCTTACCAGTGATTGGTAGCTCTTAGTAACCAATGTGCATGATTTTGTTTGAAACAATTTTAACATTATGAGGAACTTGTGATTAAATCTCCACTTTGATTTTCATTATTAAAGAATCACAATATTAATTTTACTTAAAGGGACTTTTCACTAAGATTTTTTGACATGACAGGAAATATTTTTTCGAGATTAACATTGAAATTGATGTAGGTCTAGACCAATAACTCTCAAATTTAAGATCATTCATATTTTGTTCACTCTGATTTTTCAGAATAGTTACTCAAATTGTGAAAAATAACTCAAAATAGAAAAGCATTGGGACGTATTTCACTCAAATCGGGCTATGAATAGCAAAAAAACACAATTTTCTAATAATTTTCAAGTATATATCTTACTGGTAGTTATCTTTTGCATATCTTTCTGCCCTAAGTGCCCTAGCTGAACTATGAAATTTTTTAAATTTTTATGTTTTTAGGCTTTTGAAACTCTATGGAGTTCCTTTCTTCTACAAAGTATAGTATGTAATTTTGAAGTAAAAGTTATGATTTGTTATTATTTCACAAAATATTTTATAATATTATAATTTGATTATTTTATTTTACAAAGTATATGTATGATGTTTTATTGTAGGACCAAAGCCCGCCACTCCAGCCAATGTAACGTTGGTATTAAAAGACGATAAAATCATTGTCTCGTGGAATCGACCAGCTCAGTCCCCTGTCCCTATATTCCGCTACATGGTAGAATACAATGTCGGCAATGGCTGGGTAAAGACAGAGATATTCAAAGCAGACAAAACTTCGTATACGTTTGACTCTGTTGAAAAAGGACAGCCACATAGTTTTCGAGTTTATTCATTCGGTGTGCTGGCAGTTAGTGATCCGAGTGAAATCGTCAGCCTCCAGGTTCCAGAAGGTAAAACTCTTGATACTCTTTGTTATGTTAAATATTACTAATGTTCATCAGTTGGTCAAATAATTTTGGAATAATATTGAAATGAAACAAAGTCTCTCTTCTCTTCTATCAAAGTTGTTTTTGTTTTTTTGGTGATACCTAGCTATAGTTCATTGCAGTCACATGAGAGGGTGTTTGCCAACATGACATCATTTTTTGAGAAAATACCAATATAGTGGCTTGCAGACATTCTCAGTAGGGTCTGTTATCGTTCAAGAGATGAAAAATTGAGGGGATTGTTATAGTTTAAATCTAACTTAGTTTAGAATACCTTAAAGAAATATAATTAATTTTATAAAGACTTAGTGCAAAGCTTCCATGTTTTTATTGCATGTGAAGATGTATTACATGTATATGCTAACAGTTATTTCATATTAATCTAAATCTTAATCTTAATATAAAGTCATTAATCTAAGAAGTTGCATGTAATGGTTTTGACATTTATTTCCGACTCATTATCTACAAAAATTGATGAATCCACAATAAAATTACATGCAGCTGCATTGCAAGTTTATAGAGGATATCCACATATATCTTTAGCTCAACTTCTAAAAGAATAGGGAAAGCTATTGCACTAAATATGCGTTGGTGTCGGCATCACTGACACACTTGGTTAAGTTTTTGATGGCAAGTTGGTATATCTAAAAGTACTGAAGGGAATGGGTTGAAATTTTTTTCACTTTGATAATTTAACATGATGGGCATAGGTCCAAATAACTCTCAGTTAAAATTTTACAGAGTAATGCCCTTTTCTTATAGTCAGCCACTGAGAATAGTTGAGCGCACTTTATTACAAACAGCTCTTGATTTTTATATCCTTCAAGATTTTTGTAGGAAAAAACCAACATTATTTATATGGAGGCATGAAGCTTGGACATTTCTTTAATTGAATGATTTACCTTATGAATGTTTGAACTTATATCAAACCCACACCTATGTATCATTAGGTAGTTTTACTGTAATGCTTTCCCACTTAAAAATTTCTAACATTGGCATATATCGTAATTAATCGGTTATTTCCAGAACGTTATTTTTCACAATCTTCGGTATTCAATAATTTTTTACCGTTGATAACCGTAATTTAGTACATATCGATAAAGGATGAGAGATTGTAAATAATCCTATGCCCAAGATTTTGAAAAAATAAAGTTCCGGAAATGACCAATTAGGTATGCATGGCCGATGTGAGAATTTTTTGCGGGAAAACATTACAATATGACTACCTTAAGTCTTATATTTGTTTCATTGTTAACTTTCAGCTACTGTGATAGACCCTAAAAGCAGCATTAATGATTTCTCTACTGACTCTACTGGTACAATTTCTATCTGTAATTCTATCGTACTTTTTACACTGATGGACAAGATTCTGCACTGTCAGTAAAAGGCCGCAAATTTTTTGTTGAATTTTTATGATACTTTGACCTTTACCCATGTTAAACTTGTATGATAGGTATGTAAGCCTGTCTTCTTCAGACAACAGCTTCTATAAGGGATGTTAATATCAAAATACTATAGGATGATCCTCATGCAGTATTTAATTTTTCCTGCAAATAAAGATTTTATTTTTATCATTATTATTACTAAGCCCGAAGTATAAAGGACTTACTTTTACCGATATTAACTGTTGCATCTTTAAACAGTTAAAGATACACATGTCTTTCCTTGTACTTGTGGTATAGCCAAACTATTGTTACCACTAGCACAGGTATAAGAATTTTAACCCTTAACTTGCTGAATTTTTTAAATGGACTTTTCCGACTTTGAATTTGGAACAGTCCATTCAAAGTGTAAGGGATGTCAATGTGAAAATACAAAAAATTGAGCTGCCATTGAGCTTGGTCAGACAGTATGGATATGCATGCTGGCCTGGCTCAACATGTATACAGGTGGCAAAGGTTGATTTCATCAGATTAAAGCTTAAGTGCTTCAAATAATCATTAAAAAATGGTTTCTTCCACAGTCACATCAGTAACTATTCTATGATCTTTATGGCCATTTGATAAAGCAGAATCTTTTCCATATCTACATCACAAATATTTTTGTTTCTTTGTTACCATGACAACATTTTATTTTACAATTTTACAACTCTTATGATCTTCATTTTGCATGCATTTATTTTTGCATCTATATTTGAATTTCAGATATTTGTTTACATTTAGTTTTAAATAATGATTTCTTTGAGACTTAAGCAGTGATTATAAATGGAAGTATAATCTTAAGGTGCAATTCTTCGTTCCAAGTTCCTTGTCAGAAATTTCTTCCTTTCTCAGTGTTTTTGTTCAAACATAACAAAATTTGGTCATAAAAATGCTACACTGCCTTCAAGAAACTTTGCCCTTTAATATAGAACATCCCAAAGCTCACTTCGTCACTAAGAATGCCAAATATAAAAACATACATGTTGAAGTACGCAACATACAGTATATCATTATTACAGTTTCCAGTTATGTATTCCAATATTTAAGGGGAGCAGTTGAAATAAATTGGAAGGAAGTTGTACACGAATACAACAGCAAATAATCGTGTTTGATTGGTTGAATTGTTGTGTCCTTGTACACAATTTCTGTTCGCTCGAGACTTAAACTGGTATAATTTAATCCTGGGCTGGGTGACTTTGTGTACTGGACCTACTTTGAATTTGGAACAGTTCAATTTAAGGTTATAGGGATTAAAAAAAATTGAGCTACTCACAAACAATAAAAGATCCTGGCAGTATAGGCTGGCCTGGCTCTAAACTGGCAGCAAAGGCTAATTGCCTTCCATTCCAGCAGGGTACAGGTTCAGAACAGTGTGTGTACTTAAATTTGAAACAAATTCCTGCCATGTCATGTCAAATTCACTGTTTTAAAACACTTAGAAATGTTCATTTTGGTGTATTTTGTGATTCTAGAATTGTTTTGTAGATAGTTCAACATGTTTGTTTTTTTATAAGTAGATTGATTATAAAGAGATGTTTTTATGTCTCTTTAAAGCATTTTATTTAATGTTGTGATATGACAATAAATTGTCATTGAATAATTTTACGAGATCAGTATAGTGCAGTTTAAACTTTGCTCCTTTTAATAAATGCACGGTATGGTCTTTGTTGTAACTAGCACATGTTAATTGAAACCATTCTCCTATCTTGATATGCCTTGATTATATAGAATGAGTCATTCTATTTTATTTTTTTTATCTTTAGATTTAAGATAGAATAGCATTATCTTTATTTCTATAACATTTTCCTTTTTTTAAAAAAACAAGAAATTAAAGAAGAAAAAAAAGAAGAAAAAGATGAATGAAATAAAACTGCCATTTGAAGAAATAAAGATTTGTCTGATAGTGCACTAACATGAACATTTTGCAAATATAAATTGTGAATTAGCTTAAAGGACCCCCATAATGCACTGCTTTTATTGGGATGTTTAAAGAAATCAATAATTGATCAGCGTTTTATTATTGGAAAACAAAATCCTGAATTATTGATTGAGTGTCACGTAAAACTGCAATTTTCTTCTCATTAAAGATCCTCTATGTTTGTTTTATTATAGAAAATAAAAAATATGTTCTAAGGCCAACAAGTAAAAATCTTGTTTCTCCGTCTGCAAAGTTTTCTATTTTATGATATTTTATATAAACAAATACCATTAGATTTTATTTTTTTGTTTATATTTAACATCATAAAGTCAACATTTGTATGGCTGAAGTTTTCAAAAAGTTAAATTAGGTTTCCTTTTAACTAAATAATCATTATTTCTTAATTTTTTATGTTATTGGAAACTTTTATTAAAGAATATGTATCTTGTTGGCCTTAGTATTCCCTTAATCTGTTCCAAGTACTAAAGAAAAAAAAAATTTGTCTTTTTTGTTTGAGAAGAAAAGGCGTTCTGGACTAACATGGTTCTTTTGTTTGACAAGCCTGATACTAGTTTTACTGACCTCTTATGCATGGGGTCTTAAGATTTCAGATGTTTTTGTGTCATGTTAACATGGTTGCTATGACAATAGTTGAGCATTTTATAAGAACAAGAATATAAAAGAGGAATAAATAAAAACAATAACGTGGAATTTTATTTGTTGTGTACTAAGATATTTTGTATTTTTTCCTAGAGGGAGGCTTCGGTTTATCTAAGACAGAGATTGGAGGGATTGTTGGTGGCCTGCTTTTTCTTGTTGTTGCCATAACGCTAGCTGTTGTTGCTGTGATGTGTAGCCGACGGAGAGATCGTAGGAAACAAGTTACTAAATATGGTAATACTTTTAACCTTTAACCTGTTGAATTTCCTAAATGGAGTCTCATCCACCTTCTGTTTTTGGAACAATCCGTTACCAATTAAAAATAAAATCTGGTTATTGTCTTTCCTTGTCTCTTGATGTTACAACTTAATGTAGAGCCAAGACATTGTGCATTTCTATGTAATCTGACCATGTTTTTATACTGTTGATTGAGCTAGCACCATGCCATCCATAAAATTGTTACTGTCAAAATTGTTACTGGAGTGTATAAAAATATAAAAGTTTTACCAGTTCATGTAAGAAGTTTAGCTATGAAAGGTTAAACTAAATTGATTTACTGTATATTATCAACTTGAATGAGTATAAACGTGCCCTTTTATCCTTTATCTGCGGAATTTCTAATTGAACTTACTAAGTTTCCGTTTTTTTCATGATGAAAATTGAACTAAGCCTGGTCCCGACTGGTATGACTCTTCTAGGCTGGCCTGGCTGAATACTGGTAGCAAAGGCTTATCACTATCTATGCCAGCAGGTTAAGGGCAGCTTTTGTTTGCTGTGACTTAATATCAAATTAACTTGTATTTTAAAATTTTCAAGCATTGGAAAGTGATTCATAAATGTCTTTTTTCTTTAATCAAAGGAGATAAATAGTCTGAAATTAATTAACATTTAAAGAATAATGTACAATGTAATACTTTAATCTGTTATAGTTTAAAAGTACATCTTTTGTAATAACAAGTGTTGAAATTTAAGTTGATTTTTTTTCCTTGCAAACTAGAAAGCTGAACAAACTTGTTCAATGAATTACCTGCCTTACATAATTAGTAAAGTAAGTACATATTCTGTATGTTTTACTTCAGGAAATGTAAAATATCTGGGACCACAGGATGATACAGATGGGAGACCGTAAGTAAAAAAAAATTTTAACGAGCTCTACAAAAATGCAATCTATCGAAGCTGTAATAGTAATATAAAAAGACAAGTAACGAGGTTAAAATTACGAGACCATGAATGCTACAGCCCTGAGATCTTGTGCAAATTGTGCATTTCTGATTTTTCTCCTCCTGTTTTGTTCTGACTTGGAAATTTTGCAACAAAATTGAATTTTACTCAACTTTAAATGTAAAATGACTTTGTCTTACACTAGACAGTCATCCATTTGTTTAAACAGAGGCTGAAAAATATCTTACAAAAATAGACTGAAAAATATTATCAGTAGGTTTAAATAAAAAGTTTTTAAACTACTGTATTTTCAGTATTTTGGATGGGTAAGCAAATCATTGGTTTAGGATATAGCTCTTATATAAACATGTCTAGTTGGAAGTCAGAAATTATACTCTTAATTTTATCTCATTTGTTCTAAAAAAAATTGAAACTTTTTTCTAATTTTTTACCACAAAAAAAAACTAACACTCCTTAATTTATACCATAAAAACTTTATCTCTAAAATGTTTGCCTCGGAAACTTACACTTTAAGATTTTTACCTCAAAAACTGGTGTTTTACACACTTAGATTTTTACCTCAGAAAATGGTGCTATTCAATTTTGACCCTGGAAGTTACAAAAATACAATTGCTTGATTATTTCGTTTTGGAATAGAAATAATGCCTAGGAACTGGAATTGATCAAAACAACATCAGTAAAATATTTTGAAATTTTAATACAGTTTTTGTTAACAATAGTGCAGTATAGTTATAATCTTCAGTAAACTGCAAAAGAAATCCACTATTTATAAATTGTAGTGTACACGTTTTAATGTCCATAATTAAACACATTCTTTTTAAAATGTTTAGATATTTCCTCCAAACACTGTTTCCATTAATTAGTATTATGTATATTTTCTGACAAACTCATTTTGTGGTGCTAGGGCTGTGTATATATATTATATTATTTTGTGTATTTTTATAACTGGGTGTTTCTTTTTATATGTTGCTATCACCGTGGTTACAGGATGAACAACAAAAAAGGTGATGTACATTTCATCATGTGAAACCCCATGCATCATGTGGTTGTTTCTATCTTCCCCCCATTTTATACAGTTTTTCATGCTATATGCAGTTTAATTTTTTATGTGACCCTCTGTTGATTTTTTTTTTTTTTTGTGGAATGAAGTTAAATGATGTATGTAGTTAAAACTGGCATGACGTTTATTATAAATGTAATAAGTAGAAGAAATCATATCACAAAAAAATTGGTAGGTTTAAATGTTTATTAGATGTTTTTCTTTTTAAATAATGGTAATTAAGGTAAACTTTTAAAGTTGTTATTTTTCTTCTACGAATAAAACATGTTTACAAACAACATTTTAAGCACATTTTTTCTGAATTTTAGTGTAATTCAATGCCACTGAAATGATTTTGAAGTAAAGAATTGTTTTAAATCTTACTATTAAACAAAATTGCACTTAACATATCCAAGAGGACCAATAAGACGTTGTGCCATTCCAAGAATTAAAATATTTTCATATATTCATCATGCCAGAATGATAGATCTTGTCTTGTGAACGTTTTGGCCAACCCTTTTTTGTGAAAATTGTTAAAAGTTCTGTTAAATTTATGATAGCTATTTTTCCATAATAGCTATTACATAATGTAATAGAAAAACTTTACTGACCGTTTTTCCCCCTTTTGAATGACAGCTGTTGCATCATATGCTATATTTTTGCCTTTCTTTTATTATTGTGATTTTCATTTTGTGGTATTTTTTTCTGTTCTTGCTATTTCATAGTTAGGACATGAGCTTTTCTTTGATAACACAATTAATTTACAGTTGTCATCTGAAAATTTATCTTGTGTTTAATTGTCTCATCGAGATTTGAAAGTTATAAAATTTGGAAACCAGTCACTTTCTCTTATAATTATGTGATTGGCTGACTCTGAACTCCAAGTTTGAAATTGGCCAATGACAGAGCTGTATTGAAAGACTGGTACTCATCTTTGTTCTTATACCTCTAAATAGAGTAGGCAATTATAATGTCTCCAAATATGATTCTTAAAAATGAAATAATTTGGTTTTAAATAAGGAATTAAGGAATTTATTGGGCTAAAATCACATGGCAGATGCAATTAAATAGGAAAATGCAATTAAAGAAATATATATATTGATATTCTTAAGCTTAATTCAGAAATTGTGTGTGATTGGTAGTCAGTCCATGTGGAGAAATTACTGATAAGTTACCCAGGAAAGTCAATTATGTGGACCATTTTCTAAAAAAAGACCAAAAATGTGTTGATATCGGCACAAAAAACAAAAAAAGGCAATGCTACAGCTTTCATTATATGTGGTTCTTCTATATTTCAAGTATAAGTAAATGCAATTTTGAGTCCATTCCTTCTTGTTGTTGTGGTTAATACTAAGAAAGCTGTTTTGTAATGTACAGTACATCACCTTATCTTTCTTTCACTATTTTGTACTTTGTTCCCATTTTATATGACACATTAATGTTTGTAAAATACATTCATTAATCTAATATTGATGAACAGACTCTTTGTTAACAGTTGTATAAAATGCAATAGTCAATTGAAACTAAATCCCTCCATCTCTGTGCAATAAGTGGAACACTTGAAATTTTTGATTTTCAAACCTCTGATTAAGGTCCCATTTTGATGAAAAAATCTCCTAAAAAATTCCCCAACATTTTAGTTGGAACATATCCTATCCATTTTAGTGGCAAAAATAAATCCGTCAAATTGACCAAGTAGTGCAATGACAAAGTAAAAAGGCTTGCTCATTTCCCAGGCTATAACTCATCTTGCGGTAGGGGGCTACTAACAATTGACTATTGCATTTAATGTGAATTTATACTGAAAACACAATTGTTTTGTGAAGGGAAAGTAAAGGGAGCATCAGTTGAGAAATATATTAATGTGTTTAGAATGATCAACAACGAATAATTTGTGCATGAAAAGAGCAAAATAGGCAATGTTTCATTGTGGTTTTATTTTGATTATTACATTGTTTTTATATGAGCTCCATTTAGATTGAATTTAATTTTATGTGCCAGAAAAATGTACAAATTAAGTCGTCAAACTGTTGACCTTAATTAAAATATGTACAGTTACAATCACTAAGCAACATTTTATAAATCTGAAGATTGGAAAGCTAACATAATGGGAATACACGATAAAATGTATCTGCAAAGTAAGATAAGTTTAGAAGCTAAGGTTTGGTAATTTCAGATATAGGCTCTGACTTGTTTGTTTTCCACATGTCTTCAACTTTGTAGGCAATGGTAATATTCTATCTTGTATCAATGGAACTACCAAATTACTGCAAATCAGTTGACTGTGTTTTTCTTATGCATTTTTCATATGCACATATCTATTGGACCCTTAGCATTGCTTTGTCCAAACATAATTTAACCTGTTAAAAATAGCTAAAATTTAATTAAAGTAAAATTCTTAACTAAGCAATTGCCTGGATTTTGCAGCAAAAAAACATTATTTATTTTCTTCAAATTTATTGTTACCCAATGTCATCCAGCAATCATCTTTGATGAAAAGCAGGGAATCTCAATGGTGAATTATGCCATAGACTCAAGTTAGTACATGTGACTCTAAAATTATAGCTAGCATAATCTTTTCTGTGTAAAGATAAGTGCCCATTGCCCAGGTATCTTGCTAGCCCTGAATTCCAGTGAAAATATGGTGAAACTCATAACAATAAAAAGCAAATACCTTAACACTTTGGTTGCTAGGTAATGTTTTAACAGCTCTATGGTCAGTTTGACTGATTAATATTGATGAGTTTTTTCCAAATTCAAAGCTTTTCATCATACAAAATTTAGCATTGAAGAGTTTTCATATATAGAAGCATTGTGTAACATAGCTTTAAAGACAAAGGTTTACAAAATGTCTTTCTATAACTTATCTTATAGTGTCAATTCATACTCTAGCAATATACTTTTAACCCAGTACAAAATAGATAATACAATTGTATTTATAAGTCACAGATTTGCAGATTTTTTGGTAGTTTTTTTCTTTTCTTGGAAAGTTTAATCCAATTGTTTTCATACATTTGTATTTTCACGCTGTAAGTTTACTTCATTCTACATATCCCACTTGAGAAGAAAGTATGTACCAAGTTTCATTACACTGGTGTTGTAACACTAAAATTGGTTTGCTGTGACTTGGAAGGAATGTTTTTTTCACTATACCTTTTTTTTTTAAATGTAGAAAGCAAGTGACCATGGATCACTCTATTTTCTCTTTGGAAGAATGTATTTTACACTGTATTTGTTAATGTAAAGCAAGTGATCTTAAGAAGAATGTTCTTACACTTTTTTTTCATGTAACAGCAAAGTGACCTTGGATCACTCTATTTTTCATTTAAAAGCAAATGATCTTGGAAAGAATGTCTCTTACACTCTATTTGTTAATGTAAAAACAATTGACCTTGAAAAAAGAATGTTTTTACACTATTTCTTATATTTAAAAGCGAATGATCTTAGAAAAGAATCTTTTACACTCTTTTAATAATTGTAAAAGCAAGTGAGCTTTTTAAAAAGAATGTTTTTACTCTCTATTTTATGGATGTTAAAGAGAGTGACCTTGGAAAGAATGTTTATTTAGCTTGAATTTTTTTATGGTAAAAGCAAATTCAGATAAGCATGAAGATCGTTCTAAATCACTTGTTACCAGGACTTTGCTGAACACAGAGAAACTAAGTTTAAGGGTTTTCTAGTGCCTCTCAACTGATGGATTATGGGTTCATGCCCCTCTTGGGTGACGGACATGTTCCTTCATTCAAACTGTCATCATACCAGCTAGAATAAATAATGTTTAAATCTAAGTAAATTCCCTTTTTGTATGTTAATTGTGTTAATGGACTTGCCTGTATCACCAGTATATAGCCTGGCCAACCTGTATATCCATGCAGTCTGACCAGGTTCATAGCTGTTTGGTTACTAATACTCAGATTTACAGTAGCATTTTGATATCAGGATCGTTATCCTACTTAATTTCTTAAATGGTATTGCCAAGCTTCTGATTTTAAGGAGTGTCTGTTGTCAGCTTTATAGATACCAACATGAAAATTGTTTTCTGAGGTCAAACACCCTGAAAACATAAAGTTCGAAAATCTAATATAGATCAGTTAGGGCACTTAAAACAGAAAGATGTGGAAAAGATAATAAAGATGATGTGCTGTCTAACTTACCTGCCTTATTGTGATGGAATAGGTTAATCACTTTTAGTATCAGTTGATTAAGGGATGCCAAATTCAATTAAGTCTTCATGGTCCATTATGGTGTATTTTAGTGTTGAGTATCTTTTTCAAGCTTTAGATCAATGTTGAATTGAAACAGCTTGGAAAAATTTGTTTTATTTGATAGCAAGATTTACAACTCTTTTAATATATTAACACTGAAGTTTTATCAGATATTTGATATTATAAAAACACTGATAGATAAAAAGAAAATAAATATATAAAATACACTAAAATTTAAGATATTATTGCTGCAATTTAGAATTTTAACAGTTTAAATTACAATTGCAACTCAATTAATGTTTGCATGCTACACATTTGTTCACTATATTACAAGTAATATGAAGTAAAAACAATATCAACACCGGCAAACACATGCAATAAAAATTAATTTACCAATTATTCTTCTAATGTATGTGTACACACTGACAGAACCGTCACAAATTACAATTAACTTGAACATTCATTTAGTTGATCTTGAAGCATTAACCCTTAATCTGTCAGAGCTGATATTATATAATAACAGTATATTTACTTGTGATGTTTCTAAGAATTACAAGAATACACTATAGAAGACAGATCTTTATTTTTGACATGACGCTCTATACTGTCGATAGGCATATAGAATATATATTAAAAATAAATAGAGGATATTGAATGAGTGTAAGTTCAATACTGAATTTATTGCACAAGTTGAATAAAATTATATTATGCGAGCCTCTGGCGAGCATAATATTATTTTATTCAACGAGTGCAATAAATTCGGTAATGAACTTATACAAATTTAATATTCTATTTATCACATATCCATTTAAAGTGAAATAAGAGTCAGTTTCCATTGACGCGCCTATAGAAGAACGCTAACATTTAGTGCGTCTTTACACTTCGTTTGTATAAAGCTAATGACGTCACGTCAAAATATATGCAATACCATAATGTATTGAGTCGCAAAGTCGGCACGGGTGTGTGATAAGTAATAGTTATAGTATATGAAACGAGTTAGTTACGAGGGTATAACACTGGCTGGGGCGACATCAAGGGGTGTTTCTGCTAAAAAATGGCGAGGCCGTTAGGCCGAGACATTTTTTGCAGAAACATTCCGAGATGTCGCTCCAGCCAGTGTTATACCCCCGTAACTAACGAGTTTCATATACTATAACTGTTTTATCGCAATGGCATAATGTTTTCTTTTTTGTATAGAAACAAACAAATAAATTAATCGTTAGCTACATTACAGTTATTTATTATAAGGCAGTTTTTCAAGTTGTTTTCGCTGCCGCAAAAAAAAAAAAATATACAAATGACATCCAATATAAGAGGCGGATTGTATACTGTTACCAAGATTGATTTAAGATTGAAGGGCTTTTTCATTTCATTAATTATCTTTGTTTATATTTTTCATTGTATTTATATATTTATTTTATTTTATTTGATTGATTTCATTTTTTATTATCTTATGGGTTTTTTTTTTGCTACTGGGAATGGTCGTTACCACTGCCCCATTGGAGCCTCTATGAAAAAACTGTATTGATATATACAAGGTGCGAAAAAAACTAGACCGATATATAACAGTACAGTTTTTTTCCTATATGAATCAATGAAAAAACTGTACTGTTATATATCAATACAGTTTTGAAATGCTCATTGAAGTGTACTGAGTATAATGGGTTGGAAAGAACAAAGGAAAAGCTCACAGCCATGCGATAAACAAAGTTAAGATTAAATGTCAAACCAACATTATGATAAAAATTGCAAATAAAAGTATATAAAATAAATTAATAATCAGATATACCAAAGATGGGTAGAACAGCCTACCAGTCTTGTAGGCATAATATACTTGGTTCTTGGTACTATGAATTGAATGGGTGTACCTATTTTCTATGCAGGGAAAAGAAGAGAGAAATTAATATAATATAATATTGTATTTCAGTTGATATTGAGTTAAATGCATTGATTGTTTACACATGTTGACTTATATTATGTTTACATATGTTACTGCTTTTGTTTATGCTACACAAATGCAAGATGTTCACTGTTTATGTATTGAAGCATTTTTTTTCCTTGTGTAACAAATGCATGACATTTAATTGTCTTTATTTTTTATATGAATAATTCTTATCTTATTGGGATCTTAAAGACAGTATTATTAAACTTGCTTTGTTTACAGAAATTCTAATGTATTTTTGTTTGTTGGAAGTTTAATTTCTTGAAATTTACATTTCACATTTATCTTTTTATCCCCCGCCGATGGAATCGGGAGGGGGATATAGTTTTGGCGTTGTCCGTCCGTCCTTCCGTCCTTCCGTCCGTCCGTCCGTCCGTCCATCCGTCCGTCCGAATTTCGTTTCCGGAGTAGTTCTCTGCAACTAATGGCTGGAATTCAACGAAACTTTATGGGAATGTTGATCAGCATGTGAAGTTGTGCACCTGGGTATTTTCGTCTGGATATTTTTAGTATTTTTAGAGTTATTGCCTTGACTTAGTAAAACGTCCGAATTTCGTTTCCGGAGTAGTTCTCTGCAACTAATGGCTGGAATTCAACGAAACTTTATGGGAATGTTCATCAGCATGTGAAGTTGTGCACCTGGGTATTTTCTTCTGGATATTTTGAGTATTTTTAGAGTTATTGCCCTTGACTTAGTAAAATTTGTAATTTTCAACTTGTGTCGCATGTAACTCAAAAAGTATTTGACCTAGAGTCATGAAACTTTACAGGAATGTTGATCAGTATGTGTAGTTGTGTACCTGGGTATTTTCATCTGGATATTTTTAGCATTTTTAGAGTTATTGCCCTTGACTTAGTAAAATTTTGTAATTTTCAACTTGTGTCGCATGTAACTCAAAAAGTGTTTGACCTAGAGTCATGAAACTTTACAGGAATGTTGATCAGTATGTGTAGTTGTGCACCTGGGTATTTTCGTCCGGATATTTTTACTATTTTTAGAGTTATTGCCCTTGACTTAGTAAAATTTTGCAATTTTCAACTTGTGTCACATGTAACTCAAAAAGTATTTGACCTAAAGTCATGATACTTTACAGGAATGTTGATCAGCATGTGTAGTTGTGCACCTGGGTATTTTCGTCTGGATTTATTTAGTATTTTTAGAGTTATTGCCCTTGACTTAGAAAATGTTTGCAATTTTCAACATGTGTCGCATGTAACTCAAAAAGGATTTGACATAGAGTCATTTAACCTTATTGGAAAGTTGCTCAGCATATTTAGTTTGTTCCTGGGGTTTCGCTTGTGGATTTATCCAGTATTTGTAGAGTTATTTCCCTTGACTTAGTAAAAAACTGTTTCATTATGTTGTTATTTGATCCTTGAGTGCTTGAGTTAGAATCAACCAACTTTACAGGAATAATGATCAACATCACTAAATTACGAATAATGAAGTCTGGAGATTAAGATGTTTTTACATCTAGGTGAGCTATTGTGATCCCCCACCGTCCGTCGTCATGCGTCGTCAGCAATTTCTTTAAACAACATCTCCTCAGAAACAAATGACTGCACAGCAACCAAACTTTACAGGAATGATCCTAGGGTGGTCCCCTGCCAAAGTTGATCAAATGGTTCTGGTCTGTTGCATAGCCTTATGTCTTCAGTTGTTGTGTTAATAGTAACCAGTACTCGGCGGGGGATATAAATTCAACGAATTTGCTTGTTAACATAAGAATGTACATAGAATATAGATTGTATTATGCAAATTTCACTTGCCTTATTTGTGATTGATGAAATGAATGATAAATTTTGTATATATTTTCAGTGAATATCCGCCAGAATGGAGTGATGTCACACAGGGAGGAAGAAGAGGAGACCCTATGACCAGTTACCATAGCAACACACTTCAAGGTCAAGACAACGGGATTTTCGTGGTTCCAAGATCTGGAGACTTGTACAGTGATATGTCCAGAGATTATTCTAAATATCGTGATCGTGAATCTTTGTTGTATCATCCTGACAATAGTCGAAGTGTGCCATATGCTGGTAACTATGGGGATGGTTACTATAGAAATGCAGATATTACATATCAGTCTGACAGAAACAAGAGCTTTAATAGAAGTACAAAATCCATTCCTTATGATAATGATGATAACGGGTTTAAAGACAATGTAAGACTGAGAAATCGTTCCAGGTCTCAGCCTGCCTCCCGCCATAGTGACGGACCAAGATACCCTGTTCCTGATAGACCCAGGTCACGGGGTATCTCACTACCAAGAGACATTAGTAAAGAAAGTGAGAGATATCCTCCCCAGCCTCAAGTTCCAGTTTTAAGTTCTCCTCATTATTCTACCCATGGACCTTTATTATCACCAGTTATACCATATGAAGGTCATGATAGGTCACTACCTGGTTACCCTGGAGATGATGATGAGGAAGAAGTGTTCATGCCACCACCAATTTCATCCATTATCCCAAACAGACCAAGTTTTCCTAGACACAGTTCCATGAAACCTAGTGCTCAACAAACTTACCTGACAGAAGATTTCGACAGTCCAAGTCGACCTTTTCTGACAAGTGACTTAAGTTCAGTTCTACCATCACCATTTACAGATTCTCAGTCTCGACCATATCATCCATATCAACGGCAGTATGCCGATGTTTCTGATCAAGGAGTGCCATATGGGAGTCAGTCTAGACTTCCTGAGTATAGTCACAATGGTAGCTATGGTGATATGGACAACACAGTTGTTGCTAGGCAACCATCACCAGATAGGACAATGTCAAGGACATTGTCAAATGGAGAAAATAGCAGTGATAGCAGTGGGAGGCCCATGAACTATACCAGGGATCAGCTGCTTGGAGCAGTTGATCAAGTAAGGAAAGGGCCAAAGGCAGCGAGAAGGGGTCAGCAGTGGGGTTCTGGACCTGATAGTTTTTCCGATAGTCCATCAGTAAGTGGACATGGTGCTCAATTTCCTGAAAGTGCAAAACCAAGTGTAATAGTGCGTGACAGACCCAGTAGGGGACATTCTTATGAACATGATCCCTTTAGGGCAGCAGGTGTGCCAAATAGTCGTGGAAGTGTAAATAGTTCTGGGGGTTATTCAAGTAGGGGCAGAAATGGTGGGGAGCAGTCACGAAGAGAGGATCTGACACCTGATTCTCTCAGCAGTGGTATAGGTAGTAGGAACACTTCTTCTCAGTTAACTGGGTCATCTTTACATTCCCGTCCATCTAGACTAGGATCAAATCTTACACCTATGGATCATGATATAAGTGAAGACTCTGCCGTCCCATTCCTTGATTATCCCCCAGCACAAAGAAAAGATATTTCTGGAGACGAGAATTATGAATTTGACTCTTATAATGCAGTTGAGAAAGACTTACTTGAAGCTCTGAAGAATTATTCAGAAGTAAACAATGGCAATGATGATTTATTTAGTGCACTACAAGAAGGGCTATCTGGTAAAGGGCTTATGTCTGACCTTTACCCTAAACCAAGTAGACAAAGTAGGTATTCTGACTCTGAGCAAAGGTTTGAAAAATTACGAGGAGAGTTTCAGAAATATAGGCAGAAACAGCAACAGGAGGAAAGTTCTAGGTCAGACATAAGTCAAAGGTCAAGGTCAGATATGAGTCAAAGGTCAAATCAAGATCTGTACCGCAGTAATTCTCATTATCCAAGGAACAGTACAAGTTCAACGCACAGTTCAAGAAATTCAGGGAATTATGGGTATCCAGATAGGGGTAGTCAGTATTATGGAGGAAGGGGAGATAATTTTTATAAACCTGGTCCAATGGACAGTGACATGTTGTAGTAGTAAAAGTTCTTTTGAAACTGGATAGTTAACTTCAAACAATGTTATTGAAAAGAAAAACACATAAACTAATTAAGCAATTGGTAATTTAATAATAAACTAATTAAGCAATTGGTAATTTAATTAATTAGATTAATGCTTATTGTAATGAGAACTTTTTGAGCTCTTCTAGTGTCATCTGGAAAAATACAAACATATTTGACTTTTGTTTATTAAAAAATTATTACAAAGAATGATGTTTATATAAATACATTTAAAGGATTTTACTTACTTGTATACCGGTATTAGTCATTCTGATTAAGATCCTTTATATTTTCTTTGAGAATTTTTATAGTTACTATCCATTTTTAAAAGAGAATTGATGCCTGAGAAATAATTATATACATATCACAGTATTTAGTTGCCAAATACTGCCTAAAGGTGTTTGTAACAATCATTCCGATTGGTTAGAATATGCATCATCATTTTGTATCATAGACCTTCATTGAATATTTCATTTGATATTTGTGTGTTTGTCATTAAGAAATTTAGAATTATTATTAGATGTTGTTTATCATTATGAAACAAATTTTGCCATTTATGTTATATGATTCCATTGTAAATTGTTGAAGGTACATTGACAAATATCATGTTTTTTTTTTGTCAGGGGAGAGAAATACACAGTTACGAATTTCACATTTTTTTAGTGAGAAAATTATAGAAAGACCTTAGATATATAGGAAGTATATGTTTAAAGAAGTTAGCCTAGCTAGTGTGACTGATCATTGGTTATCTAGTATTTATAATTTAGCTACTGGTAACATAGCAACTTAAATTAGGTCATGTGGTCATTGGTAACCTAGCAAAAATAATTTGTAATTGGTAACCTAGAAACTATTGTTGATCATTTATAAACTACTGATATACTGTCAACCATTGGTACCATATAAACACTTATTCATTAATGATCATTGGTAACCAAGATTATGTATTTACTAAATTTGTAACCTAGCAACTTTTAATAGGTTTATTGATAACCAAGCAACCATAAGTCATTGGTAACCTAGAAAGTATTATTTTACCATAGATGAACTAGCATGTATGTTTGGCCAATGATACTTGTTTACATTCTGTTAATTTTCATCTACAACATATTGTTGCAATATCTCAATAAGTTCATTTTTCTTATAAAATTCTGAAACATTTTCAAACCATACATTATAATAAACAAAATCTACTTCCATTAAAAGCTCATGTGATTTTTTTAATTGAACAGGATATTTAAATATTAGTAAGTCTTGTGTTTTAGTTATATAATTTCTCTGCCAAAGTTCATCTAAAATCAGTTTGACTTCCTGTAAAATTTACAGAGAAGAAGTAAATATAAGTAGAATTTTCATTGGTCATTTTAAAGTAACAAACTGAAATCTTGGAATCTCATTGGCCATTCTAAAATAAGTGTAACAATATAAACTTTAAAGGATCTTTATGGAATGGTTTATTTTTTAAATTTTGAAAACAGTTATAAAAATTAAGGAATAGATTTTCTAATTGAATATCAAGTGTATATTGTTATTTAAGATTTAGTTTATATCATAAAGAGATTGAAGGATTACTTACATCTTGACAGCCTTTAAGATAGTGACAAGAGTTACTTCCCATTATATAGGCAGATACTTACAATGTTTAAATTTGTGTATATCTATTGTGCCTTTGTCTTCTGAAAGTTTGTACATTTTATGAACTGTCTTGCTAACAAACTATATCACTTTCATAACCTGTTTATGTTGGAAAAAATAATGTAAGCAGAATAGAGTGGACATACATGTATTAACATACAATGTATGAATACAGGTTAAACTCTTTCAAGTGAATTTATTAGGGCACAAGTTTGAATTTTTTTTTTGCGCTCTCTTCTGAGATTGTGAGAATTGTTTTCAAATCTATGGTAGAAAGTAATTACTTGATTTGATTCTTATTTTGTTCTTGACTGCTGCATGTAGTGAGATATATTATTTAAAATGTTTAGGCATTATGTTACATTTAATCTCATTGGAGAATTGATTTGAGTAATATAACATTAGTTTTCATTGGATGAATACTACATGTCTTGTTTGTTATGCATGTTTTCATTGGAAGATGACTACATGTATTGTTTGTTATGTATGCTCTCATTGGACAATTTCTACAGGATAAATGTATCATTTGTTTTGATTGGTTGCTTCATATTTATTTACTGGTGTATGTTGCATATGAATTTATTGGCAAATGAATTGAACTTATTCATTAATTTATTTTCCATTAACAAGTTGTTATTGAATTACTTTTAATTCTTCTATTAGCCTCCTATTTATTGTGTTCTAAAAATGGCAAATATGTATACTGGTATTTTAAGTAGATTAGTTGTAGATTTAAGATTTGAAAAAAACAAATGCCTAGTAAATCTTTTTTGATTTTTGTTCAGGTAAGGTGACTAATCTTTGATGGCTGGCACTTAGTAAATAGAAATGTCTTTTGAATTACTTGTTTCTTAAGCAGAAATATGTCAGTCTGTAAATATTTATATCGTTTTCCAAGTTAATCATTTCTAAATGACATAGGGGCAATGTACAATTTTATTCCTACTCATCAGTAAGGTACAAACTGCATTTTTACTAAAAACTAATGGAACGCCTCATACCCTACGTTTTTGTTAGATTCCAAGTTCTCTCAGTAAGTGCCTTCCTGTATTTATGTTTTTTGCTCTGCCCTGTCACTGTACTCTACAAAAACACTCTTTAAGAAAAAAAAATTGACATTTTGTTATGCGGGTCTTCACATTTTATGATCATAATTATATGTATTTTTTTCAGTGTGCAATAGTCATTTTTATCAAAGTTGATTTATCATTTTTCATATCATTTCTATAGGAAGAGAGCATTTTTAATCTACCTGCTGCCATAGAGTCATTTAAGACTTTTTTTTACATGTGCTATTTACACATTAATTTCACTCCTGAAAAAATAAGTAATTGTTTATTTAAAATTTTTGTTTTAAACTGAAATATCTATGTTTTTTTGTGATCTTCAGAACGTTATTGCTGTAAAAAGTTACTCTTAGAATCTTTCGTGAAAAAACTGGTACTCTTGAGCTTATTTGTGAACAATATGATATTCTCAGAATCTTTTTGTGAGTAAGATGCTACTCTCAATATTTGTAAGCAACAAGTTACTGTTAACATCTTTTGTGAATAATATTAAATTTTTACTCTTAGAATCTATTCTGAACTATATGTTATTCCTAGGATCATCTTTGAGTAAAATGGTGTTCTCAGAATTTTTTGGGAGTGAAATGTTACTCTAGAGTCTTTAACAATATGATATCCTTAAAATAACTCTTAGACTCTTTTATGAACAATATGATATACTCAGATTTTTTAATGAGTAAAGTTTTATTCTCAGATTTTTTATGAGTTTGAAATCACTCTTGGGAATAAATACCATATCTGTGAAATAGTGTTCAGGTTTTGATTCTTATTAAACTGTTTTATTTTTAAATTGATCCTTTTTGTAGCTGGATATTTTATTTTGTTCATGACTTGTATTATTTTTATTTTTTCCTGATAAAATCTTTAAAATAAAATATTTTCCCTTTTAACCATTTTTGTGTTTTTACTTGATTTTGTTTTATGATATAATCTAGTTTCTTTTTAAGAGACGTTTTTTTTTAAGTAGTAATTTTATTAATTCAGGCAGCTCAATTCAATGACACATATTTTTTTATTTATTATCATAAGATATTTTGTTTTATTCTTAAATGCATTTCTGAAAGGTTGATATATCTGGGTTTATGTTTTGACCTGAATTTATGGCCTTTTTACTGCATTTCAAATTATTATAAAAATAAATTATACACAGTTAAAAGTTGTATTTTATCCTACTGATAAATGAATGAGTAAATTATTTGATACATGTACATTTAAATGTTTTTAACATGAACAAGTTATTGATGTTCACAATTTTAACCTACAATATATTAAACCATTTAAATGCAAGTGGCAATAACCTGCCTGCCAATCTCGCAAATGAGCCGTGTCATGACAAAACCAACATAATGGGTTTGCGACCAGCATGGATCCAGACCAGCCTGGGCATCCGGGCAGTCTGATTAGGATCCATGCTGTTCGCTATCAGTTTCTCTACTTGTAATAGAGTTGGTAAGCGAACAGCATGGATCCTGATCAGACTGTGCGGAAGGGCAGGCTGGTCTGGATCCATGCTGGCCGCAGACGCACTATGTTGGTTTTGTCATGACACGGCTCAAATATTGATTTAGGCCAGCTTCTGAAAGGTTGATATCTGAATTAATTAATTGGCCTGAATTTTATGGCCTTTTAATTGCATTATTGCATTTTGAATGATTATAAAAAATACACTGTTGAAAGTTGTATTTTTAACTTCTGTGCACTTTAAGGAGCCTTTTAATGTTGGCCATGCAATTTTATCAATTTTGTACCAAAACACTTCACATTAATGACAGACTGTTAATGATTAAAGGCAGGTTAAGTCCATTATTTAATTAAAAGCACTTTTGAATTTATTGAAAACTTTTTCAGAAATTCTTGTAGATTTCTTAATATTTCTTATGTATTTCTACAAAATTTAGTAATTATTATACATGCATGTAATTTAATCAGACTTGAAACACACTAAGACTTTAATTTTTATTTAACTACACATAATTACAAGAACATCTTTAAAATTTTAGGATCAAAAGCAAGTTTAAGGTTGGTCTTAAAACTAGAGTTCTCTTTAAAGAGCTACTCTGGAATTCAGCAAATGTGGGTTTTTCTTATCTAATCTAGGGGTATAATCAAACTTTTACATTTACAACTTGATAAATATACACTGTATCAATAAATGTTTTGTTTGTTGTGTTTTACAACACAGTTTAGGTCATATGGCACCGACACAGAAAAGATGTTTTTGGCTAACTTCAGGTGTTACAAGCCTTAACCCATTACTTCATGGGCATTTTGTGAAAAATGGCTGTTTTCATTGAAAAGTCTCCCGTTACAAGTTCAAATTGCTATAATACTATAAAAACTGCTTCAACACTAATCAAACTTGGCACAAATGTTGACTCGACCATTGCCCTTGCAACAACATGCTCAGACATAAATTTTCTGTTACCATGGCAATGAGGGGACATCTCAAAATTGCCAAAAATCACTATTTTGCGTTGATTTTATCCATCATAATTGATTTCAAAGTGCTGCAACTTCTCAATGGATTGAGATAGAGTCAAATGCTTTTCAGCGTTGGTTACACGTTACCTTATGATCAATCAGGGGTCATTTATAGCCTCTCACAAGACCAAAATTTTTCTTGGCGATGAGGGGGACTCCGCCCCCCTTCAAACCCCCCAAACAGAAGGGGGCACATCCCCCTTCTGGCAACCCCCTGATGTATCTTTTGGTTGGGGGCCGCGCCGAAAAAGTGGTCACTTTTTTAACAACATTTCTCAAACAAAAACAAGTGTTAGGGGCCTAAATAAGGCATTTTTTCACCTTTTGAGACAACAAAAAGGGGGGGGGGGGTGAAAAAGGCGTTAAAAGGCGTGTATATGAAGTAATGGGTTAAGCAACACCAGAGGTCAAAACCACCTCGCCTAATTGCATAGACTCCAGTAATTGAGTCACATCTCACAGGCTGCAATTTTGTTGTCTAAACCTGTAAAGACAACCCCTTAGCCACAAGGGGCATATATCAGTTTATATATTGATAATAAGACAAAGGTGTTATTTACTCTATTGTGAATAGTAGTGCACTGTATGAATAATAAATTTTTTATAGTACCCCGGGATTAGATGGGGAAACACCAACATTTGCAAAGTTCCTAATAAAAATTCTATTGTAATTGATGACAATATAATAACACTGTTTTTATGATGGTTGTAGAAGTGAGGTCAATGATATGTTTTTCTCTTTTTCTGAATTTATCATGTTTCAACATATCAGTTTGTGTATTATAGGTAAATGTATTTGTAACTGATTTATCTGCTCGCCATTTTACTTTATCGGTAAAAATGGCGAGCGGGAGATAATTATTATTGTTATAAATGACTATGCTTTTGATAGATAAAATGAAAATAAAACTTGCAAAATAATGTAGTTAATATGTTTGTTATACTCTTTAAGAAGCTGAGACCCAAATCCTCTGTCGTGTGTTGTTGTATCTGTATCCGGTCTTCTCACAAATTTGAGTTATTCTAAGTTAAAAAGGTTACTGGACCACTGAAAAGACAAACTGTCGAACAACAAAACTACATTTTATGTAGAAACACATTTGCACGTGAATGTACATTACCAGTGATTGACAATTTCAGGTCATAAGGTCAAGGTCACTAGGACCTTGAATGACGAAAAACAAATCTGGCCGTTAAAGCTAAATGCATTAACCTAGGAACTTCAAACTTTACCTGCCACCCCAATTAAAAGGTCCAAATATCACTACGAACAAGACTTGTCATTAAAGCAAAGTTCATTTACCTAGGAACTTCAACCTCTGTGTGTAGATGCAACTTGATGAGTTTTACCAACCACACTTATTTACATGTCCAAAGGCCAAGGTGTCTTGGACCTATAACTGGCCATTAAATTAAAGTGCACTGACGTAGGGAATCAAATTTTTTTGTATGGAGACGTACCCTAATGATATATCTCACCCATTAGAAGGACTAGTTTAATCATTAAACTGGCCATGAAATCAAAGTGCATTGATCTAGAAATTTGTGGCATTTCAAGGTCAAATATTGAGGTCACTGTGATGTGTAGTAACAAAACCGGTCATGACTTCAACTTGCCATTCTCATTTAAGGTCAAACATATTAATGCCAGTGCATAATGACATTTGTAAACTTTTTGGATTGGCTTTTTGTTTCTGGTTAATAACTTCAAATAGGACTGTTAAACGTTATATTGTAGGCGCTTGATCGGATTGTGTCTGCCAAAGCTCTGTGTGACCTTTATTTGATGTGTGGAAGCACCTTAATGTGTTCTGTATGCCATCAAAAAGTCAAGCTCTAAATGACCTTTACTCCAAATTACTTTTTACTTAGAAAGTGTGCAGTATACTATTCAGCGCGTGCTGCTTGTATGTAGACTATGCTTAATGAGGATTCAACTGCCCATTAAGGCACAAAATGCAGCTTTCGCTGTCGAGTTCGGACCCTTGACATGTCACCAGTCATGCCTTTAAAGGGTTAATTGTGAAACACAAATTGTTGATAATTTACCCTCCTGCCAAAGATACGAATTTTGAGTCGAAACTTGGTCTTTGTATTACCTTAATGTACTTAACCTGAATCAATTTAAAAGGGAAGAAGCCCTTATAAAGACTTTTGGTGCCAAGCAAAGAGCATGGCTTTTAAGTCGTCGCTATGTAGAAGGGGCCCACGCACACAACTACCCTTCCTTCTCATCCATGTCTACTTCGTAGAGCCACTCCCCTCTGCTCTAGTCAGGGCATCGGAAATTGGTCCGCAGTGCCACTTGGTCTTTTAATTTTTCGTCATCCCGAGTTTTTCAAATCTGTTGATGCCCACGTGCACGTACCGAGGAGAGGCGTACTGGTTCTTGGACAGATCTTGTTAAAAACATTAATTTGGCAAGGCCGTCAGGACGCTATTGACGTACAATGTTGGTGATGGTTTCACAATGAAAATATGTAGCATCATAAAATGTACACATGTATTTGAATGACGAGTTACAGAACAAAACTATGAGAGACATGACTAGCCTATTAGAAGGGAGACAATCTATTTATTTCATAAGTCTGATCCCTTATAACTCCGGATATCTTAAAATTGATGTAAAGGTAGCCGAGATTATTTTGTACCCCGACCGCTCCCACACCCTGCCCTATATCTTTTTTATATCGCTGAATATACATAAGTTTGTACAGGTATTGCCATAAGTATAATTGTCGAGTTGTTTAAGTCAAAATCGTATACTACACATAATCATATACAGTTAATATATCAATAACTAATTATGTCTTCACTTAACTATAAAAGATAACATTAACAACCCCAAGAAATCATTCTACCCTTTACAGCTTTAGTGGCGATAATTAAAAGCCCATACCTTCGGTAAATTAGGCATAGAGCAAGGGCAGCCTATATACGGTGCCATCTGTCCAGACTGCTGGTCATTTAATGCGTTAAATAATTAATTACATGGGGAACGTGATGGAATAGTGTTTTATATAATATAAATCTTTCTTTTGAATTTTAAATAATGAACATGCTTTTTTTCTTAATTATTTCCGTGGTTGATAACATCTGAAATATTTTGTTCCGCCGTCTGTATCGATTCTTGTTGCACAAATACATTACCACTTCCAAACACGAGGGGCATATTGACCTTAAATCGCTTGCCAAAGTTTTTTTTAAATGCGTTTAAATGCGTCGCCGCCGGAAAGCCCATATGGGCGACCGTACACTCAAGTCGGGCCATCCTAGAGCGTTCCACCGAGATTTTTTCGTCGATTTTTTTTCCAGCTTTATTGGTGGAGGAAGACCCCAAGTGGCCCCTGCGGGCATTATTTCAGGCACGAGCGGGCACCTGGGTAGAACCACCGACCTTCCGTAAGCCAGCTGGATGGCTTCCTCACATGAAATATTTCGACCCGAGTGAAGATCGAACCTACAGCGGTGAGGGACCTGTGATCTCAAGTCAGCGACCTTAACCACTCGGCCACGGAGGCCCCCTAAAGTATATAGTCTACAAAAATTAATATCAGTTTTATCAAAATCGTCTAAGGGTTAGATGTCATTTAAATCTTATTTCCGTATTAAGCATGAAACCATTTCAGTAAATTTTGTAAAGGACCACCTAAAGAACAGTCAATGTAGAGGTACAATAATTAATCTGAGGCACGGTTGAAGAGGAAATGTCGTTAAAAGATTATTTCTAGGGCTATTATTTGATCAAGCTTGGTAAAGGTCTACTACATTATATTTCATGCTCCAGCCTTTAAAGTTTCAGAAGAGATAATTTCAAAGATAAGTTACCATGGAAATCTGACAATATTTTGGCATATAGTTCTCAAATTTGTTGGAAGGTTAGTTGTGTCACAGGTTTTTTAAATTCACTTTAATCTTTATAACAAAATCTTATCTCACCCAATTCTATAAAAAGCCTTTTCCGATAGCCCTTGCATTAAATAAGAAGTATGTTTTTAACTAGAAGATGCCCATATTGATTTTAATGTCAATAAGTCAGAGAGATTAATGTCACTGTGGTCTTGAACACAAAATGCTTCCCCAAACCAAAATTAAGGAATGCTTTGGCTAAAAGTCTTTAGATTTAGTGTCCAGCTTTATTTGTCACCCAATGAAAACGCTGTATTTCTGTGCGTTAATTTTCATAGCAGAGAAAAAGTCGCATACTATATCGAATTCTTTTCCTAGTCGACTTCTATTTTTCATTGTACTTCATAGAACCGCATAGTGACGTAATAAAGTGAATGATAATGAGGCCAAATAAAGCTTGACACTAAGTATGTTAGCTGTACTACAGAAATTAGAAACATTCTCCTGCAGTTGAAGTTTCTAATTTCTGTAGAACAGCACCGATGAACACTAACATATACTTAGTGCGAATGTTGGTCAAGACTTGTAAATGACCTAGTTCACAGGTTTGACTGTACAAGGACATATACTTTACGATACTGCATAAATGATGAAGCAAATTTATGTTCTTTTAATAGCGTATTCAGGACCACGCTTAAGTCTACATAGTTCAATAGAATTTGTCAATCAACATACGGGTATATAGCCTCTAATTTTATAATTTAAATAACCGAAATATAATCAATGGGGTTTTTAAATACGCTATAGATAATATAACAACGCTTTTAAAATACCATACCGTTGCTGATTACAAAAGAAAATAAACATCTGAAAATAAAAGATGCTTTTAAAATGCGAATAATAACAGACACATACTAAAGAAAATAAATAGATATTGATATTTTTGTATTGATTATATTGTAATAGTTATAGCGATTTAATCAGATGTCAACCATGGCAATCTAACAGATCAAATTGTCTACACTTGTAAAGTAAAACAATCGTTCCTCTACAACACAATAGATGACACTATGAAGTAGGATCATGATGTGTGTAGGTGATAGCCCATAAAATGTTTCAATTCTTACAACCGCAATAGAAATAAATAGAAACAAGTATATAATATATATAAACATGTAAGGAAAAGAAATATTTTGTTAATATAACAAGTGTATAAGATATGACTTAGCTATAAGTAGATGGGAAAAAGATGATCTGAAAGGAATGTAAAGAGTTTGCCTGATATAATAAAAGAAGTGGACAGTTCTTTAACCTGAACGACGGAACAATGGTTGGAATTTTCACGGATTTCTCGTGCATTACAATCTGAAGATGTCGCACGAGACATTGGAATTACCCGTGATCAATTCACCTGGTCAGGGAAAGCGAAGTAATAGTTTTTTTATTGACATTTTCATACTTTCTGTGTAATAATAAATTTCATTTATAAATATTGATTATTTTAATGATTATTTTACAGCAGTTCTATTGCGATTTTTTCAGTATTGTGACACGTTCCCCATATTTATATACATATACATTGTAGTTAATCGTTTTGTATCTTTTAGTTTCCCAGTCGGAAAGAGGTGAGAGTCGGGCTATGTTTGTATCCCCTAGGAGTTTCCACACGGATTTCCACCCCAGACGCTCAGGTTTGTTCACCTTTAATAATATCTTATTTACATTGTACATGTATATTTATTAAATATGTGTACGATACGTGGCGAGAGAAGAAAATTAAAATTAACTTCGAAGGAGTCAGAAGTTATAGACTTCTTGAAGTAAAAAAGCCCAAATGTATCTCTAAAATGTGGAAAAAAATCAATATTGTCATATATGACATATTAGGTTTGAAACAGGAGGGACTGCTCTTTAAGGTCTCGTAAAAGAAATGGTAATGTTATTTTTGTTCATTTAAAATAATTGGAGCTATGGCTTTAGTCCATATTGTCATACATTTGTATTTCAACAAGAAGTCTTTTGTCTATTCGCAAAAGATACGAGTTAAATACGGAGAGACGAGTCGAGTACTAACAATCGAATTATATGTATCAATACACAATTTATCCAACTTCAATTATATCAGAAAGAATTACTAACGATCTTTCGACCACGGCCCCTGTACCTTAAGTAACCAATAGCCAACAGCTAGCTTAAAGATAACCAGTCAGTCCTCCGGTTCCTGTACGAGTACCATGGCGGCTTTAAAAAAAGGATTCATATAAGTAAAAACCCAATGTTTCTCTAAATGTAGGAAAAATCAAATTGTCTATATGACATAGGTGAACAGGAGGACGCTTTAAATAATGGTAAGTTCTGTTGTTCATAATATACATTAGAGGCTTTTGTCCATGTCATATTAACAGAAGCTCTTGTAATCCGCAAAAATGAGTAAAGTACGGGGACTCATACTACAATCGAAACATTTCCAAAATTGTATTTATGTGATAAATATAAAGATGTTAAATGTCGATACTCAATTATTCACTGTCAGGTTAGCTGGACTGAAACGTAGCACTTTACCTTACCGTACCAATGCCAACAGTAGCCTAAAGATAAACCGAGCCATTTCAATCCCGGTCCGTTGGGCTTTCGTGGCAGCTTACTGCACCACAAGGATGTTTGTGGTATACACAATGTATTGATAAATAATACTTGATTGGCAAGTACGGGTGATTGTGCAGTTTTAGAAAAATCATTTGTATTTATTTATATTTTGTTTATATGTTTACAGTACGTGAACCGGAAATTGAGCGACGTATAGTGTTACTCGGCCGTGCAGGCAGTGGAAAAAGTGCCAGTGCCAATACTCTATGTGGGCGTCACGTGTTTCTAGAAGCCCGTTGGGGACGCTTTCACACAACTGAATGCCAGAGGGTGGTTGTGTCGAGGTTTGGTAGAAGAATGGACATTTTAGACACGCCAGGATTTCTGCTTGATTCAGATATTAAAAATCATAAAGTGAGACGAGAATTTGCTAAAACAATTGGAATATCGTCACCAGGTCCCCATGTTTTCGTGTTTGTGTTCCCCACACCTCACATGCATAGATGCGACGTGGAAATATTTCAAAAATTTATCCACGTGTTTGGAGTCCAGGTGTTAAATTACACGGTGCTGTTATTTTCGAAAGCAGACGATCTTGATTATTTCTCTCTTACAAAGCAAGCGTTCATTCTATCTGCTCCTCATGAATGGAAGGCAATAATGAAAGCGTGCAACTACCGTTGCGTATGGTTTCAAAATCGTTCACCACCTCTGGAGAAAGAACTTATGGTCCGAACATTCCTTGAAACTCTAGAACTCACTATCAATCAAAACTATGGTCAGTATTTCTGCAATGATTTATACTGGACAGTGGAGAAGACCATTATAGAACGCGATATTACTCGTAGTGACCAAAACGCAAAGTTAAATAAGTTACGACGAAAGTTGCGTGTGAATCTTGATGCTGGAGTAAAGAAACATTACGGAGATACACGGAAAGACCCGAATCGGACTCGGGAAGACTTCAGAAAAGATTTAGAGGGTACAAATTTGAAACTTGTGGATACTATATGGGGAACTATCAAATACTTCAACTGCATTAAGATTCTACATCGACCAAAACATCTTACGGAGCACCAACATGACGTCATTACAGAAGGCCTTGACCTTGATGTTCAGCAGCCGACAACAAAAAAGGATGAAGACGACACCAAACGTCATATGACAACCGCTAAACCACAAAACATTGAAAAACGTGGACGCATGCCAAAACATGAAAAAATAATCAAATACGTTCCGAAACAAGAGGTCGAACCTCAAACGGATAGAGGACGGGGTGTTAGACTCCCTAAATTAGTTACGAGGTATAAATAAAACCTAGTCCCAAGTAAAAAATTTATGGTATACATTATCAGTCTTTTAACCGTTGAAAAACATTAAAGAAAACAACACGTATTACATAGTGGAGCCATTCTGTGTCTACTAAACGCAGAAGAATCTAACATGGATATGACAATTAAGTGTTTTGAAAGTGCAAGTTGATGGTGCCTTTTAGCCTGTCAAGTACATAAAAAAGTCAAAATACTGCAATTACTGTAGTAACTAAGCTTTCACCAATTCAGTAGATCTACTCCAATTTCATATTTTTTCGGCAAAAAATGTAATTTTAGTACACCGAACCGCTTGTAGCAGTGGCCATCATTATAACGTTCAGTTCAAATATTTACGTCAAATATTACTAGAAACTCTTACGGATCCGAGGTTTTTTAACGGATGTATTTCATTGTTAAAAGCAAGGACCGGAGTAAACTAAATAAAATAAATAAGGAATTAAATAAGACTGATATTGTTCGTTTATTTTACTTTCTTACTTCTATAAAAAATTTTAGGGAAGTAAGTTTTATGTTTGAAATGAAGCGTGTTTATTGACCTTATCGGAAATCATCTGCGCGCTTGTTCTTAAAATATGAAGGGATAGGCGTTATTTTTAAATAGAAGAAACAAACTCCGACCATACATAGTTATCTTTGCTATGTGAAACAAAGCCAAGAGTGCATGATTGATACATTTCAGCAACTTGAAATAATTTTGTTTCAAAGAAAAATACTATTTATTATCTGTTTTACGTTACGTTTTTGTTTGTTATTCTTTATAAAGTCGATGTAACTATTCCTTCTTTATCAAGATTGTGTAATAGAAATAATCGGCCTATCCATGGCAAATTCCAGGAAACTCAAAGAAAAAAAATGCTAAAAATATGAAATGGAGAATTGTGGTAGAATACAAGTCAGATGTGAAAGCCCTTACAACAGCTGCTAATATGGCAGACTTTATGTCTGACCTTATGTGTCTATATAAAAATCAAATGATCTCCGGGGTAGTATCATGTAAGTTTTATCAATAAGAACCATTAAAAAGATATAAAAAGGTCACCCCTACTGAAAGGGCCAGCCATTTCCGACTTATGAGACACCTTTTGCTTGCATAGCATGTACCTCCCAACTCCTACCACTATGCCAGGCTCTAGGCGGATAGAAATCGGTAACCATTCATTTTAACTATCTCGCGGCTCACGAAGCGGCCATCTCATATAAATGAGTTATATCAATGTATTTGTCAGGTTTTACGCCGACTTTAACACATTATTTGGTCATATCATGGCAGTCCCCCCATTTAAGTTTCTTTCCGATTCCTAACCGGTATTTACAAAATACTTTGCAAGTGACCATTGAATGTCAAAGGCCAGTATCAAGGGGCAGAAGAAATTTTGCCTCAGAGTCAAAAGTATGATATCAGATTTTAGAGACATGAAACACCTTTAAAGCAGGATGCCTCCAGAGTCATGCTAATTTTCAAGAGGATTTTGAAAATGTATTCAAAGGGAAAATATTGTGAAGTGAACAAAGAAAGTAATTTACAAATCGTTACAATCCCTGTAAATTATCAATGAGGTTGAACTATGCAGAATACATGTATATTGTGATACATAATGTGAAATCAGCCATTTATCGCATATAACATGTACATTATTACTTTAATCTTGAATCTTTTTACTTTTCTTAAAATCTAATTAAATTTTTCTTAAATTATATTTTCTTGAAAAAGTTTGGCTCATCTTTAGGCATGTACAGACCAGGGTCATTCAGATAGAAAAATCCCTGTTGGCACAGACTTTAAATACTACTCTAAGTCTAAAAAGAAAATATTGTGACCTCTTTGACTGCACTTTAAGACAAATATCCTACCAGTTATGTGGTTTGGAACTTATATACAAACATCTTCTTTAGTTATCCAGATGGAAACTTTTTTGGATCAAGGCAACCTATAAACCCCATAGTAATATTTGTAAAAAATTTCCTATCTTATAACGACTTGTTAAACTTTTTCTTATTCAAATAGCAATATCAGAATACTCTTTAAACCAATAGACTGACCCAATAGGATACATGAGCTAAACAATGCACATAAAGCAGAAGGGGAGTAGAAAAAAAAGCAAAACAGAAACATTTTTGTGTTAACTCTTTCCAGTCAAAAGCATGACATTTAGTTTTATTCACAAAGCATTAGGTTTGTCATAATCATACAAATACAGAGCTAAAAATTTCTCAAAGGCTTTTTTATTGTAGTCACTGAATTCTGGCGGTTTAAACACAAGTTGACCGTTTACACGTGGCTCAAGCCATGGCTGACAATAGGTCTTTGTGAACAATTTTTCACTATCAAACCATGCAAAGTTCTTTATTCCATCTTCATTCTGAAAGTCCATTGTGTTTAATTGAAACACAAGAAAATTGATAGTGTCGAAGCTCAAGTTGATATTAATGAGTGTAATTGGTATATCCAATGGAGTGTTTTCAATCTGTAAAAGATAATATTTGAGCGGCGTCATGACAAAACCAACATAGTGCATTTGCGACCAGTATGGATCCAGACCAGCCTGCGCATCCGCGCAGTCTGTTCAGGATCCATGCTGTTCACTTACCAACTCTAATTCAAGTAGAAAAAATGATAGCGAACAGCATGGATCCTGATCAGACTGCGAGGATGCGCAGCCTGGTCTGGATCCATGCTGGTCGCAAACGCACCATGTTGGTTTTGTCATGACACGGCTCATATTTATTTATATAAACTGCATTAACTGTTTACAATACTGCACTAACTGCATCACAGAAGTTCACTTTGTGCTCAGTTGAGCTAAAATGTGAATAACTCTTAAGACATTGAATTATATATAGGTAAGATAAAAATTAATATCAGTACCTTTTTTTTATTATTTCAAAAGCTAGATAATTGAATATCTTTAAAAATTCAATATGCCAAGTAAAAATAACAAGAACTGTCGGAGGACAGTAACGCTCGACTATTCCAAAAGTTGTCCAAATTGTGTTTTGGTATAATAATGCTTACCTTAATGAATACATAAAATTGTCCGAAAAGGTACAAAGGCTTGTTATTAAGATGTTTTATTGAGTAATCACTGCTTTATTATTATGAATGCATAAAATTGTTCCAAAAAAAGGCACAAACCCTTCAGTAGTTTTGGAGATATTTGCTTACATGTAAAAACTTAATCAAGAATTTGAAGGAGTCGAAAAGGGGCATAATTATGCTAAAAAGCAATCAGAATTATGGGACTTGTGCCAATCATCTTAGATAATCACAGGGAATAAGTGTGTGAAGTTTCAAGCCATTCCTTTCAGTAGTTCTGGAGATACCAGCTTGCTCGCAAAAACTTAACCAAGAATTTCTAAGTCAAAAAAGGGGCATAATTATGTAAAAAAGCAAATCAGAGTTATGGGACTTGTGCCAATCATGTAAGATAATCACAGAAAACAAGTGTGTGAAGTTTCAATCCATTCCCTTGAGTAGTTATGGAGAAACCAGCTTGCACGCAAAAACTTAACCAAGAATTTTTAAGTCCAAAAAGGGGCATAATTATGCAAATAAGCAAATCAGAGTTATGGGACTTGTGCCAATCATGTTAGATAATCACAGAGATCATGTCTGTAAAGATTCAATCCATTTCGTTTGGAAGTTATGGAGATACCAGCATGCACGCAAAAACTTAACCACAGGGACACCAACACCGATAAATGGGTTACTGCATTAGCTCGATTACTCTGCAAATATTTGGGCTAAAAAGTGAAGTATGGGTTGTTTTCTCATGTTTATCAGTCATACAAGAATAAATAAGAAAGCACTTACATTGTATTTATTCCTAGCTTCAGTTAAAGCCAGCCCAAATGTTGTCATTAGGTTATAACCCTGATATTTTTTAGGACGTCCAGTTGGGTTAACTCTGAATGAAATCTGTGGATTTGACCAGGGAAGCTTTTGTTCTTTAAAGACTGAAAATATAAACAACACGTTATATTGATTTTCTGTTTTTGAACCTTTGTCTGCTGAGGGGCAGGCATATATTTATAGCCATGCCACTAGTGCAGACCAAGGTCAGCAGGCACATCTGTGCACATATCTGCCGTCAAATCATGTCCAACACTGTTTGTAATTCAGTCAGTAACTATCTTTAAAATTCCAAAAAAGATAAATTATTTTGTCAAGCTCATTTAAGATATTTAGCATGGTAAGAAATAAAACTTTTTTAGTTTGACAGCAGAAAAAAGCAAAAATAACAAGGTGTTCTTAAAACAACAGTGCCATCTTATTTATTATATCAAAATAACAGATAGACAGCACCATACCCATAAAACAGCCCCAATTTTTAATGTAATAATCCTGCTTTTCTAAGTTAAAATATTTCCCCTGTTGTGCAGAATAACATCAGGATGTGTTAAAGTTTTCTGTTGATTAATCCAGAGACATAGATAACAGAGATAGGCAATTTCCTAGCCAGTTAAAATATCATGCGTGCCTGCTAAACTTAAAACTTGTAGAAAGTAAAACTTATTAAAAAAATATCAAAATCAGTAAAATAATACATTTTCTGAAAGCTTATTTATTTGTCTATGGCTGCAGGTAAACATATTTAGAGTTCCCATTTAAATAAATGATGCATCAATTTCTAAAGAGAGCTACTGACGAAATAACTGGCTCAGTGGGTATGCTCTGCTATGTTTTTCTAAGTGAAGGCATGGAAAGTTACCAATATTTTAACATGCAGCAATAGATAAAAGATTTACCTTTCAAATGGTATATAATATAAAAGGGTCAAATGTACATCCATTAAGTTTTATTTGCTACAAAATGCCTAATGTTTCACTTTTTATAGGCATGAGTCATATTTCAATGGAGTATAATATAGGAGTTGCTTATCTCTGTTATCTATGTCTCTAATTAATCAAAACCAAAAATAACTTAGTTGATCTTAAAACAAGAAACTATGCTTACATGAAGAGTCTGGCCGTTCAATTTTTTTATTAAAAACAGGAGCGATCAGTAATCACATGTGTCGCCTCATGATGGCCAATTTCATGTTGGGACAAATTTTGTGACAGACGGACAGACAGACGGACAGTGCACAACTAGACTTGGTACTGATCATTCCTGTAAAGTTTGGATAAAATTGCACCAGTAGCCGAAAATCATTCAACCGGAAAACCTGTGCAATATGCGCAAGGACTTGACCTTAGATCAATCCTGTAAAGTTTCATTGAAATTGCTTTAGTGGTATAAGAGAAGTAGTCCAGACAAACTTTAAAAAATAACAAGAGGGCCATGATGGCCCTGAGGTCGCTCACCTGTATATAGCCCCCCCCCCCCCGGGCCCAATTTTTACCCAAGGGCTTTTATTTGTTTATTTGAACAGACTTGGTAGACACCCATAAGAAGATGTTTCATGCAAAACATCTAAGTTCTAGCTCATTGGGTTTTTTCAAAGAAGATTTTTTAAGTTTTTACTATACACATATAGTATAAAACAATGACAACCCTCGGCAGGGCCAGTTTTGACCCCTGGGCTTTTATTTGAACAAACTTTGTAGATATTTACTTAAAGATGTTTCATGCTTAATATCTAAACTCTAGTTATTTGGGTTTTTTCAAAGAAGATTTTTAAGTTTTTGCTATGTATATAAGGAAAATCAATGACGCCCGGGGCGGGGCCAGTTTTGACCCCCAGGGCTTTTATTTGAACATACTTGGTAGACACCCATTAGAACATGTCTCATGCTAAATATCTTAGCTCTAGCTTTTTGGGTTCTTTAAAAGAAGATTTTATAAGTTTTTACTATAATATTATGCATATAAGGAAAATCAATGACCCCCTGGGGCGGGGCCAATTTTGACCCCAGGGCTGTTATTTGATTAAACTTGGTAGACATTCACTAGAAGATGTTTTATGCCAAATATCTAAGCTCTAGCTCTTACGATTCTTTAAAAGAAGATTTTTTAAGTTTTTACTATATGCATATAGGGAAAATCAATTACCCCCCAGGGCGGGGCCAATTTTGACCCCAGGGCTTTTATTTGAACAAACTTGGTAGACATTCACTAGAAGATGTTTCATGCCAAATATCTAAGCTCTAGCTCTTACAGTTCTTTAAAAGAAGATTTTTTAAGTTTTTACTTTATGCATATAAGGAAAATCAATGACCCCCTGGGGCGGGGCCAATTTTGACCCCAAGGCTTTTATTTGAACAAACTTGGTAGACATTCACTAGAAGATGTTTCATGCCAAATATCTAAGCTCTAGCTCTTATAGTTCTTTAAAAGAAGATTTTTTAAGTGTTTACTATATGCATATAGGGAAAATCAATGACCCCCCGGGGCGGGGCCAATTTTGACCCTAGGGCTTTTATTTGAACAAACTTGGTAGACGCTCACTAGAAGATGTTCCATGCCAAATATCTTAGCTCTAGCTCTTATAGTTCTTTAAAAGAAGATTTTTTAAGTTTTTACTATATGCATATAGGGAAAATCAATGACCCCCTGGGGCGGGGCCAATTTTGACCCCAGGGCTTTTATTTGAACAAACTTGGTAGACACTCATTAGAAGATGTTTCATGCCAAATATCTAAGCTCTAGCTCTTAGGGTTGTTTAAATGAAGATATTTAAAGATTTTTCTTTCGGTTGCCATGGCAACCAGAGTTCTGCATGGAATTAAATTCTTTGAACAATTTTTAAAGGTGACCACCAAAGGAACATTCCTGTGAAGTTTGGATGAAATTGGCTCAGTGGTTTATGAGGAGATGTCATTTAAAGCAAAAGTTTACGGACGGACGCCGGACGGACGCCGGACGAAAAGCGATCACAAAAGCTCACCCTGTCACTTTGTGACAGGTGAGCTAAAAATTATTAAAGGGCCATAACTCTGACAAAAATCATTGAACCGGAAAATGCTGATAATATGCATAACTACCCTTGGTACTGATCATTCCTGTAAAGTTTAGATGAAATTGCACCAGTAGTTTATGAGGAGTAGTCCGGACAAACTTTTCTTGCATGTCAGACAGGATTATCTACCGTTTACACCGGTGCTAGAAAACCCTGTCTTACACCCCCCATGTAAGACAAGTCGCGTGCTTTAAATGACGTCATTGCTGCGCGCCTTTTATGAATGAATTTCGTTCTTAGGATGACGTCACTTAACCGTTATGAATGAAGTTGTAAGTTCATACGCTACTATAAGAAAAAAGTTCGTAATGAAAATATCAGGTTTCGTTATTTCTGTTCTGAAAATAATTGGTACATGTATGTAATATGCAAGAAAAAGAATCAAACACCGGCTGTCGGTACAGACGGGAATATCTAGATCTCGGGTAACTGTTTAAGCGGAAACTCGGCAGAGCCTCGTTACCGCCGTAAACAGTTACCCTCGAGCTAGATATTCCGGTCTGTACCGGCAGCCAGTGTAAGATTCTTATATTGTGTATCTGGCAACAAACAGAAAAATACACCTTTTTTATCAAAGGGCCATAACTCGGCAAAAAATCATTCAACCGGAAAACCCTTGCAATATGCGCAAGGACTTGAGCTACAGATCAATCCTGTAAAGTTTCATTGAAATTGCTTTAGTGGTATAAGAGAAGTAGTCCGGACAAACTTTTAAATTAAAAATTATTAAAGGGCCATAACTCTCCCAAAAATCATTGAACCGGAAAATGCTGACAATATGCACAACTAGACTTGGTACTGATCATTCCTGTAAAGTTTGGATGAAATTGCACCAGTAGTTTATGAGGAGTAGTCCGGACAAGTTTTGTGACGGACAGACAGACAGACAGACGGACGACGGAGAAGTGATCCCTATATGTCGCCACTACTCTGTAGAGGCGACCCATAAACATGACATGCAATACATAAACATTACTTAGTTAACAAAAAACATAATACCCTACCTCCATTATTAATAAACTTGTTTTCTGCTATTGGTTGAAGGTCCACTGTAGGAAGTATAGGGTACATATCATGCAGGTTGTGGTTGATTGACTCTTGAATCATCCTTTTATCACCAGGTTGTGACAAAGGGTTATAGCCACAAATCATGAAGTCATTGGTAAATTTGATATATATTTTTTCTCCTGAAAATACAAAGTTGAAACAAAGCTGAAATACAACTTGATAATCTCCATCAAACAGTATTATCTATCTAACTTAAACAATCATACCATCATGTACTGACAAAATTGCTATCATTTTAGTATCAACGTCTGATTACAAAACAAAATAATGATGTTGTACATCAGGCTGAAAATGGGACACAAAATTAATCACTTTATATTAGGACCAGAAACAAATCAGGATTTTGATGTTCGATTATTTTGTTTTTCATATTAAAATATTAATTTTTATAATGTTAAAGTTTGTTTTAATCTTTTCTTGTTATTCAATGTCCAAAATTGTTTTTATCTGATCAATAATCATACATTTATTACCATTATCGAAATTGTAAAATTATAATATTATTTACTACAGTGATGTGTTTTTTATTTTATTGGCTGTAGATCAAATACATATTCAGTGCACAAAAAGGAATCATCATACTGAAACCCTTTCCAAAACCTAACAATTTTACAGTTCCAATTCTACCCTTCATTATTCAAGTTCATAGTATTTAGAAAATAACTTCCTAATTCAGATGAGTGTAAATTTCTGGCCCTACTAAATTTTTCTTTTCTTTATTGCTTTCACTCCATTAATTTTTTCTTCAGCTCTTTTTTTCTTAATATTGTCAAACCTGAAGTTTGTACTCTTGCATACACTGTACATATAAAATGTAAAACAAGCATCTAAAACATTCAAACAAAAACCTCAAAAGTTTCAGTGAAGTATTGAATAAAAAAGATTAAGAAGTCACAAAAAAATGATGTAGAAGAAGACACTCAGATAAGTAAGATGGCTCCCCATAGCATAAAAATATAAAAGGTGTGTTACCACTTGCACCTCACAGCTTCGGGTTCGAATCCGAACAATGACTTTGGATTCTTTCATATGAGGAAGCTTGCTATCCAGCTTGATTACGGAAAGTTGGTGGTTCTACTAGGTTGTCCATTTGTGCCTAAGTAATGCACGAAAGGACACCTCAGGTCTTTCTCAACCAGAAAAGCAGAAATATTGCCATATGACCTATAAGGTGTCTGTGTGATGTAAAACCAAATCAAACAACTAAAAGGTGTGCTAAAATTGACCAATATGTGATGAAATTTCTATCATTTGGCATGAATACCTCTGAAATTATACATTGTCTCGGTAGCAGGTTTGTATATGACTCTCCGATCTGTCGCTAGCTCTGAGAATTGAAGACACATTGATTGACACATATGGAGGAACCTCGTCAACAATACTTGTCTGAAATGAATTATGTTTACCTGTATGAACACTAGAAAAGGTGTTATAATATATGGTCTATGTCATCTGTATTAAAGATCAAACCTACAGTGATTCTTTGTTAGCAACCATAGACCACCTTGAAGGTCATTCCATTCTATATAACAGAATCTAACATGCTTCACACTATTCCTCTACCAACCAGACAGGGCAATCAAGTATAATATGTATATATGCACAGCCTTAAAAAAGGAATGCTTACAAATTATGTGACATCAGATATGATGTCAATTAACCAAATGACGTCAGGAAAATTACTTCTATGCTCAATGAAGTTTAACATATTTTTATTAATTCTCATTTTTATTATCATGTAAGAAGAATGGAAAAAGATATTATATTTTCAAGCATCACTGTATAATAATGCATGGTTTAGCATTCAAATGCTTTGAAATTAATCACTTGGGCCTATTGGCCTCCATGATTACATTCCTGCGCATTTGAACTCAAATTGTGCATTATTCTACAATAATGCACTCAAAATAGATAAATATTTCCTAAATAACCTACTCAACCATAGAGGTTATTTTAGTCTATATAACAAAATAGCTCAAACCCCCACAGCTGTTCTACTGATAAATATGACAAAATTGCCATTTTCTATCTACATTTTATATAACAGAATAGGCCACTTCACTGTTGAGGCTAACCTATTTTATATAACAGACTAGCCCACTTGGTAATGGAGATTGCTGTCCTTTCATTTTATATTTTATGTAACAGAGATTAAGGGGAGCGGTGGCCTAGTGGTAAAGTTGTCTGCCTCTCAACCCCAGGATCATGGGTTCGAGCACTAATTGGGTCACAACCATGTTTCTTCATATGACACCAGTACTGGTTGGTTCCAGGAAGTGGACTTGAAAGTGATTAATATAAGTCGCAAGGACTTGTTTCGCAATTGAGCTTAAATAAATATATTTAAACCAAGATTACTTACTGTTTATAAATTTAATATAAATTATTTCAATATAGCTTTATAACCTTTATAAATTTCCATGCATTCGGACATTAAAATTGCTATTTGTTGGTAACAACAAGCTTCATGTCCCCCCTTACACTAAAAACAAAACAGCGCAGAACTAAAGTTATTTTATTGTTTAAATTTCTTCAACTTACGCTGATGTTTTATCTGGAATTCCATACATTCGAGGGTATCGAAAACCCACGTTTGCCAAGTCTCTATATTTTGGGAGCTTCTCTACTGTACTGTCCCATATCTGAGAACGACTAATGGCCTCTTTAACACATTCATCCTGGCAATAAAATCAAGAGGTTTTACAATAGGTTTTCACACATTTATCATCTGCTCTAAGTGTGTGAAGTTTTAACACATTCCCTTTAGTAATTTTAAAGGTAACAACTTGCAAGCAAAATCTTAACCAAAGTATGACATACACACCAACGCCAATGCCTTAGTCAATACAATAACTCCTTATTCTTCAAAAAGTCGTGCTAAAAAAGGGGTATAATTTTGAATCAAATAATTTTATGATTATCCGCCCTATTTTGAAATGTTGTCCTTCCATGACAATAAACATGTATAAAAGTTATTATTATATTGTCTTGTGTCAGATACAGCTAATACAGTTTTTGAGCCCTTTTGAAAAATTACTGTGATACTTCAGTGTTTATCACAGTAGGACTGTTACTATGAACATAATTTATTTTACACAGAGACAGAGAGAGATTAAGATTTTTGTTGTTGCAAATTTGAGACCGCCTGAATTTCATTTGAGGTGGTCAAATTGGCCGCTATCCGCTTCCTGATGAAAACCCTGTTCTCCGCTTTTTTTCTTGTGATAAGTTGAGCTAATGTATAACATCAGATACAAGTTGTCAAAACAAGAAACATCGCAATGCGATGAAACCAGGTTTTCAGCAAAAACATTTCACTGAAGCTTTTTGCATAAGAAACATTGTTCACTATATATTCCATATCACAAAAAAAAACAAACAAAGGGTCATAATAAGGTCAAATGTTCACTATATATTCCATATAAGAAAAAAACAACAAAGGGCCATAATAAGGTCAAATGTTCACTATATATTCCATATAAGAAAAAAACAACAAAGGGCCATAATAAGGTCAAAAATGATCAAATCACAAAACCCTGACGATATGCGCAAGGGCACTTGATGACAAAGCTTCTGTGAAAGTTTTGTCAAAATAGTTTGAGAAATGTGGAAGGAGTTGTGCAAATAAGAATTTGTTCACTTTATATTCTATATAAGGAACAAAAGCAAAGGGCCATAATTACGTCAAACATTATCGAATCTCTTAACCAAAACAATATGCCCCAAGCCAATTGATGACATATCTTCTGTGAAAGTTTCATCAAAATCCCTTGAGAAATGTGGGAAGATTTGTGCACAGATAAATTGTTCACTATATATTCTATATAAGGAACACAAGACCGATCAGTGATCACATGTGTCGCCTCATGATGGCCAATTTCATGTTGGGACAAGTTTTGTGACAGACGGAGAAGTGATTGGAGTAGTGGAGACATAAATTCCTGTAAAGTTAGAATGAAATTGCCCCAGTAGTTTATGAGGAGTAGTGGGGACAAATTTTGTGACAGACGAACAGTGCACAACTAGACTTGGTACTGATCATTCCTGTAAAGTTTGGATAAAATTGCACCAGTAGTTTATGAGGAGTAGTCGGGACAAGCTTTTGTGTATCTGGCAACACACAGAAAAAAACACCTTTTTATCAAAGGGCCATAACTCGGCCAAAAATCATTCAACCTGAAAACCCGTGCAATATGTGCAAGGACTTGAGCTACAGATCAATCCTGTAAAGTTTCATTGAAATTGTATTAGAGGTATAAGAGAAGTAGTCCAGACAAATTTTAAAAATAAAAATTATTAAAGGGCCATAACTCTTACAAAAATCATTGAACCGGAAAATGCTGACAATCTGCAGAACTAGACTTGGTACTGATCATTCCTGTAAAGTTTGGATGAAATTGCACCAGTAGTTTATGAGGAGTAGTCCGGACAAGTTTTGTGACGGACGGACAGACAGACGGACAGATGATGGAGAAGTGATCCTTATATGTCGCCACTTCTCCGTAGAGGTGACACAAAAAACAAAAGGCCATAATTAGGTCAAACATTATCAAATCTCAAAACCGTGACAATATGCACCAGGGCACTTGATAACGAAGCTTCTGTGAAAGTTTTGTCAAAATCCTTTGAGAAATTGAGCAGAGAAGAATTTGTTTACTATATATTCAATATACAGAAAAAAAAATAAACGGCCATAATTAGGTCAAACATTATCAAATCTCAAAACCCTGACAATATGCACAAGGCCAATTGATGACAAAGCTTCTGTGAAAGTTTTTGAGAAATGTAGGAGTTGCGCACAGAAGAAATTGTTTACGCCCGCCCGCCCATCCGCCCAACAAAATACCTCAATCTAATAACCAGTTTTTTCCTTCGGAAAACCTGGTTAATAATGACCATATGTTGCTTACATAAGTGCCATATAGATAGTTTAATAAAATCTAGCAAATATGTGATACAGCCTGGAGCGACAGCAAAGATAGGTTGTCTAACTTGTGCCGACACATGGTGGCATTTATGTGTTATAACTGCAGATAGAATTTAAAAAGTAAAAAAAAACTTACTTGATTTTGAACAGAATATTTTCCCATCAAATTTTGCACCTGTTTCGGTAGTTCATGAAATCCTTGGGTTTTTGTAAGCAAGCAAGCTTGATCAAGCCCTGAAGTATAGTGTGGAAATAAGAACTGTTTGTTTTTTTTTTTTGAAAAACTGATTCTACAGGTATCATTTTTCTGCTTGATGAATTAATCTTCATCTCACACCATAAACTAACAATTTCAAACCTTTCACAGAAATAATCAATGGTAGTTCAAGTGACTGATTAAAAATATAGACTGAAAGAAACCCAAAAAACCTAACAGTGGAATGCCAGGTATCCGTCATGGACAAACAAAGGCAAATCTATGAATTTACAATGTAGCTTGATTGACACTGGCCACATCTGTTTATCATCACAATTACTAACATTTGAAAGATGATATGAAAGTTATATCTTTTTAAAAAGTATTACCAGTATAAGCTAAATAAACATCTTATTGCCATGTTCATCCAATGTAAACAATGCATGCATGCCATGAGGAAAAAATATATATGTACAGCATCACGACAAAACCAACGTAATGCGTTTGCGACCAGCATGGATCCAGACCAGCCTGCACATCCACGCAGTCTGATCAGGATCCATGCTGTTCGCTATCAGTTTCTTTAGTACTTGTAATAGAGTTTGTAAGCAAACAGCATGGATCACATGTACTTCCATGCAACACAAACTCCTACAATTCTTGATCATTATGTCATAATTATGTGTGTCCATCTTTTGAGATAAGCCATAACTGTAGAGAGATATTATATCATTACCTTCTGTAAAATTGACTTCAGGAAGCACATTCCACGACGTTTTTTGTTCTTCTTTCTTAGGTTTTATAAAACGTTGAAGTCTAAAGTCATTTGGCAGTTTACGTGTCGGTTTCCATTCTGGTTTTGGAGGGTGAATATACGTCTGGGGGTTTTCTATTTGTATGCCCTTTTCTGTAAACATATAAAAATTTTTAGTTATTTAGGTCTTAATGTCATACATGTATAGTGTCCCTCCATGCAATTACATGTTTTTTTTGGTTATAAATTAAGGGTGTACCTGAAACAAATCACATACCTCATATAAATATGGATAGCTTCATTCCCATGAAAAATTTCTAGTACCCGGCAGGATTTTAATTTACAACTGTGGGATGAGAGAGAGGTTGTTGTCACAAGGTCTCAATTTGCTATAATGAATGCAGTACAATGTCACAAAACTAAGAATTAATGTCATTAATTTATTTCAAAATCTTACCATCAGATTTACCTGGATTATTTACATTTATGTTTTCTCTTTATAAGGATCAAGGATGATACATGTAGTTACCCTGATTAAGGAAAGTAACCTTGTTCCATAACTATCATATTTTTTAGACAAATCAAACTTTTTGAACAACTCTGATAGGTACATGTACATCATACTACATGTAGAACATGTAGTTTTTCAATGTGAAATACAAATTACTATCAAAATCAACAGAAATAAATACTGCAAAATAGAACTCATCAAAAAGTTTCCTTGAATAGTTTTAACAAATCGAAAACAAAAATATTGAATTAACGCAGTAAACATATTTGTAAGAATATTTCATAAGACTGACTACCAATTTTATAAAAAAAAGTTTTTTATCCTATTTGTCCAACCTTTTGGTTGCGATGGCAGAGTTCTGTTTAGAACGTTAAACTTGTTGTAATGAACATCATAACTCATTGACAGCTTTTTGCCCCCCCCCCCCCTTTTACTGAAGCCTCAAACAGTGAAAAAATGGACTATTGATGCCCCCAAACATCATTTGAGAAATGTTGTTAAAAAAAGTGATAACTTTTTCGGCACCGCATTGAGAAGTTGCAGCACTTTGAAATCAGTTTTGATGAAAAAAAATCAACGCAAAATATTGATTTTTTTGCAATTTGAGGCGTCCCCCCTTTGCCATGGTAACAGGAAATTAAAGATTGAGCATGCTGTTACAGAGGCTTTGGTCTAGTCAACATTTGTGCCAAGTTTCATCAGTATTGAAGCATTTTTCATAGTTTCATAGCAGTTTGAACTTTAAGCAGAAGGTTTTTCAATGAAAACGGCCATTTTTCACAATATGCTGATGTAATAAAAGGTTAATGGATTTCATATTCAAAATATAGAAATTGAGCTACCAACAGTATAGAGCCTGGTCAGACTACATAGATGTGCAGGCTGGCCTGGCTCTTTACTGGTGGCAAAGGCTTATCATCTTTGTTTCCAGTAGGTCAAGTATTTATAAATTTACATAGATATGGTAAAAATAAACATAGACAAATTCTAATTATAGCATAAAATCGGCTATTTTTCCCTCTTTTGCCCATGTTATAACGGGACCAAAACCATGTGTTAACATAGTCACGCGCTCTTGTTATAGCCCGGTTTCACCTATGCGCAATACATACAGGGCCCAGTAAACAAACAAACAAAAATTGACGATTTGGCCTGTTTGCCAAAGAGTCATGCGCTCTTGTTATATTGAAATTCATTGATTCGAGGGCCTCAGTCGCATATTCAAGTAACCATGCCGGAAAAAACGGCGTATAGACATCAGTGCTAATCTTGGTTGTCGCCCTTTCTAAGAAAGGGACAGTTGTCAATGTAAACAAATACAGTAGAATCTACCTGTCATTCAGTTTAACACTCCGATTAACTTACAAAACTAGCAAATACAAAATTAATATGAGAAAATGTTTTTTATTTATGTTAATTTTGATAAATGCTCATTATATTTCTTTGAGAGAATAATGCTTAGTGTCTGATTTTTATTATAAACTTGTTTGTTTGAAAAAAAAACCGATTCTGATGTCACTGATCTTTTTTCTACCGTCAATCTGAAATCATTCTAAGAATTTCTGAGGGTCATGTTTTGTCTTGGGTAGAGGGTAGAGTAATGTAACGTTTTATTCTTGAGATAATAAATCTCCAAAGGCCAAGCTTTGTTAAATCAATTAAAATTCAAAATTTTGTTCGGTTCCGAGAATTTTCCAAGTTGTTGGCCCCGGAAAAATGAAACGGATACGTAAAATATAGAATTGGATAAATACCGTCCAAGCACAAGAATTTAATGTTATTGTGTTTTGTTTAAACTATACATCACAAATTTGTTTGAAAATTTTATGCTATAATAGCGTCAACGCACGTTTATTTCGTGTTATAAAGTCTGCAGAGTCCCTCGGAACTGTTCCCCAACCGTTCCTCGGGACTCTGCAGACGTTATAACACGGAAAAACGTGCGTTAACCCTATATTATAGTTGTAGGACTTGTTTAACAGTACTTACACTTTTCATGAATTAAAATATGGTCTACATACTTGTAAGTATTCTAGGTCCATTCACTGATTTTCCATTGATTTGGTAGTGTCCATGCTTTTCCCTCATATACTTTTGTCTCCGTGCATAATTAATAGCAAATTTTGGTAATGATAAACGCACCATGTTCTTGCCTTTGTCACTCTCCAAGTACCATAATCTGAATCAAGATGAAACAAAAACAAAGAATAATATATTATGTTTAAAACAGATGACACGACGGCGCAAGAGTGTAATAAAGCCATGTTAAGTGGCAGCATGGCCGAGTGGTTAAGGCTTCGTACTAGTAATCTTATGAACGCTAGCCGCATGGGTTCAAACCCTGACAGGACAAGTCGTTGTTTCCTTGAGAAAGAAACTTTACACTCATTGCTCAGTACTAGTTGGTTCCAGGAACGGATTCGAAAGTGTGTTTATAAGCTAATAGGTTCCTACACAATCAAAATAAAATAAATTCTGTATAAATCAAAGCCATGTAATAAAAGGGATATTACACTAGTCTAATAACACTTTGACAAGATGTCATTTGCGTTATATACAAATATAGAGATAAAGCACACTTATGTTAGCATTACACTGTGGGCGCGGAATGAGAAATAGCTCTTTTTAACTGTGAACTGTTGTTATTTTTGAATATGTGACAAATGGAATAATATATTCATGTAGATTCAATTATAAATTTATTGAACTTGATAAAGTGATGCTTTTTCTATACCCTGTGCTTTTTCTATACCCTGTGCTTTTTCTATACCGTTTTCAAGACAAGACGCCAATGTGATAACTTGTAGTTACTACAATGTCTGTACATGTGTTTTTTTTATACAAATTTAAAATACTGTACAGGACTAACAGTGAGGGACACCTGACATTTTTTCTGCTTTGTTTCCCGCAATTTGCTCTTTCAATAGATTTAAGATAAGTCAATGTTGGCATAAATTATAAAAGTATCTAGTCCAGAGCAGTTATTGCACAGTGATGCTAAGTAGACAATTGTTCCCACCCATATGCATGGCTGCTGAAAATTATTAGCCAATCAGAGCATCGTTTTTATAGAAGCATGAATCGATAATTATACAAGTGGTCTATAACTTTTTTTAATTTTGTGGAAATTTTACATTAAAATTTTATGCATTGTTTGTGATAAAGTAAACATGTTATTATACGAGGGTGATGATTAACAAAGCACTGCACTGTCAGTGTTTAATTTACCCTTGTAAAAAAAGTGTGCAAAGGAGATTTCACAACAAGCTATGGCTGCTGTGTCTATATTTAGTGACATCTTGGGTTTTTCCAGTATCTTAACATTGCCATCGGCATCCAACAGTCATAGTTCCCTTGCTGATTATTAAAAGATTAATTTCCAGGTACAACTTCAAAATAATTTGAAACACAATGTCTGGTAAATTAAGTTGTCTGCACAATTATTTTCTCTTATAATGCCCTACTTTGAACACATTGTTATGGTCAAAATGTTAAATTTTGTGTCTGATAAAGTAATGGTTACGTGTATTAAGAACCCAAAAATTATTGAGTAAAGTTACATTCTTTTTATGGTTTGAATAAAAGTTATAGCAAAAAAACATCATATTTTTTCCGGTAAGATGAAGGATCCAAGTAACAACCAAATGCATGGTTTATGAAGCATGGTAAAACATTTGCTACAATTGAAAAATCAACACTAGCACAGTCCAAAGGAGCATGATCACCAAGTCTAAAGCATAAACAAGAGGGCCATGATGGCCCTAGATCGCTCACCTGAATTATCAAACTCATCCAAACAATTACCTAGACAAGCATTCTGACCAAGTCTCATGACAGGTGAGTCAAAAATGTGACCACTACAGTGTTAACAAGGATTATCCATATTTGAGCAGTGCAACCTAGTTTTTTACCCAGGTGACACATATTCAAACTTGACCTAGAAATCATCAAAACAAACTTTCAGACCAATTTCCAGGATACTTGGATCAAAACAGTAGCAACTAGAGTGTTAACAAGATTTTTCTATTTTTAGCTCCGGTGACCTAGTTTCACATGCGATTTCGAACTCATCCAAGCAATTACCTAGACAAGCATCCTGACCAAGTTTGATGATAATTGAGTTGAAAATGTGACCACTAGACCATATTTGGGCGGTGTGACCTAGTTTTTCATCCAAGATGACCCATGTTCGATCTTGACTTAGAAATCATCAAAACAAACTTTCAGACCAATTAACAGAATATTTGGATCACAACAGTAGCCACTAGAGTGTTAACAAGATTTTTCTATTTTTAGCTCCTGTGACCTAGTTTTTCATCCGAGATGTCCCATGTTCGATTTATTCCCAGCAATGACCTAGACAAGTTTCCTGACCAAGTTTGATAACAATTGAGTCAAAATTGTGACCACTAGAGTGTCAACAAGGTTTTTCTATTTTTAGCTCCTGTGACCTAGTTTTTCATCCGAGATGACCCATGTTCAAACTCATTCGAGCTATCACCTAGACAAGCATCTTGATCAAGTTTGATGATGATTGATGCAAAAATGTGACCGCTAGAGTGTTAACAAGGTTTTTCTATTTTTAGCTCCGGTGACCTAGTTTTTCATCCGAGATGACCCATGTTCGAACTCATCTGAGCTATCACCTAGACAAACATCCTGACCAAGTTTGATGATGATTGGGTCAAAAATGTGACCTCTAGAGTGTTCACAAGGTTTTTCTATTTTTAGCTCTTGTGACCTAGTTTTTCATCCGAGATGACCCATGTTCGAACTCATCCGAGCTTTCAACTAGATAAGCATCCTGACCAAGTTTGATGATGATTGAGGCAAAAATGCGACCGCTAGAGTGTTCACAAGCAATTGTGGACGGACGACGGACATTCACCGGTCCTAAAAGCTCACCCTGAGCAAGCTCAGGTGAGCTAAAAAGAATCTCAAGATTATCAAACAATGTTAAATAACATAAGGCTATTAATAAGCAAATGCACCCCTCTGAATTTGATTTGTCCCGGCACTTTAAACTTATGATTACTTATGATGACCTTTGAGTAGATGAAGGTTAGTTCCCACCTGACTAAAGCCTATGTTATAAACTCCCGGGTGAGAGTTGTTTCGTCAAACAACCGGTTCGGCGAACTAATCTTATATAGTAAAACAGGTTGTGGTTTCGGCGAACTTAATTTATATAGTGCAAAAAATATCTATTAATTGTATAATGGGCATGTCAATTATCGTGGGTCTTAATCTGTTGTTTATCACAAATTTTCATGTAATTTAAGACAAGATATTGAAAATTTAAACCTATTATTTATTATTTTCTTTAGTATAATAGTTATATTTTACATAAAAGCATAACTCAATATAAAAGATCTCAGTAAACAAACAACATCATAATATATATATATCTTTTTAAAATACTTTATTCATCTCTATATAAACAATTGACACATAAATGCATAGTATTGAAAAGAATCTACTATGGTTTTTTTTTTACGTAATAAACAACAACAATCTGTTTTTATTCTTTATTCATCACTCAATATAAAACTTAAGAATCGTCCTCATAAATCCTGTTGTTGAAGTTGTTGGATCCTATTCCTGAAATATGGCTACATAATCTCAATAGTTGGGAAGTACACATGTAGTCATGTCGTCATATTCGTACTTGTCTTAGGCGTAGAATAAGGCTCCAATTTAATTTCTTTTTTTTAAATATTTTTTTCTCAAAACTGATTTATCAAATAACGAACAAATCATTATCAAAATAGGTATTATATATAGACATACCTCTACAATGTTTTATATTCATTAATGAAATTTGATGTGATAATTTGATAACAACAATAGGGCTGTAACAATACGGTAAAAAGCGTATTGCAATATATTGCAATACGCCACACCCGTATTGCAATATATTGCGATACTATTGTTATTTATCTTAAGTACTGGGAAATAATTCAGAAAAAGAGACTTGTATATTATTTCAACGGTTACATCTATATCTCTCGCAAAACAAAATAAGTGGATACTTTCCTTTTACAAAAATTTAAACTGTTTCAACTATTGAAGCATCAACTATGAGTAACTTAACAGCAAAATAAAACTTTAAACACTTTTCATTAAGTAACTAACAATCAAAACTATATCCTAATGATTTTCTTAACACAGTTTCAGACTCGGACTAGATCACAGGGATTGAGTGACGGTGGCAATTAATCCATGTTTTTCTTTAGAAAAATTAACATGTCTACTTTGTCAGCATCAATAATTTCATGGGTCTCTCTTTTCCTTGTAATTGAATTTTTTATCAGATCGTAATTATTTCCGTCTGCCATAGTAAATCACCGATTTTTTAAGCATTTGTCTACCCGCGCACCGTGTAATTTTTTTACCCTAGCACCGTTTTTTTTACACGCTTCCTACTTTCAGTTTGTTATTTTCTTTTGTGCATAGGACATTTTCATAACATTTATCTATCAAGAAAATTATGGAAGACTTTCTTTTATTTATAGAGGAAATTATGGAACACTGTTTTTACTAAATAAAACTGGTACAACTAAATGTGAACCACGGTACAATATTTATTTATCCTGCACCGCAATATATCGGTGTACCAGTAAACCGTTACAGCCCTAAACAACAAACATATTGATGATAAAACCACTTTATATACATGAACCATGCCTAATTTGCCTTTAATTAGTATATAAAATAAGATCGAAAAAAACACTTTCGCACCTCTTCATACATTAAGTTCGCCAAACCGGTAGTTTGACATAAACACCATAATTCTAAACTCCTTCATGTATAATTTATATCTTGATATAATTAAATGTGTCAATGTCAGGGTCTTATAATCAATTATGCCATATAATATTATTAAAATTATAAGTAGAAAAAATGACAATATCTCGTTCAGACGTGCTTTAATTTTTTTCACATGTATCTGACCTTTTATCGTCTCATAAACCTTGACGAAGGGACTACCAGCCAGAGTAATGTCATTATCCGAGTTTCTGTACACTTATCTGCTTACATTATCTATGAAGTTAAGCATTTCAGTTATCAATAGTTGGTGGAATTTAATAATTTCACTAAAAAGATTATCGCAATAATTTGCTATTGAAAAACTTAAATACATATAAATTTATAACAAAATAAACCTTTCAAAGTCGTTGGTGCTTCTTCTGTCAGGGGAGACCACTACATTAACACAAGTGAAGTTGAACACCACTAAACTATTTACGTCAAAGGCGTTAAAGTACTACTAACTATTTTAGAATCTACATAATGATGACCTCATTTTATTGGGCATGTACAGGGGGATCAAAAGAGACCTAGGTTCACGCCTCAATTGACGATAAGTCGTCCGGTTAGCTCAATAGATAGAGTGTTGGATTGTGAATCGGTTTGATTCCTGAACGGTGAAGGTCACTTTCGTTGTGATAGGTCTAGGAGGTATAGAAATTATGCAAATGTGTAGCGAGTAAATCATCATATTGATTATTTTTTATAGTAAATATAATTAGTTTCTAATAATATACGTCTACAACCTGCAATTTTATTGTAAAAGTCTATTAATACGCTATAATTCATATTTTAAAAGTCACTTTCGATCACTTTCGTCAAAAACACTTTCATATTTTAGGCATACAGTACCATATATATTGTAATCTAATTGGTTAATTATCCCATACGCAGAACTAAATTATCTTGTTCCAACCATATAGTTACTTGTCCCAAAAACTTACTTATCTTGTGTGCATGAATAACTGAGTTGTGCGCACAACATAATATCCCATGAGCACCTCTTAATCATCGTGTGTACACAATAACTTAATAACTCATGCGCAGGCCATGGTATCTAATGTGCACCACTTAATTATCTTGTGCACATGACTTAGTAACTTGTGTGCACGACATTGTATCTTGTGCATGCCTCTTAATTTTCTTGTACACATGACATAGTAACTTATGGCCATGACATAGTATCTCATGCACACCACTTAATTATCTTGTGTGCACAACTTAATATCTTGTGACCACGACATAGTACCTCATGCACACAATAAAAACACACAGATGTCACTTCTGTGCCACCATACATCTTTGCTATTTCATTTTTCTCTTGTGATGAGCAGGTGAGTATTTATTTTAAAAATGGAAATGCCCGTCACCATATAAAATAAAAAATATGCGAATGGAGATTGTCTATTTTTTTATATTTTTTTTTGGAAAGAACAAGTTGCTGCTAAAATATCGTTAATTCCATGTTAAAAATAGAAAATTAAAACACCCAAGCTTTTAACTGGATAAAATCAAGGTCATGTACATATCTGTCCGGACACATGGTTCTGTGGTGTGGACAATTTAGGTACCGTCCTAAATGGGCCTCATAATATTATATAAGTGTCAACATCATCAGAAAAAAACTAGTTCGTTGGCAAGGAGGAGAAAATATTTGTAGTGTGTCAAATTTTCAGATCACTAGATTAAAAACTATGATATCTGTATGGAAAAATATTTAAAAGTGTCTGGTTTATGGTCCCTGGTCAGTAATATTTAACAGGCTGGTGAAAATGCCCGATCGATCGTGCTAGTGACATAAAAACATATTTCTATAAGAATAATTAAGAGATTTCTTTTAATTTTGTTTGTTTATTGAGCATAATGTATAACATAGAAGGAAAGAAAAATATTTGGTAACTAGCTGTCACTTTTATGAGAATTATTTCCCCTTTTTCATGTTTATTTGACACATAATTTTCCAAGTCCTTAAAAAATATGTAACATATACATAGTATAAAACAAAATAGGTTAAATAACTTTTTTATGATCCAACTCATTGCGCCAACACCTGTCAGTATACATTTCATTCCGGAAACTTCAAACTGTAATGTTCAGGGTCAAAGAATTCCCAAAGTATTTATGCCAGACAATCCAAATATATAGAAAAAAGGTACTAGCGCAAAAGAAATTGAGCAAAATGAAGATGCTGGACACAAATCTGTTAAGAATTTTACATTTCAACACATTTTTTAAGGACTTCAAAAATTAGGTGTCTTATAAACATGAAAAAGGGAAATAGTTCTCACAAAAGTGACAGTAATCAAATATTTTCTTCCTGTTTATGTCCTATATGTTATGCTCAATAAACAAACAAAGTTTAAAAGAAATATCTTTATTATTTTTCTAGAAATATGATTTTTATATCATAAACCCGATCTGGCATTTTCACCAACCTGTTTAGTACTTTACATCCGGAGCTGTAGATCAAGAAACTTAGTGGTATTCAACCTTTTTAACGAAAAGCAACACTTGAATTGCATTATTTTGGAGAAATACCTAACTAACATGCTAATTTAAGGTATTGCACAGTATACCATTTATTTTAGTATTAAATAGTCAAAAATGGATTCCTTGGCCATTATGAAACATGTGTTGCATTACTTAACAAACTAAGTGTTGCATTACACGGTTAAACATATTTCGGATGATAAACTGCGGTTCACACCAATTAAGACGGTTCATACCAAGACGTTTCACTCCCTATTTATACTAAAATCATTCTGATACTTGTAATGTACTAAAATTAACCTTATATGTTATAAAGATGAATTAAAATGGGGATTTCAATTTTTGTCTCAGGATACAATGTACTACATTAACAACTGATTAGTAAACTGTTGATGCTTAAGTGCAGTGTTTATACCACTGATTTAATAGTGATGTCAAACTTTTAGTTGATGGTCTGACTGGCACCAGAGCTTCAAGTTGCTGTCAGTTAATTATTTTTGGTGATAATATATAGATAAACTTACGTGTGATGCCAATGCCAGGGTGAGCTTAATCTGTTAATATCTCTCCTTATTCATCTATTTTTTCACGCTAAAATGATTTTATTTTCTATAGATTTATATATGAGCCGCGCCATGACAAAACCAACATAATGGGTTTGCGACCAGCATGGATCCAGACCAGCCTGCGCATCCGCCCAGTCTGATCAGGATCCATGCTGTGGGCTATCAGTTACTCTACATGTTATACGGTTTGTAAGGTACAACATGGAACCTGATCAGACTGTGCGGATGCGCAGGCTGGTCTGGATCCATGCTGGTCACAAACCCATTGTGATGGTTTAGTCATGGCGTGGCTCATATTTCAATATTCACAATACGTTTCTAAATTATCATCATCTGTGAAATATTTTAAAATAATAGGCATACTATGCATACTAAGAATTGGTTTGTTTTTATTTCAGAATGATGCACTTCTAAACAAGGGATTTGAAGAGGACTTCTTAATATTTTTTTTAAATAGCTGGCTACCAAATTTTTGGCAAAATGTTTAAAGGTTCAACTTTGCCTTGCCAAAACTTATGTTGGTTTATTGTGAGGCAAAGCAGGATTAAACAATCAGGAATTGCATTAGTTTCAAGGACAAACTCGACATTTACACCAAGGTGGCCTCGTATTTCCTACACCCAGTCTGTGTATGAGAAAAATTCTGATACTTGTTGTTGGTTACCGAAAAGTTACTACAGGCATAACAAAAGGTGTTATTCAACTGAATTTTCTATCGAGAAGGTAGAAGACTATACCGATCTTTCTACAAATGCTGATATTAACAAGCTCGTGGATGAGTTGATTGAAAATGCAATTGAACGGGACAGAATGATATCTGTAGTACCTAGAACTGATATACATGAGCAGGTTGTCAAATTAGTTGAAGCAGGATTGCATAAATCGAATATCTTAAACCTCCATAGGTATCCTGAACTGATGAAGAACTTGGCTCAGCTTACAGATTTGATAACTGTACTATTACAATACGGGGTTCCAAAAGAGAATATTTCCACTATCTTAAAAACTTTTCCAAATATAGTTTACAAAACTGAAGATGACGTCCTAACTACAATTAAAAAGCTCTATTCTTTAGGCTTTTCGTCGGAATCTATGATTGAAATGATTTGTAATTATCCTGATCTTCTGGACAACGACTTATCTCTCGCCTCACAACGTATTGAAGACTTAAAGACATTATTTAAAACAAAAGATACTTATAAGTTTTTAGAGCGTTCACCGCACCTTTTGTTCTGTGATTTTGACCATATTCTTCAACGATACAATTATGTTTATGCAATAATGGGTATTACCCAGCCACAAATGCGGCACTCCAAATTGTTTTCATATCCCCTTGATCATATACATGCTCGACATATGTTTGTGGAGCGGGCCGGATTCTTCAAGAAGTTTGCAAAGAAAAAAGGACAGATTGACACAAATCCCACTTTAGATACAATCATTGACACAACTGATGCAGAGTTTGTGAAGAAATTTGGAAAAATGTCCGTGAAAGACTACCATACTTTCAAGAAATTGCTTTTAAAAGATCGCATAATTGCGACAGATTCAGAAGATTCCTTTGAAGATTGAAACAAATGTGAAAGTATGAGAAAATCACATGTATTGCACTTGTCTATTCTTAAAGCTAAAAATATTTAAAGAATAATTATATGTTTACAAAAAAAAATTGGTTTCTCTTTATACTTCATAGAGCTATATTGTTTATTCTATTAATGAAATTTATTTTGGGGAAAATTTTCATACATGATACATGTATATGGAATAAAGTCAGTAAATAAGGTAAAAGAGCAGTATGGTTGTAATATTTTATTTAGTTGGTTTGCTGTTTCAAAATAACCATTTCGAAATTTTGCATGTCTGAAATTCAATGTTCATATAGTTTTTTAATGCCCCAATGGCATATAATAATTGAACTGTCCGTCTGTCTGTTTGTCTGAGTTTACATTTGGATATCTACAAGGAACAGTAGGTAATTGTACTTTTTCTTTGATGTCATTCATTCTGTAATAAAACTTTTATGTGGCCATTTTCCTTTATGTGGCTAAAAAAGAACAATAGAGTAGCCACATTAGCACTGTCTTGTTAGAACTTCTGTCTGTACGTATGAGGTTTAACCTAAACCAGCTTGTTGGATTTACCTTTTGTTCTACCTATTCAAATTGCTTCATAATTTCCACACTTTCCTTATCAATAAAAAGTACATGATAATTCAAAGTTATATAATTGTGTCATTCATTTTCCCAACTAATTTCCCATTTTATACTTTGCAGAAATGTTTACCATAATGAGACGATATGCAGAGCGCAGGTTTAACCTTTTTCAGGTCAAGGGCACACTTGGTCATTGTTAAGGTTAGGTCAAGGTTACTGGTGATATTTTACATTTTTGCTCATACAGCCTTTATTTCTATATTTCGGTGTATGCTAGGCTGAGCTGATGATGTGCAGAACTGAGGCTTCCTAACATCAAAATTGGCCCTGCCGCAGGAATAACTTAATTGATTTATACAGACTCTATAATAATAAAACACAGTTAAGTTTTTTATTGTGTGAAACTACAATGTCTAGAGCTTAGATATTTTGTAAGTGCCATTGATTTATTGACCTATACAAATGAATCATGCCCCTTGGTTCAATATTTGCCCCGTCCCAGGGGTCACTTGGTTTATAAAGACTTATATAGGAAAAGACATCTTATTGTGTGAAACTACCATGTTCAGAGCTTAGATATTGGCATGTAACATCACTTTATGGACCACAAAATAATGTGTATTAATCAAGCCCTTTGGGAAAAATTTGTTTGAGAAAACACATTTCAGTCTTGTTTAGTGAAATTCAGTGCCAAGAGCCTAGATATTAAGCATGTAGCATTACCTTGTGAACCTCTGTAAAACTGATATTAATCATGCCCCTGAGGTCAATATTGACCTTCCCTGGGGTCACTTGATTTATACATAAACTAAATAGAAAAACACATTTAAGTCTTATTGTGTGAAACTACAAAGCCCAGAACTGCAGATTTCCACAAAAGTTATATTATCAATGGTGATTATCTGACGATGATTGGCCATGTTCGGAAGTTAATTCCTTTAGAAAAACACATCTTATCTTTTTGTGGATAAATACTAGGCCTTTATATTTGGCATATAGCATTGCCTAGTAGACCTCTATAAAAGTTTTAAGAATCATGCAATTAGGGTAAAAAATGCCTCCACGTTGGAGGTTAATAGTATCATACAAATAAATAAGATAAACCATTTTTCAGACAAGTTTCTTCATTGGGTCTCTGTACTATTGTTTCATGTTTAATGTTTCATGTTTAATATGAACATGCTTAGGGAGGCCTTCCTTCTGGTTTAGTTAGGAGACATTTGGGTCAAGGTCAAGATCACCAATTCCAAAAATAGATTTTTACACATTTACAAGAAAAACCTTTTTCTATAACCGGATGTCTTTTATATTTGGAAGGAATGTAACTTGAAAGTCTTCTACCTTTAGTCTTCAATTGGGTCAAGGTCACCAGTGCTAGAAATAGATTTTACACTTGATCATACAGCCTTTATTTATTGACAGATGTCTTTCATATTTGATAGGAAGATAACTCCTTTGGATTTAGTTAGGGGTCAGTGAGTCAAGTTCATGGGTGCCAATAATAGATTTCTACACATTTGCTTATTCAGTCTTTATTTAATGACTGATGTTTGTCATATTTGGAGAAACATACATTTGATGGTCCAGTGTTTGGCATTACAATAGATTTTTTTATATCCTTTCCTTACACAACCTTTATTTTTTGTCAAGGACTCATGTTTAGTAGGTGAATACCTCAGGTGGTCCTTAATGTTTTGGTGGAGTTTGGGGACACCGGGTCTTGCATTTATATAAGTATAAGGAACCCCAAATATGAGTTATATTTTTATATTACATAATGCATATTATTGTACATTTTTGTATCTATATTTTACTTGTTTGTATTTTCAAATTTAAACCTTAAAATAACATGTATTTTTACAGTAATAACTTCTTCAAACTTTGGGATAGAAACCATCATTCTTAACATGTCAAACATACTTAAGATATTGTTAAATCAACACATTTTGCTTAAGCCTAGGAAGCACTTTAGGTCTTTTTAACACTTCTCTTTGTTTAACAGATGGACTGTTTTTTATAGAGTAAATACAAACAAATGCAGAATAATAGCTGAGTAAAATATCACAGCTTTGTTTCCTTCTTAGTTTTTGACATTTATAACTTCAAAGTGAAAACCCATTAATAAATTAATTCTACTTTTCAAACAATTCCAAAACATACCTATAAAATAGACAGTTTAAGGTTAGACAGTCATAATTTCTTGGACTGTCAATAAAGGATATATTTTGACTTATACTGTCTATGTGTATTTCTACAGGTATGTTAAACTTTATTTTATATTTTAACTCATGTTAAACTTTATTTATAGTTTTAAACTCTTTTTCTAAAATCTATAGGAAATGAAATTTTGTAAACTTACTTTAGTCTCTGACTTGTTTAAAATGTAACTTTATGTTTTACTTACAACATATTTTTCATAGTTTGACTTATATTTTTGGAACACATGAATACATTGAACATTGATTTTTGTAATGTAAATTAAGCATTTTATTATATACATTTTGTTGACATGGTACCTGTTACCTATTTTAATTATCAAAATGTTAAACTCATAATGCTAAGTGAGTAATTATTTCCCCAACTAAATTTTAATAAATAATTGTTATTATATTGAAATAAATTGTCTAAGACTTTTATATATTGATACATGTATGAGAATTCTTAATTAAGAATATTTCTTATTTTACATTGTATTTGTAACATAATTTCTTGGACTGTCAAATAAAGGATATATTTTGACTTATACTGTCTTGTGTATTTAATTATAAGGAACCCCAAATATGAGTTATATTTTTTATATTACATAATGCATATTATTGTACATTTTTGTATCTATATTTTACTTGTTTGTATTTTCAAATTTAAACCTTAAAATAACATGTATTTTTACAGTAATAACTTCTTCAAACTTTGGGATAGAAACCATCATTCTTAACATGTCAAACATACTTAAGATATTGTTAAATCAACACATTTTGCTTAAGCCTAGGAAGCACTTTAGGTCTTTTTAACACTTCTCTTTGTTTAACAGATGGACTGTTTTTTATAGAGTAAATACAAACAAATGCAGAATAATAGCTGAGTAAAATATCACAGCTTTGTTTCCTTCTTAGTTTTTGACATTTATAACTTCAAAGTGAAAACCCATTAATAAATTAATTCTACTTTTCAAACAATTCCAAAACATACCTATAAAATAGACAGTTTAAGGTTAGACAGTCATAATTTCTTGGACTGTCAATAAAGGATATATTTTGACTTATACTGTCTATGTGTATTTCTACAGGTATGTTAAACTTTATTTTATATTTTAACTCATGTTAAACTTTATTTTATAGTTTAACTCTTTTTCTAAAATCTATAGGAAATGAAATTTTGTAAACTTACTTTAGTCTCTGACTTGTTTAAAATGTAACTTTATGTTTTACTTACAACATATTTTTCATAGTTTGACTTATATTTTTGGAACACATGAATACATTGAACATTGATTTTTGTAATGTTAATTAAGTATTTTATTATATACATTTTGTTGACATGGTACCTGTTACCTATTTTAATTATCAAAATGTTCTCATAATGCTAAGTGAGTAATTATTTCCCCAACTTAATTTTAATTAATAATTGTTATTATATTGAAATAAATTGTCTTAGAATTTTATATATTGATATACATGTATTGAGAATTCTTAATTAAGAATATTTCTTATTTTACATTGTATTTGTAACATAATTTCTTGGACTGTCAATAAAGGATATATTTTGACTTATACTGTCTATGTGTATTTAATTATAAGGAACCCCAAATATGAGTTATATTTTTATATTACATAATGCATATTATTGTACATTTTTGTATCTATATTTTACTTGTTTGTATTTTCAAATTTAAACCTTAAAATAACATGTATTTTTACAGTAATAACTTCTTCAAACTTTGGGATAGAAACCATCATTCTTAACATGTCAAACATACTTAAGATATTGTTAAATCAACACATTTTGCTTAAGCCTAGGAAGCACTTTAGGTCTTTTTAACACTTCTCTTTGTTTAACAGATGGACTGTTTTTTATAGAGTAAATACAAACAAATGCAGAATAATAGCTGAGTAAAATATCACAGCTTTGTTTCCTTCTTAGTTTTTGACATTTATAACTTCAAAGTGAAAACCCATTAATAAATTAATTCTACTTTTCAAACAATTCCAAAACATACCTATAAAATAGACAGTTTAAGGTTAGACAGTCATAATTTCTTGGACTGTCAATAAAGGATATATTTTGACTTATACTGTCTATGTGTATTTCTACAGGTATGTTAAACTTTATTTTATATTTTAACTCATGTTAAACTTATATTTTATATTTTAACTCTTTTTCTAAAATCTATAGGAAATGAAATTTTGTAAACTTACTTTAGTCTCTGACATGTTAAAATGTAAGTTTGTGTTTAACTTACAACATATTTTTCATAGTTGACTTATATTTTTGGAACACATGAATACATTGAACATTGATTTTTGTAATGTTAATTAAGTATTTTATTATATACATTTGTTGACATGGTACCTGTTACCTATTTAATTATCAAAATGTTCTCATAATGCTAAGTGAGTAATTATTTCCCCAACTTAATTTTAATTAATAATTGTTATTATATTGATATAAATTTTCTTAGAATTTTATATATTGATATACATGTATTTGAGAATTCTTAATTAAGAATATTTCTTATTTTACATTGTATTTGTCACATAATTTCTTGGACTGTCAATAAAGGATATATTTTGACTTATACTGTCTATGTGTATTTCTACAGACTATAAACAAAATAGCAATCCTTCCCCCCACACAAGCAGTTCGTTAAAGATCGTTAAAGATACCTCGTTAAATAAGTTTGATATTAAATCTTTAACTGGTAAGGTGAAAATTTTTCAACTTTATAGCAATGAGATGCCAACTTATGCATTTTCCACAATAAGTTATATAACAGTTGTAAAAAAAGGTGTTTAAAATGTTTAATCTATAACTGAGTGAATTTGTAAACCTTTTCAGCTCACATGAGCTAGTTCAGGGTGAGCTTTTAGGATCCTTGAATGTCCGTCGTATGCTGTCCGTCCACATTTGTTCGTTAACACTCTAGTGGTCATATTTTTGCCTCAATCTTCATCATTTTTTGGCAGGATGCTTGGATAGGTAATTGCTCGAACGATTTCGAAAAAGGGTCATCTCTGATGAAAAACTAGGTCACAGGAGCTAAAAATAGAAAAATATTGTTAACTCTCTAGTGGCTACTGTTTGTCTGAAAGTTTGTTTTGATGATTTCTAGATCAAGTTTGAATATGGGTCACGTGGTGTCAAAAACTAGGTCGCACTGTACAAATATGGAAAAACCTTGTCAACATTCTAGTGATCACATTTTTGCCTCAATCATCATCAAACTTTGTCAGGATGTTTGTCTATGTAATTACTCGGATAAGTTTTAACATGGGTCATTTCGGATGAAAAACTAGTGGGGTCAAAAACTAGGTCACACCGTCCAAATATGGAAAAACCTTGTTAACACTTTAGTGGTCACATTTTTGCCTCAATCGTCATCAAACTTTGTCAGGATGTTTGTCTACGTAATTGCTCGCATAATTAAGTTTTAACATGGGTCATTTTGGATGAAAAACTAGGTCACAGGAGCTAAAAATAGAAAAATGTTGTTAACACTCTAGTGGCTACTGTTTTGATATAAATTTCCTGGAAATTGGTCTGATAGTTTGTTTTGATGATTTCTAGGTCAAGGTCGAATATGGGTCATTTCTTATGAAAAATTAGGTCACAGGAGCAAAAATCAAAAATCTTGTTAATTCTCTAGTGGCTACTGTTGTTATCCCAATAGCCTGGAAATTGGCGTGCAAGTTTGTTTTGATGATTTCTAGGTCAAGTTCGAATACGGGTCATCTGGGGTCAAAAACTAGGTCATATTGCCCAAATATGGAAATACCTTTTTAACGCTCAAGTGGTCACAGTTTTTTAATCATTTACATGGACATGTACTTTTAGAAAAGAAAATCTTTCCTGGCATACTGAAAATAATGTATTAATATTTTAACAAAACAATTGAAGTTTGAAAATGTCATGTGAGATTCTGTAATTTTGTTAACATGACAATGTTTCTTTTTTCGTGCCACCTATTCTATGATCTTCACTATACTAAAGAAATACCCTATGTGCATGCCTGATGTCTAGTGCAACTAATTGTAAAATAGATAAATACGGAATCCCTAAAGAAAGCCCAACACGGCAAAATTGAAAATGTTGCAGGCTCGGTTTGATTGAGCCTGTTCATGGACAGTACTGGAAAGTGCAAATTACCGTCCACGCCCCCTAGCACCGGCTTAAGCAGAATTCAACATTTAAACGTGAAATAGTACAATTTTGAATTTAGAAACATCCGCAGATGTGTTCATACGGCGGTTATCATGGAACCTTCAATGTGACACGTAAGTGCCATTCCATGAAAAGCGGCGTATGGTCCCCAAGTAATAAAAAACGTGTGCCCTAAACGAGAAAACAATGGGCAGAACTAAATAAAATGGAATTTTGAAAGGGGATCAGAGGTTATGAAGCCTGCGTATCACAGATAAGACGTCAAAAGACAAATTTAAAAAGCAGGCAACATATCCTAAGGGTGATTCAACATTATTCAAGTAGGAATATTGGAACCACCCAACTAGAAAATGCCGAAAAGTTGAAACAAAAAATATCACAAGCACAACAATAATGTCGTGCTGAACGATCTTCAAGGATCGAAAATATAACATCATTGATTAAATGTACGGGGAGACTTTTTACAGCCGCCACACGGCACAAATAACACGGATGTGATCATAAAATAGATAAATACGGAATCCCTAAAGAAAGCCCAACACGGCAAAATTGAAAATGTTGCAGGCTCGGTTTGATTGAGCCTGTTCATGGACAGTACTGGAAAGTGCAAATTACCGTCCACGCCCCCTAGCACCGGCTTAAGCAGAATTCAACATGTTTTGAAATATTGTGTTGTTTTGTTTATGAGCAATTATTCCCCTCTGCAGTAAAAGCGAGATTCTGACCTAGAACAAAAATAGCTCAGATTCTAGCTTTGGCACATCAATATATTTTGACTAACCTGATGTCCAACTGGTCAAATACATGGACTTCTGTATCAGTTATATTGCCTTGCTTGTCTATAATTCCCTCCTCTGAAGGCTGATTACTTGACATCACCTTCAAATGTATTTCTTTTTTTCCTTGAAAGCTTTTACTATTTGCCAATGACCACAACAAGAAAGAACTTAATTGCTGTACACTACTTGTACATTGACTATGTATGATTATCATTAAGTTTTTCTTACGTTAAGAAGACATTTTGCTCAAATATATCAAAGTTAAGCATTGTAATTCAACTTGCCTAGTGGTACCTGGAATGTGTGTCTATAGCAACATGATTCATGTATACCTACAGTGCAAAACTTGTAAGTAGTATATACCTATAAATGTTTAGACAGCTCAGTCTTTCGTACATTGAAATTACAAGAAAGGTACATACTTTTTGGTCAACCCTCATACCAGACCTGGGGTAATCATTAATTGTAATCATTGATTTTTAATTGATTACATGATTACACTGTAATCATCATGTAATTGATTACCTCGCCCAAAATTGATTAATGTAATTGTAATTAATCAATTACAGCTAAAATTCTGTCAGTAATCATGATTACAATTTGATTGACATTGATTACTTTCAGATTTGACAGGAAACTATTTTAATTCAAATGATGCCATTATTTTACATGATACAGTGTAACTTTTGTTTTACATTTATACAGTAAAAGCCCTTAATTAAGACCATCATCTGGGCTTGACCAATGTGGTCTTAATTGTGGGGGGGTCTTAAATGTGAACATTCTTATCATTGCTTACATACTTTATGACAATGGTCTGTTTTAGTCATTTTGTTGGGAAAAAAAACAGTATGTATCTTAAGCTACAAGCGCAATATAAAAGACACTATAAAAGTATGTTTTGATATCTGATGAGAGGAAAACATATAATGATATTTCTGAAAAAAAAAACTTAAAATTCTCTTTGGTCAGATTTCAATATCAATCATTATATGATGTACATAAATCACCTATCAAGTAAAAATTAATTCTTCACAAAAAATAAATTTGCTAGAAGCAACATTAAACCACTCTAAAATTTACCTTCTCACCTTATTTCATACAATAACCCCATAATAACAGTTTTTCACACCTTGTGAAATAAAGTGTCATGCAAAGCATTCAAGCAGATCATAACAACAAATTTAAGATCTAGATAGGTCTCAATAGTTGATTCAAATTAAGAATAAAGCAAAGAATTTGGACTGAATTAGGTAGTCTTAAAAGTGGATAAGCAGTTGTTCTTAATTCTGGATCATGTAACAATTGACACAAACAACCTTGTAAAAAATAGTCTTATTAAGGGGGTGGTCTTAATTCAGGTATTGTCATTAGTAGGGATTCTACTTAACATTGAAAAATGTAATCAATTATCAATCAATTACTCTCTTAGAGTAATTGTAATTCAATTGATTACAGAGGTAAGTCTGAGTAATCAATAGTAATCAATTACTATAAAATCAGAAAGTAATTGTAATTAAATCAATTACTGATCAATGTAATCATCCCCAGGTCTGCCTCATACATGTATATACAATAGTATTTTTATGTTGAATTGAAGTATATATATCATAATTACAAAACTATTGAAGAAACAAGAGGGCCCAGAGGGCATTCGATCACTCACCTGAGAAATAGGTCAAAGTGTAGCCCCTTTTCACCCCAAAAGCACAATTTGTAAACAAGGGACAGCTAAATCTGAAAAAAAAATTACACTGTCACCAAGGAAATTTTTGTGTCAAATTTGAAATTCTAAATTTAATATTATTTGATTTTATTCAGGCTTTCTTCATATAACTTACCCGTGGTGCAGAGGTAACACGCTTGTTAAGGGTGTGAGAGGTCTGGGGGTTCAAATCGCAGTCAAGGCAACTATTTTTTTTAAGTGTTTTTTATAAGGAAGTAGCAACGATATGCAAGGATAAAGTGTGGCTGTCATAAAAAATGAAAATAAATGGTTTTTTGATGTAACTGTAGTCATGCAAAATTCCGTATGTAACAGGAAAATACATACAAATATACAGAACGATTTAGATTGCAAAGATGAGAAAATAACACAGAGCTTGCAGCCCTTTGATTTTTTTTTTAATTGAAGGTCGAGATGAGACAGATGTTTTTTCGTTTAAAAATTTACATTTCGCATTTAGTGTCTACCGTAAGATACTAGTACCGTTTTTACGGCATTTAGCTTTACTTTAACCTGGTTCTCAAGTAAAGCAGGTAACCAGAAATATTACAGAAAACAAACAAGAACAAATACACTAAAACGGGGAGCAAAATAAAGCTATTTCGCGTAAGTTTTCAATTCCTTTCACAAAGTATTTATCTATTTTTCAAGTTTACCTTATGTATTATTTTTTCTTGCGGTATTTCCATGCATCTTATGAACCAAAAATTGAAAATTATATTCTGAAAAAAAATTGGGTCTGACACTGAGTCATTATGTAGGACAGGTAACAACAAAAAGGAAAGGTTTTAAGCTGACGTGTATTTAAATTGAGTTAATAAAGAATACAACTTGCAACTTGAAAACATTATTAAATGATGCAGATCGGGCTCAAAATATTACTATAGTTTTGTTCAAGCATTCTAAGACCTACTTTTGTTTTACACATTTTGGCAATCATGTTTTTGTCATGTTTTGATTGATTTGAAATGAAGGAAAAGACTTGTGCTATTGGTCTACATCCTTGTGAGGGGTTTGACAGAAAGAGATGATAGATAACCTTTAATAACCTTTAAAATATAAATCTCATTCTCTGTCACTGTATAGGGTAAGTTAATCGTCATCAATTTTAACAGTACATACATGTAATATCCCTCAAAGCTTAAGTTAATGATAAAAGACAATATTTTAAAGTGAAGCTATGCCTATCAAAGACAGGGTATAATGATAATCAAGGCGGCAGCGTAAATGATGAGAGTACAGGTGGAAGTCAAAACAACTAAATGCTTTCAGTTTTATATTTTGCTTCACTTAAATGAACAGTAACCCACCTGAATCACAGGAATTTCTATAAATATATTAATCTTTTAGAATGTATTTGTAATGTTCGATTGATTCCTTTAATATTTTAGGCAGTTTTTATATTTCTGCATGAATGTTTGTCATTATCAATTTTTGGTCAATCCCCAGTAGCCATAATTTTGACATAATTGAGCTCATCTTGACAGTGCAAAAATTAAGCATAATGCCACTTTAAGGTCAATCTGCTGTGTGTATACAGGGCCTTTTTCCCCTTTTTTGCTGTAGCCTGTATCAGGCTACTTCCCCAAGCCAAATTACTACCTTTTTTCCCCAAAAAACAGTCCAAATTTCCCCTTCTGGCAAATATTTCCCCTTTAACTGAAGAATAAAAATTGTAAAGAAACTTTCTTGTTTTAAAATAGATAATTGTTTTGTCCAATGAAAGCTAATAATTCAATAACCCAATAGAGGGATACCTTGATTTAATACAATTGATGTTAACTCAGAGCCTCAGTCTGAGTTTGCAACTTTCTAAAAACAGCATGGGAAATCCCTGCTGCCTTATTTTCTAGTGCACATGTGATTTGTTACGACAATATGGCGACCGATACGATGTCACTAATGTAAACAATGTCACAGAACAAGAAGAAAATACGATTGAGTGACGTTTGTAATTGTTTATTAAAAATTGGATGAATTGATGACCTTGTGTCCGAGTATCACAACATGCCCAACTGTCGGAAATAGCGAGCCTAGCACATCAGTGCCAGTAATACAGTGTAAACTGATAATAATGTACCCTCTGAATCAAACCAAGAACCCTCACATGACCAACATAAAAAAAAATTAAAATACTATAAATAGGAAATATGAGTTAATATAAAGGGTCAATAAATTGATCTGTAAAAAATGTTTTTTACTCCTGTTGGACAGAAAGCTTAGTACTATAGTAAACCTTAAATGTGATTGGAGGAAGATATGCAAATAAATTATGATATTCCCCCGAAATGTGTGAAAATATGATATTTTTCCCAAAAGTGTGGAAATCGCGCATTTTTTCCCCACAAAAAGGGCTAGGGCGCCTTCCCCAAAACTAGTGAAAAGGCCCTGGTATATGTCATTTGATGGTGCTTATGCATGCAACTTAGCATATGATTGGATTTCTGTGATATCGGCAGGGACACATACAGTAGCCCTGGAATATTAATTTACTATATATAATATAGTTCTAGGCCCCCAGCAGGGGTTTTACTCAATGGAAGATAGATAGATATAGTCTCTACATCATCATGTATCAATTGGCTGTAATACAAATGCTTATAAAACATTAAGGTTGAAAAACTTGACCTGTGTCAGTTTGCTTAAAATTATTTGAATTATTGATGTAATAGTATAAGATATTGACCAAGTACAAAGTCTTTCTGTTTAGGGAAGACCTGGTCATGAGCCAAGTAGTTATGGTCTTCTTGCTGCACACCACTGTTGGTTTGAATCCAAACAGGGACTTTGGATTCTGACATGTGAGGAAGCTATCCAGCTAGCTCACAGAATGTTAATGGTTCTACTCAGGTGCCTGTTCATGCCATTTGACCTATACTGTGTTGGTTCAACATAAAATCCAATAAAGAAAGCGAACTTGACAGTTAACACTTCAGAGGTCCTGGACGTTTTATCCCGAGCACTTGATATAACACACAAAGATTATTTTTAACACAGCACTTAAATATTAACGTTCTGCTTTATTTTGCATTTAACTCTTCATATCTGCAATCTGTCAGTATCAAGTATTTGATATATACTGTCAATATAGGCAAGTTTTGGATTATAATATATCAATGTAAAATAACTTTTATGTATTATGCAGTTTTTTTTATAACTAAGCCCTAAGTAAGCCCTAGCCCTAGAGTTGTTGGGAAATCAGTTTTGACTTTCCACTGGTTGTTTGTTTGTGTTTATGAAGGTCTAATCCAAAGAGAAGGGCATTTAATGTTGATTTTACCTAAATTATCTACGGGAGGAATTTTACCAGGAATTTCCAGATGTCTTTGCTTCTGGTAGAGGCTGCAGCTGTAAATCAAATGGACCGCATATGAATTTTGTACAATTTTTATCTACCTGTACTGTAATTTTTCTACAGCGTTTGATATGTTACAGATTATATGATTTAAAATGTTGTAATAAGAAGGCTATGGTAACTGTTGAAGTTTTATAGAAGAAGACTTCAAGCATCCACTTTTGTCACATTCTGAATGCCGGAAGAACCGCTGAACTTAATACCGGAAGAATCCCTTAGGAAGTTAGATATTGCTCTGAGAAATTGCTATATGTATAATGTGTATATATGTTTAATAAGTAAAACACCCAGGTACAAGTAGCTAAAGTAATTTACAAACATGATTTTAGACTGAAAAGGGATAAATATGATTTATGACAAAAATATTCTACTTACAGAAAAATGTCGGGAAAGCCATATCCTACAGCACAATATGGATCGGGATACCCGCAACAACCCCAATATCCAACAAGCTACCCCCAGCCTCAGTATCAGACCGGGTATCCTTACCAGCAACAATATGGTATGTTTATAACAATAGATAATTATATAATACATAAAAGAGATTTTAAACTTTAAAGGATAACTTCTTTTTTTAAGGAGATAGTAAAAACATTTTAGTGGACCTCCAGCCTTTTGTGGGATAGTTCTACAAGTAGTCAGACTTTTGATTTCATGCCAATGTAAAAATAATAATATGGATATCTTATAAATCAAGCAGCTTCTTTAAGCTACACTTCATAGCTACTGCTGCAAGAAGACGCTATCACCTTTATTACAAAGATATGTAGATCACCATACAAGCAGTTATGATCAGTTAGTTGTTGAGATATTTTTCCTTGTTGCCTTAGTGTAAAGCTTTACTTTCATTTTTTTAAAGGTCAGCCTGTTCAACCATCAGCGCCATATTATGGTAATCCAAACCCACCACCATACCAAGAGGCACCACCACCATACTCTCAGGTAAGTTTTTAAATAAGAATTTTTTAATTCAAGAATTCAGAAAATCCTATTTTTTTAACGGCCGTTTTTATTGAGGTTACTTTATGTTAAAATAGATCTGGGGAAATTCCACCTAAATGGAAATGTATTAACGAACTAATGGTTTTCGCTTTCTTTAAAAGTTATTAAAACTGAAATAAAAAGCAGGTTATTTCTTTATAAGAAACCATATTAAAATCATAGTAATGAATAAAATTCCATTACAAAAAATAAAGGTAAATACACAATTTACACGCAGAAAATAACTATTCTGTTTTTAAAATAAGAATGATTCTCACTACCGACTTGTTTGAATATTTATTGATTTTCAAATTTTTATAAGAAAACAATTATTTTTGAATATTTTGCAATACTTATTTAAACGAATATTGACAATTTTCTCCAAAAACAGAAATCCCCTTTTTTCACCTTAAAACTGGTTAAATAATGTTAGTAAAGCACATATCTCATAATTTTTGGATATTCATGAACTTAAAATTTGTAGTAATACCCCAGATGCTTAAACGTAAAATACGAAAATGGCTTTTAACTAGATTTTCGAAAAAAAAAAGGGTTTCAATGCCAAATTATAAATGCCCTGCAGAAATTCAATATTTTATTAAATTATTCCCCTTTAAAATGTAAATTTGTTAAAAGAAAATTTAAAAATAACGGGAAATTAAAGAATCTTTTGTTAATTGTTTAACTGACAAGTATAAAGTAAAGGCTGAAACCCCATGCCACGCCTATGTTCATGCAAGTTTACAAAAATGTTTATTAAACTCAAAGCATTTAGGGTATTTGTAGGTCCACTTCAAAACCATTATTCACTATTAGGCTGATTTTTCCCTTTTTCACAAAAAGCAACAGTATCTCAAAAAAAATGGGTTTGTGCCTTTTAATTTTGTTCCATGAAATAAATCTTTTACGATACTAATAAAAGTACCGCTTTTGAGAAGTAAAATATAACTAAATTTTGGGGCATATTTAATTCAAGCAATTATGTACAATTAGATTCTTGGATAAAAATTGAATTTTAAAAAATTGCCTGAACAAAATTACATTTATATCAATTCCCTGATTCTCCTACAATAAAGCTTCCGAATCTGTCTACCACACTCTTGTTTTCTTGTTCAATTTGATATATACCCACCATTTGTTTCTTTTTCAATTTGAGATGTTGGAAAGAGGTGCTATTTAAGAATGTATGCTTGATACAATGCATTGATACAATTTTATAATGCCTATAAAAGTGAAAATTTGACCTTTACCTTGTAGTATCAGGCAGGGCCGCCAGCGCCACAACCCATGTATCCTCAGCAGATGCCTCCCCAGCAGCAGACAGTTATTGCCCCTGGATTATTCGACTCCGGGGCAAGATTTGATGGTATCGCCCAACAAAGAGTTCCTGTAAGTTTTAAATTGGCATAATTCATAGTTCCAAATAATAGTTTTATAGTTTAAACTTTATTTAATCAATTAAACAACATTTACAAACATTTCACAACAAAGAAATTCAGACTTGATTGGAAAGAAGTCAAACAGTTCTTATATTTCACAATTCCTCTCCCACCTTTATCAAATTTGTACAACATAATAGTGATATTACTCTGTGAATTAAATTCAGCTTTGTTAAAATAAACTTTTCTATATTGTAAGGGTTCTCTCTGCCATTTTAGCCATTTTCAAAGTTTGGGTAGGGAAATTATAATTTTGTTACCCACGATCTGCTATTTTGATACATTTTTGTATGATATTAGAAAATCATTCTGACATACTGGTAGCTAAAAGAAATTTTCAACCAGGGCAATCCCTGAAATTGTTATTTCATTTTATGTCTTAAGAAGATTTAAATGAGATAATTATTTCTTAAATAGTTTTGTTTAATTTTTAAGACAATTATTTGCCAGTGCTTTAAGCTGCAAACTTCAATATGATATCATTGACAAGAACATTGTGAATGGAGAACTATCGATGATGAAATCAATAATTTAACCATTTATTTGTAATTATTAATACATTTGACCTTTTTTGGGCCTCCATGGTTGAGTGGTTAAGGTCGTTGACTTCAAACCACATGCCCGTCACAGCTGTGGGTTCAAATCCTAAAGGGACTTAGGATTCTTTCAGAGGAAGCTATCCAGCTTGGTTATAGAACATCGTTGGTTTTACTCAGATACCCGTCTGCCCCTGAAATGGAGGGACTTTGAGGTCTTGCTGACCCAGAAAAGCTGGAAAGTCGCCATATGACCTATACTTTGTTGGTGCGACATAAAACCCAACCCCCCCATAAAAAAGATTCAGATTTTTTTCGTTGTTGAATTTGAAACTTAATAATCATGTTTTAGATATTTTTCTCAGTCTGTCTTAGTCTAAGGTTTTGATGATAACTGTCCAATTGTTATATTATAGCTGATATCCTAATGTACATATACAAATTACAGTTAGAAAATATTGAACATGACTTGTAACTAAATATTCATGGAAAAGCGAACTTCTGTTTTCAAGGTAAAAATGTAAAAATTTGCATGTTTTGAAGCAAAATTTCAATTTCTTTCAACAATTTGATGTATAAGAAGATAGATTTTGAGACACTAGTACGCCATTGGATTTTCTGTTTTCTTCTGGAGCCTTGCTGCTTTGATACATGTGTTTCTATATATCAGCCCCCACCACCAGGTGTTGCGCCCAGTCAGGCTCAGCTGGCAGCCATGCAGGGACATCAAGTTGTAGGTAGCCAACAAGGTACAAGCTGGATCTCTGGAGGAAGAAACGATGGTGGTTATACATGGGGATTCTAACATTTACTCTATATGGTGGTGAGTTTTGCTTATGTAACTATATGAAAGCGTTTCATTTTATAGGTTTCCTTTTTTAAAAAAAATAAGAAATAAGAAAGTCTTTTAGCCAACAATTGACTCGTTTAAAACCTGTCGATATAAAATTTCAACTTATGTAAGATTCTCAGTAAAATTTATATTGGGTGGGATAAAGCAGTAAAAATTGTTATCATTAGATGATCATTATACTAGTGTACTTGAACCCAGTATGTTCATGGCCTAATGGTTAAGGTCATTGATTTTAAACCACTTGCCTCTCACTGCTGTGGGTTTAAATCCTGCCAGGGACTTTGGATTCTTTGATGTGAGGAAGCTGTCCACCTAGCTTACAGAACATTTGTGGTTCTACTCAGGTGCCTGTTTGTGCCTGAAATAATGCGCAGAGGAACACCCAAGATCTTCCTCAACCAGTAAAGCTGGGATGTTGCCATATGACCTTCTTAGTGTTGGTGTGAGGTTCAATCCAGCCAATAAAAAAAATTGCGGTTTTAGACCTTGGACCCCAGCAGGTGTGATTATGTGTTGGCGGTGTTTTATAAATATAAAATAAGATTTATTTTCTGATTGTAGGGAAAGTTGGTGATGCATACAAGATCTAAAGTCTGTGATACTGTTATATCTGCACCACATTGACTTGACTATGTTACAATTTAAGCCCAAATTTCATCAATGTTCCATAGATATATTAATCTATAGCTCTGCACAGAATAAACAGTTGCATCATAGGAAAATTTTATTTATGTGAAAACACTATTGTAGGTATATATACCCTTTAGAAGATGTGATTTCCTGTTGCGTATTTATTTGTAGAAATAGAGAAAAATGTTAAGTTGAATATTGTGAAAATCATCTTTTTTTTTCGTTTAAAAGTTGAAAATCATTTCCCTAAAGATATATTATGCTCAAACTTGTTATTTAAGATTTATTTGTCTCTTTGTAAATATAAAATCAAGATGTTACGATTTCAAACAGAGTAGATATACAATGTAGTATGTATAATATTTCTACACACTTTAGGAGCCCATAATGTGAATATATTATAGTCTCATTAAAAAAAGTTTTAAGAAAGGAAAAAAACTTTACTTGACCCGTTTTAGGGAATGCAGCTTCTGGTACATAGATTTCAAATTAAACATTTTCAGTAAGAATTTTATAGATTTCAATAAATTTCAGCAATAGAAAATTATTTTACTCAAAGATGAGCATAGTATATCTTTAACTACATTGTAAGGATATTTTTAAAAAAAACTTCGCAAAAAAAATGTTATTTTCTGCCAGTAAAAAATGAAAAGAATACACTTTATCTTACATGTACTTAATTGTTTATTTTTTTAATTGAATGTAAAAACTGTATGTCATATGCCTCAACTTATGGTACTTTAGTGGAGAATCTTCATTATTTACAGATAAAAACTTGCTATTTATTGTTTAAATACATGATTGTAGAATTAGGTGTTTTAGCAAATTTATTGTTTTACAAGGTAATGGCTCTGGAAGCCAAAATATTAATTTTTTTATTCTTTTTGTGTATATTTATATAATTATGTAGAAAAAAAGTTATTTTGTTTTAACTTCATACCTAATACATGTATTCAAGATTTCTATTAATCAAACTCTTGTTCATGTTTTCATTATAAATTATGCACAAGTCAATTGTAACATTGGCCGACCTACCCTGTTGAAAAGCTAAGGCTTTGACCCCCTTTTAAAGGCCCCACCCTGCACAGACACTTTGAAGATAAAGTTCCCTATAACAAGTCGTACACTGTATTGCCCATCATCGTGGGTAAAAGGATGGTAGGGAGCAGGGTTGCAATTGTCTTGTATAAGTTATCACCATTCTTTCAATCTTTGCAACATTTTTTTTGTAATATAGGCACTCAATATCATTTCAATTTCAATATATGTTTCTTACCTTGGATACACTTGTCATGGTCATTATTTTCTTCTTTTGTCATGCTCTCAGAAATTTTTGTGCAAGTATAAAAAAAAATAATTTGCTCATTCTTGAAATGCATTGGTCACCCTTGCAGAGTCTTGAAAAACACATTGTTACTGATATCGTAGGTAATTGGTATGTTAGTATCAACCATGTACTTCTTTCTTCCGCTGAATGCCAAGTCAACTGGTTCTAGGTCATCAAGGTTAAAAATAGATTACTCACTGTAAAATAAGCTTTGTCATTCAGTTCAAAGTATCACCAGGGAGCATCTTTTGTTAATGATAATGATTTTTTTAACGATTTTTGAAACAGTTTTTTTAACATGAAGTTATTCTCATCAATTCAAATGCATAGATTTATTTAATTTTGTGTTTTTTAACTCTGAAAACCTATATTCCCCTATATAAAAGCTGACAATTAATTGTATTTGAATACTTTCTAATTTACATACTGTTTTTGACCAGTAAATACACTGATGTTGATACCTATTTATTGGCACCAACTTTCTGTTAAAATAGATAAAATAAAGACAATTGAGATTTTCCAATTAGTTTTTGCATGATTTTAGGACATTATTTTGTTCCAAAAAGTTCAGGTTGAAATAAAGTTACTGCATCTTTCTAAATCAAAATATTTTCATTCTTACTCTTGTGTTATTCAGAATCAATTATCTGATGGTGTTGGAAATTCTTTTACTTACATAAATACCCAAAACATTTCACTTACATTTGTTGTATCTATTGTAAATAGTTGTATATGATTTATTTCTTGAGACATTAAATAATATGCGAAAGATATGTTGTTACTTATTGATAAAGAAATGAGCCGTGTCACGACAAAACCAACATAATGGGTTTGCGACCAGCATGGATCCAGACCAGCTTGAGCATCCGCGCAGTCTGATCAGGATCGGATGTGCAGGCTGATCAGGATCCATGCTGTTCGCTATCAGTTTCTCTACATGTAATAGGGTTGGTAAGCGAACAGCACGGATCCTGATCAGACTGCGCGGATGCACAGGCTGGTATGGATCCATGCTGGTCGCACTATGTTGGTTTTGTCCTGATGCGGCTCAAATGTTATTACTTATTGATATCATTACAGCTGACCTATCTGTTTATAAGTATGAGGGCTGTCCCAATAAGTCATGGACAACAGTTTAAATACAAAATTCTCAATGGACTTCTAAAAAATTCTAAATGGTAATTAATACACTATTGCTGAGCAAACATGCAAAAAGCTAGTCAGATAACATTTGATTATATACCGGACAAATTTAATACACTAGTACCTGATAACGCAATGCGGCCCATATTCCAAGTCATAAATATGTTATGTAGCATTATGTTTTTCCTTTTCTCTAAAGAAAACAGTTTTAAATGTCAAGAAACCTTATACAAGACATACACATTTGTCAGCACTCACAATTTTTAACGGACTAAAATTTCTGAAATACTGACAACTGTTTGATGTCTTACCATTATTCTTCGTAAACGTTTTCAATTCTCTCCACTGTTCATGGTTGCTTGACTAAGGGCATCCCATTTTTGATATTTTTTCATCAACTGTTAGATACTTTTTATGACACTTGTATAATAATATCGTTTAAACAGGACTGTGTTATTCAGCATGAAATTGATAACCATCTCCAGGGTCGTTTCAGCATCAAACATCGCATTTTTATTGTGCTTATATAATTATATATGAAGGTCATTTATCTGTGGTCATTCCTCTTCTTGATTTTATATCACTGTTACTTCTCTATGTTATGTATCATGGTCTTTTCTATACTGTGGTGGTGGTGGTTCTTGCACTGGATCACGGCAGTAAGCGTCACTGAATTTACCAGAGCACAGTTCAGTCACAGCTATACTGTTGGCAGACTGACTATATACCCAAAACTAAAAATGAACACTTCCAAAAATGGCAACTGCAAAAGTCCATTAAAGAAATTCAGCTAATCAAGGGGTCACCAAATTAAGGGTTAAATTATAAGGAAAAACAGACTAGTTTTTAAGAAAACATTTATTCCACATAAACAATTACCTGACAAGATTGGAAAGAGAATGTAGGAACACATAGTTGGTATTAACAATGAAGATACATGTCAAATAGCACTTCTGGTATTAGTATTAATAGCACAACAATTTACAATATAAAGTCTACTGTAACATATTCTTTGAACCAATATCAATTAACATACAAAATGGTCAACTAATTTAAGAATGCAGCCTCATTTGGGTAAATTACTTGGGAAATAGATCTGGGTCCATATTCAATATACATCTTAAGATTTTTCTAAGAAATATCCTCAAATTTAAGGTATCCTAATTTCTAAGGATAAGAAAGTGCCCATTAGGGCCCGTAATCCTTAAGATGTATATTGAATACTGACCCTGGCTGAAGCCAATCAGCAAATTGACTCCAAAATTATTAAAAATGGCTCAAGAAAATCATGATTGGCTCAATTTTATGAAAAGTATGTCTTGGAATCGCCGGTCTAAAATATGGCATCTAAGATTTTATGGTTACTGTAAAATCTCATTGCCGACTTATTCTAAACATGTCACAAATGATCACTTCACAAAGACACCTTGTTCATATCCTTATTGTTCATAACCTGATTGTTCATATTCAAATGGTAATTTTTTTATAAAGTATGATTTCATGTATACCAGTTGGTCATCATCTTTTGGTTAGACTGCTACACTACATACAACACGAATATCGACTCATATATAAACAATGATAAAACATAGTACAATATAAACACCATTCTGACAATATAGAAGAGGTAATAGTGATTGTATTTTTGCATGGGCCGGTGATGTAAATATATTTTTGCCATTACCAATATGTGGTCAAATCTTTCAAGCATTTAAATTACTTATTATTATAGTATGGCAAAATGCCAGCAAAAGACAAGAATTAAATAATAATAAAAAAACCCCCTTAAATCAAAAGATTTAGTCCTTCAAATGAGATTGGCTAAAGTTGCAAAAATGGTTTTCAGTCCATTGATGTGCAAAAAAAAATTAAAAAAAATAATAAAAGATTAAGAAAAAAAAAATTAAAGAAAAAAAAAATCCACACAATAAATACAGTTTACTCACAATAATATTTCCAGCAAATTAAAAAAGCTCTGGAAATTTGACTGCCACATGTATTATGGACATCAATAGTAATCTCGATTTTTGTTCAGTTTCTATAACACAGTTAAATAACTGTTTATATAAGCCAAGATGATTAACAATGAAATATAATGTAAACATAGAAAAGTATACAAGAGAAACTTGTATACAAGTGTCCCATGGTTGCTCAATGCTTAACAAACAGTGATCACATAACTTTATTTTCTTCATTACAAAATACAATAAAAGTTGCCTTTTTAAAATTGGAAATCTTGTATAAATGTTAATTTCCATTAAACATTTGACCAGAGATTGGCAATGCAGTGTCGTTTTCAGAACTATAATTCTTATGGTTTTATGAGTTTGTACAACAGATTTTACTTTAGCAAAAATTATTACATATCATATACCAATAATTATTAGTTATTACATACTGTATACCACATGCATAACAACAGTACATGTTATGCATTTTCTAAGTATAAATATTTAAATGTATTCACACATTTTAAGTTTAAAGAAATCGGATCTTGATAAGCTTAAACATTTCAAGAGACTATATAATTGTAATTGAATTCTAATTATTATATTAATCCCTGAAGATTTCACCATAAACAAAATGCCAAAATGTACATGCATACATCTTAATTCTCAAATGAAGAGAAGAAAATTCATGGGCAACTGATATATGTGCAGCCTAGCATTTGAAAGAACTTTCTCATCTCATTTCTCTATATTAATACAATCATTACTTCCAAATTGGCTGCCGAAATTCTTTGTATCTATTCATGTTGTCCATTGAATCTTTTGTATGACTGTCCTCCAGTATTGCCTTACAGGAATTCTGCAGGACAAATTCCTCAATATACTCTTACACAGAGTACCTTAAACTTACCTAAGTCATTTCTAAAGAAACCTTTTCATGTTCAAGCTGCATGTCTCCGAATGAGTAAAAATATTTCAAGAAAAAAAAAAAAAAAAAAAAAAAAACTTGAAAAAATGTAATAAGTTTTTAAGAAAAGTAAAAAGTATGCAAGTAATAATTTACATGTTATGTTCGATTTATGACTGATTTTGCAGTATTTACCTTCTATGTTCACTTCACAATAATTTACTTTTAAATACATACTACATCAAATTTTCACGAAAATTAGGATAAATCTGGAGAAATGCTGCTGCTTTCAAGAATAATTGTTATTTTCCAGGCCTTCAGTAGAATTATTTATTTCTTAAAACATTAAATAAATGTAGGGGTATATTTACAATTCATTAATATGATCTCCAAGTTTTCATTTTTATGGTATTGTACATATTTACATACTCCTTATTCAGAAGCCTTTTTAGGATAGCGATAAAGTTAGCACTGACACTTTTTTCGAGTACCTGAACAGCACAATACATTTTCAAATCTTCAGGAGCCTTTCTACCGATACCGATAATTTATACACAGTTTCAAGCCATATTCAACCTTTCTATGACATGTCTATACACTTCTATCTGTTCCTCAAAAGCCTTTTCCAGATACTGATGCCGCTGTTCCATAGACATACAACTCAATGTAGCTGACAATTCATCCGGTTTTAAAGCTTTCTTTAGCTTTTCAAAGTCTCTTCCATTTTTCTGAAAATAAGCAATATAAAGTGTTGCTGGGTTTTTTTTTTTCATTAATTTTATGAGTGAATCTCTTTCAATATATCTCAGTAATATAATCAAACTGAGTAACACAACACAATTATAATCAATTCAAAATTGTTTACTTTTGCTTGAATTTCTTTTTGTGGCATCTGTTTGAATTTGTTTGGATTTCAAGTCAAACCAAAATTGCGAGGTTATGACATTTTAGTTTTCTTGGTGCAAAAATATTATGCATATGCACAAAAAAAAGGAGCATAAACAAGAGGGCCATGATGGCCCTGAGGTCGCTCACCTGTATATAGCGCCCCCCCCAACCCCGGGCCAATTTTTACCCAAGGGTTTATATTTGTTTATTTGAACAGACTTGGTAGACACCCATAAGAAGATGTTTCATGCTAAACATCTAAGTTCTAGCTCATTGGGTTTTTTAAAAGAAGATTTTTAAAGTTTTTACTATACACATATAGTAAAAAACAATGACACCCCTGGGGCAGGGCCAGTTTTGACCCCCGGGCTTTTATTTGAACAAACTTTGTAGATATTTACTTAAAGATGTTTCATGCTTAATATCTAAACTCTAGCTATTTGGGTTTTTTCAAAGAAGATTTTTAAGTTTTTGCTATACACTTATAAGGAAAATCAATGACCCCCCCCCGGGCGGGGCCAGTTTTGACCCCAGGGCTTTTATTTGAACATACTTGGTAGACACCCATTAGAACATGTTTCATGCTAAATATCTTAGCTCTAGCTCTTTGAGTTCTTTAAAAGAAGATTTTTTAAGTTTTTACTATATGCATATAGGGAAAATCAATGACCCCCTGGGGCGGGGCCAATTTTGACCCCAGGGCTTTTATTTGAACAAACTTGGTAGACACTCATTAGAAGATGTTTCATGCTAAATATCTTAGCTCTAGCTCTTTGGGTTCTTTAAAAGAAGATTTTTTAAGTTTTTACTATATGCATATAGGGAAAATCTATGACCCCCTGGGGCGGGGTCAATTTTGACCCCAGGGCTTTTATTTGAACAAACTTGGTAGACATTCACTAGAAGACGTTTCATGCCAAATATCTAAGCTCTAGCTCTTATGGTTCTTTAAAAGAAGATTTTTTAAGTTTTTACTATATGCATATAGGGAAAATCAATGACCCCCTGGGGCGGGGCCAATTTTGACCCCAGGGCTTTTATTTGAACAAACTTGGTAGACATTCACTAGAAGATGTTTCATGCCAAATATCTAAGCTCTAGCTCTTACGGTTCTTTAAAAGAAGATTTTTTAAGTTTTTACTATATGCATATAGGGAAAATCAATGACCCCCTGGGGCGGGGCCAATTTTGACCCCAGGGCTTTTATTTGAACAAACTTGGTAGACACTCACTAGAAGATGTTTCATGCCAAATATCTAAGCTCTAGCTCTTAGGGTTGTTTAAAAGAAGATATTTAAAGATTTTTCTTTCGGTTGCCATGGCAACCAGAGTTCTGCATGGAATTAAATTCTTTGAACAATTTTTAAAGGTGACCACCAAAGGAACATTCCTGTGAAGTTTGGATGAAATTGGCTCAGTGGTTTATGAGGAGATGTCATTTAAAGCAAAAGTTTACGGACGGACGCCGGACGGACGGACGCCGGACGAAAAGCGATCACAAAAGCTCACCCTGTCACTTTGTGACAGGTGAGCTAAAAATGGTGCATAAACACTCTATTAGATCAATATCGGCTAAAGTCTAAAGCCAATTACCTATATCAAATTAAAAGAGCTATGTAAGAAAATCTTTTTGATAACATTATAACTAAGAAAAAAATTTACTTGAAAAGGGATGTTTAATCTTCTCTTGATGTCCAGCCTATATTGTCGGAACTTTTCTTTGTCTGCCTCACTAGTAGCCTTCAATCTTAATATTTCATATATTCTTCTTGCTTGTTTCTGTAAATAAATCAAACTGTATCTTAATATGTAATTGACAATACCTCTTATTATTTTGACATACAAATGGAAATATAAGCTGTTTTGTTTTGTTGTGTTGTTTGGTGTTACAAAAAACCCACACTATAGGTCATATGGTGCCGAAACAGGAAAACATGATTTTTGGCTAACTGCAGGTGTTATAAACTTTGAAGCAACACCAGGGGTCAAACCATAAATATCCAACCAAGGTATAGCTACAGCAAAATGTTCATCTAATTTGATCATGGCATTAAAAGTCTACAGTGATTTTATCCCCTGTATTTTACAGCCGAATAAAGGTTGTTTCCCCTAGTCCAAATAGGTATATTTCCCCCTAAAAATGCTAATATTTTACTCTAAATGCCATCAGAACCATGACTTAAGAGCATCTAACATATATCAATTAGATAACAGAAAGCTGGCCTTATAGATAGCCTCTGTTATGTACAATGCATGTTAAATTAATATAAATTGAAAATTTTATCAAATGTTTGGGTAAATTCCATTCAAAGTTGTTAGAATTTGATTTTCCCCTTTTCTTTCTGATTTATCAAGCTATATTTTAAAGGTAGCATTTATTGTGCAGTAATGCAATCAGAGAAAAATTTTCTTTTCCATACAAAAAACAAACTCACTGTAATCGTACCAATTGTCAAATAGCAATGAAGCGAAAGACAGTTCATCTGTAATGGCCATTTAGTTTTTGGAAAATCATACCAAAAATAAAAAGGTTTTGTGAAATAAAATGATAAACATTTCAGGGCTTTATGGGCCTTTAACTTACGCTGTTGAGTTTAAGTTTAAGCCTGGCTTCATGAGACATATCATCATCAAATCCTTCATGTAACTTGGCTGGCTGAAAACTTTTCAAATTCATACAGTTCCGTGCATCAACAAAGTCACGTAAACGCTGAAAGTTCTCCGATGGATCTTCAACTGTAAGAAAGTCAATAAGAATTCATGTATGTATGTTACCAAGGGGACCCTAAGGGCCCTTGATCGCTCACTTGAGAAATAGGTCAAAAGATCAAAGCTACAGTTACCTTATTTTATCAGTATAGTATTTAGGGGAAGTGACAATAAATTAAAAGGAACAAGCAATTATCATAGTATTGCAAGCAATCCATAAGTCCCCTACCGGTTAGAACCCCACAACATTCTGAAGGGCCATTGGCCATTCACTAATGTTTCAATTTTTCTCTATTTTAAGTAAATTTGTTGGAAAAGTTCTTTAAAAGTGATCACAGGAAACAGTTTTTATGAACAGACAGACAGATGGACTGAAGGACACTCGTAAAGTTAATATTTGAAACATCCCTGTTACCAAAATATAACATTTTGAAAGCAAATTTCTTAAAGAGGAGATAACTCTTGAATTAAAGATGCAATTTCATAAAAATTTTCAGCTCTTTTTGACTCATCACAAATATTGTTATATTTGCCATGTTTTGTTGCCAAGGCAACTGATATTTTTTCAAAATAGGAAGAACAGATAAGACATGCATAATCTCAAGACTGCTATTTACCCATATGTCAAGTTTCATAAAAATATTTCCAGTACTTTTTGAGTTATCACTGGATTCAGTTTATGTGTAAAATTTGCCATATTTTCAGCCTATTTGTTGCCATAGCAACCAGAATTTTCAACATAAGAAGAAAAGAAAAAGACATGCATAATCTCAAGACTGCCATCTACCCATATGTCAAGTTTCATAAAAATATTTCCAGTACTTTTGGCGTTATCACTGGATCCAGTATATGTGTAAAATTTGCCATATTTTCAGCCTATTTGTTGCCATAGCAACCAGAATTTTCAACATAAGAAGAAAAGAAAAAGACGTGCATAATCTCCATACTGCCATCTATCCATATACCAAGTTTCATAAAAATATTTTCAGTACTTTTCAAGTTATCGCGGGATCCAGTTTTGTGGACGGACTGACAGACAGACAGAAAATTTTCAGCTCTTTTTGACTCATCATAAATATTGTTATATTTGCCATGTTTTAAGCCTATTTGATGCCAAGGCAACTGATATTTTTTCAAAATAGGAAGAACAGATAAGACATGCATAATCTCAAGACTGCTATTTACCCATATGTCAAATTTCATAAAAATATTTCCAGTACATTTTGAGTTATCACTGGATTCAGTTTATGTGTAAAATTTGCCATATTTTCAGTCTATGTGTTGCCATAGCAACCAGAATTTTCAACATAGGAAGAAAAGAAAAAGACATGCATAATCTCAAGACTGCCATCTACATATATGTCAAGTTTCATAAAAATATTTCCAGTAATTTTTGCGTTATCACTGGATCCAGTTTATGTGTAAAATTTGCCATATTTTCAGCCTATTTGTTGCCATAGCAACCAGAATTTTCAACATAGGAAGAAAAGAAAAAGACATGCATAATCTAAAGACTGCCATCTACCCATATGTCAAGTTTCATAAAAATATTTCCAGTACTTTTTGCGTTATCACTGGATCCAGTTTATGTGTAAAATTTGCCATATTTTCAGCCTATTTGTTGCCATAACAACCAGAATTTTCAACATAAGAAGAAAAGAAAAAGACGTGCATAATCTCCATACTGCCATCTATCCATATATCAAGTTTCATAAAAATATTTTCAGTACTTTTCAAGTTATCGCGGGATCCAGTTTTGTGGACGGACGGACTGACAGACAGACAGACGGACGGAGGGTAAACCTAAAGTCCCCTCCGGTTAACCAGTAGGGGACTAACAAGAGCCCGGTTCACAACCGGGTGATGCTCCCCGAATAGGTTTTGGACACAGGAAAGTACACCTCTTGTAGTTTCAGAGTTATGTCCCTGGAAAAAGTTCAAAGTGCAATAATTCCAAAATTAGGCAAGGCAGAGTTACTGTTCTTTGCACTGCACTTATAATCAATGTGATCTATCAACATACAAAGTTTCTTGATGATATCTCTTATGATTTCCGAGTTATGTCCCGGACAACTTCAAAAAGTAAAAATAAACAAAGGGCAATTACTCCAAAATTAGGCAAGGCAGAGTTATGATTCTTAGGCATTGCACATCTACCCACTGAGATATACAGTTGACTCTCGGTAACTCGAAATCCAAGGGACTGGGCATTTTACTTCGAGAGAAACGGAATTCGAGTAACGTGGAACTGCCGCCATTACGCTGACATTCGTACATGTATATACATGTGCCTGATTAAATGTGCAAAGAAGTAGGTTTGTTATTGTTGTTAGCGACAATGCTGCAATATTTAACCGTTGAAATGACGGTAAATCACTTACAACTACGAATTATAAATAAACAAAAATATATCATTCAAAATTTAATACATGTATATTAATAGTGAAACATAAACACACAATTATATTTGATTTAATTGATCATCGGACGAAAACGAAAGTAGCAACTATCGTGAACCGGAAGTACAAATTAATGTATGCAAAATGACGGAACATTAATTATACAAATGTCATTTACGTTGATAACACACATCAATACCTAGGCTGTTATTTGACTAACACCCGTCAGACTGGCACGAGTCAACTTTCTTAAAGAAATGTAATCAAATTTTAATTTAGTTATCTAACTGTTAAAACCAATTAAGTGCTGAAACGGATTAAAGCCATTTATACGACGTGTTAATAATACATGATGGCCGGCAATTAAAAATTTCTATGAAACGTGTTAATCACGAGTGACAACATCTCACCTTGATGTCTCCGACCTTTGATCAGTCGGCTGATTTCACACTTTGACTAATTGAGATGAAAATATGTTGGACTTTAATTGACGGGACCAAATTTTCTTTTCGACTAAACAGGAGTCTCGGTAAGTCAAAATTTGACCTAAGCGGAGTTAAAATACAAAGATAAAGAAGGAAATTTGACGGGACTTTAGAAATTCTTCGACTAACGCGGAATTTTGAGTTAAGAGAGTTTGACTTATTGAGAGTCAACTGTATCTACCTACAAAGTTTCATGTTTGATATTTCTTATAGTTTTACAGCTATGTCCTGGACAAGATTTTTCTAAAAGGGGAGATAATTAAACAAGAGGGCTATGATGGCCCTGAGGTCGCTCACCTGTATATAGGCCCCCCCCCCCAACCCCCACCCCCCCCCCACGTTGCAGGGCCAATTTAACCCAAGGGCTTTTATTTGCACAAACTTGGTAGACACCCATAAGAAGATGTTTCATGCTAAACATCTAAGCTCTAGCTCATTGGGCTTTTTAAAAGAAGATTTTTAAAGTTTTTACTATACACATATAGTTAAAAACAATGACACCCCTGGGGCCGGGCCAGTTTTGACCCCAGGGCTTTTATTTGAACAAACTTTGTAGACACTTACTAGAAGATGTTTCATGTTTAATATCTAAACTCTAGCTTTTTGGTTTTTTCAAAGAAGATTTAAAGTTTTTGCTAAACACATATAAAGAAAATCAATGACCCCCAGGGCGGGGCCAATTTTGATCCCAGGTCTTTTATTTGAACAAACTTTGTAGACACTCACTAAAAGATGTTTCATGCTTAATATCTTAACTCTAGCTATTTGGGTTTTTTCAAAGAAGATTTTTTAAGTTTTTGCTATACACATATAAGGAAAATCATTGACCCCCGGGGCAGTGCCAATTTTGACCCCAGGGCTTTTATTTGAACAAACTTGGTACACACCTATTAGAACATGTTTGATGCTCAATATCTTAGCCATAGCTCTTTGAGTTCTTTAAAAGAAGATTTTTTAAGTTTTTACTATATGCATATAGGGAAAATCAATGACCCCCCGGGGCGGGGCCAATTTTGACCCCAGGGCTTTTATTTGAACAAACTTGGTAGACACCCATTAGAACATGTTTCATGCTAAATATCTTAGCTCTAGCTCTTTGGGTTCTTTAAAAGAAGATTTTTTAAGTTTTTACTATATGCATATAGGGAAAATCAATGACCCCCGGGGCGGGGCCAATTTTGACCCCAGGGCTTTTATTTGAACAAACTTGGTAGACACTCACTAGAAGATGTTTCATGCCAAATATCTAAGCTCTAGCTCTTTGAGTTCTTTAAAAGAAGATTTTTTAAGTTTTTACTATATACATATAGGGAAAATCAATGACCCCCTGGGGCGGGGCCAATTTTGACCCCAGGGCTTTTATTTGAACAAACTTGGTAGACACCCATTAGAACATGTTTCATGCTAAAAATCTTAGCTCAAGCTCTTTGGGTTCTTTAAAAGAAGATTTTTTAAGTTTTTACTATATGCATATAGGGAAAATCAATGACCCCCCCGGGGCGGGGCCAATTTTGACCCCAGGGCTTTTATTTGAACAAACTTGGTAGACACTCACGTGAAGATGTTTCATGCCAAATATCTTAGCTCTAGCTCTTTGAGTTCTTTTAAAGAAGATTTTTTAAGTTTTTACTATATGCATATAGGGAAAATCAATGACCCCCCGGGGCGGGGCCAATTTTGACCCCAGGGCTTTTATTTGAACAAACTTGGTAGACACCCATTAGAACATGTTTCATGCTAAATATCTTAGCTCTAGCTCTTACGGTTCTTTAAAAGAAGATTTTTTAAGTTTTTACTATATGCATATAGAGAAAATCAATGACCCCCTGGGGCGGGGCCAATTTTGACCCCCAGGGCTTTTATTTGAACAAACTTGGTAGACACTCACTAGAAGATGTTTCATGCCAAATATCTAAGCTCTAGCTCTTTGAGTTCTTTTAAAGAAGATATTTAAAGTTTTTTCTTTCGGTTGCCATGGCAACCAGAGTTCTGCATGGAATTAAATTCTTTGAACAATTTTTAAAGGTGACCACCAAAGGAACATTCCTGTGAAGTTTGGATGAAATTGGCTTAGTGGTTTATGAGGAGATGTCATTTAAAGTAAAAGTTTACGGACGGACGCCGGACGAAAAGCGATCACAAAAGCTCACCCTGTCACTTTGTGACAGGTGAGCTAAAAATGAGGCTTAACAAAGTTATGGTTCTTTTGCACTGCACCTCTCCTCAATAAGATCTATCTACCTACAATGTTTCATCTTGATATCTCTTATAGTATTAGAGTTATGTTCAAGACAAAGTTCAAAGTGTTTAAATTAACAAAGGGCAATAACTCCAAAATTAGGACAAATAGTGTTATTGTTTTTATGCACTGCACATCTACCCATTGAGATCTATTCACCTACAAAGTTTCATGTTGATATCTCTTATAGTTTTAGAGTTATGCCCCGGACAAGATTTTTCTATAAGGGGAGATTATTCAAAAACCGGGCAAAATAGAGTCCCTCAATGCCCTCTACCACTGTATGAAGTTTCAACAAATTATCTCCAAGGGTTTTCAAGTTATACTCCGGACAAGACAACGGACGGACAGACGGACAAGGCACTGACTATATGCTCCCCTGAAATTTTTTGGGGAGCATAAAAATCGTATGAAGGTATTTGTTTCTGTACCTGTGATGTCTAGAATATCTGAGTCGCCATAGCAACCATTATAGAATGTCTGTAATAACTGTGCTCCATGGCCTTGTTTTTGAAATGGAGGTAACACCAGAACCTGGCTGAAATAACAACAAAAAAAACAGAAATAAAATCACATCAAATAATTGTTCAGTTAATTCTTAAAATTTCCTTAATCTGCAGAAAACATAAAACTTTTAAATTGTAAATTAAATTGTATTAAATTGTACAGTTTCAAAATTGGATACAAGTCCTTTTCACTTACGAAGATGATATTTAATTTCTTGTTTACACTAAATTCATTCTCACAAAAGTTATGTAATATACAATTTCAATATAAAACAAAATTGTTTACAGTAAAGACACTTGCACCACTTTAATGCAGAATTACAGTGTATAGTGAAGAGAATGAAAAACTTTCTCCACCTACCTGATTCTTGGCCGGGTTCTACAAGGGTAGGCGTAGTATTTGTAAACTGTCATATAACCAGCTATAGCGTACATAGGGTTACCATCTTTCTTGTATTTTTCAAACCTATTAAATCAAATAATAGTCACATCATGTAATACATGTATATACACAAGAGTGATCAGTGATCACATGTGTCACCTCATGATAGCCAATAGCATGCTGCAGCTACTTTGTAGCTTAAGACACAAAAATCATTAACAAGCCAAACCGTGTTTTTTCGAAGGACCGTTATAGATGTGCATAGGATTTGGAACAAGTGTGACCTATTTAAACATTAAAATTGGGTTTCATTAGAAAATCTATATTATATACAACCATAGTACAGCATACGGTAACAATAATGATATACAGCGGTATCATTTAGTAAAATACTGTTAAATTTATTTTTCTTTGCAGTTTCAAGGCATAGTTATTGTAAAAAGTACAATAAAGCACAGAGTAAAATGTCTTACAGTAAATAAAAGGTCCATCTTTCATCATCAACATCTATGAAGGAGGCAGCATCAATGTAGAACAGTATAAATGTCTGAAGTCTCTCGTGATACTCTCGGAACCCGGGACATTCGATGTCCGTCTTGTATATCTCAAACTGTCTATCTTCTCCATCTACAAACAAAACAATGTTACCTCTTTATTACTGTAACTATTAACATCTTTATTATCGTAACTATTAACCTCTTTATAAATGAAACTATTAACCTCTCTATTAAGGTAACTATTAATCTCTTTATTAAGGTATCTATTAACCTCTCTATTAACATACTATATATATTAACCTCTTTATTACGGTAACTATTTACCTCTTTTATAACGTTACTATAAATCTCTTTATTAGTATAATTTTTTAACAAAATTGTATGAGAAATAAACATTGCATCTATTTTGTACATTTACTTCCTTATTTTTATTAAGATTTTTATTTTTTGTTGTTTTTATACATGCATCTTGCTATTTTTAAGGATCTACAATAATTTTTAAGGAAACCTCTGATACAACAAAGCAAATTGCGAAGTTTTTTTTGCTGGAACAGCAACAATGGCAGTTTAAAACTGAAGTTGGAGATACAGACTGAAGCTTCTACTGACAGAAATAATTGACAATCTAATACAGTACAGTGGTGCTTTAACAGCAAGGGATTGCAGGAATGTTGCAGTATTTATAATAGTGTTTGCAAAAAATTTATCCCAGTGGGGGTGGGGGTTGGGGGGGGGGGGCATGCATGTTCTGTGAAATAATTATTATTCATGGAGCACAAATTTTATATATTTCATAAAACCACATCAGTTTGAAAATTGCAAAAGCTTGCCAATGATTGGCTAAAGACCATTAGGTGACAACCTATTAGTGATCATCAGAGTAGCGTTATTTTGGACCTGATTTTAATCAGATTGATTTTTATTATTACCTTTGTTCACTGTATAGGAATGCAGCAGTTCACCATAAGGTTTGAAGTTTACATCTTTAGCCAAAGCCGCACTGAAGTCATCAATGTTTGTGTAATACCCTGGTGGTAATTCCTTAGACAGAGACCCGACTACATCATCTGGCTGAGATAAATGAAATAGAATTATGATGTAATATACTTCAAAATTTATTTTATTTAAAAAGGGAAAGATGATACTGAAAGATGCCAACATAGTCATAGTAATTGATAAATCTGTGAGCCAAGACAACTATCTCTCATTCAAGTTGGAAACTTTTATGCTACAGTAGCACAGTCAGGTCATGTTTTTAAGATTTCTACCCCTAATACAAGGACTCGTCTTTCAGTCTTGACAAAACCGTTCATCATTTTTTAGAGAATATTCTAAAATTTGCAATGACTGAAAAATGAACAGTGCAGTCCATGATCAGATGGCATAGATGTGTTGGCTTATCTTGGTCCGCACTTGTTGCATGGGAAGGTTCATTGCCATATAATAGCATAATGCTAAAGATAAAATATGTTTAAACAAACTACATTTAAAATGTTTAGAAACGACGTTTGGGTAGTGATATACAGCTCTGCTTTATCCTGCAGTAAAGAAAAGTTAGTGGTGCTGTTCAGTTCATGATGCAGAAAAAAAAGTCCCAAAAAATCTACCAACTTAAAATACCGTCATGATGCAGAAAAAACACACAAAAATTCCAAATATAATTTTTTTTAATTAAATATTAATTATACAAAACTTGTGAGTTACCTTTAGTCCATCAAATTTCTCAGGAGAGACTTTATCTGTGTATTTAATGTTGAGGTATGTAGTCAGCTTTGACGCACTGTAGTACAGTTGTATAGCAAGGTCTTTGAACCCAAATATGTTTTCTCTGAAATGAAGATAAAACATCAATCACAGTTGACCGATGATTTTAAAATCAATGCATGTCTGCTGAAATGAGCCACAAGTATGGCAGTTAGTATAACTGTAGTGTTTTTTCCCTTATATAACTGATACCGGAAAATGACACCATTCCCAATAGAAACAAGGGTGCCATAGTCACAAAATACGCCCGTTTACGAAAGCTTTAGATGGAGATGGGGGCATTATGGATAAGTGTTATCTAGCAAGCAAGTTTTTATTCTTGGCACTGTGTTGTTAAATGAACCTTAAAACAAATCAGTAGGGAAGATATGCACAGGAAGTGTGACCTTGACCTTGGTCGCAGGGACCTGAATTTTATGCACGGCACTTAGCCTCACAATGATGAACATTTGTGCCAAATTATATTGAAATCCCTCTATGCATGTAGAAGTTTTGCTCCAGACAAGCGTTTTTCTATGAGCTCTAACTGTGACCTTCACCTTTGACCTAGAGACTTGGTTCATGTGCAGGGCACTACGTCTCATGGTGGTGAACAATTCTATAAAGTAACATTAAAATTCCTCCACGCATGTAGAAAATATGCTCCGGACAACATCTGGATATTTAATCATCTCCAGTGACCTTAACCTTGCAAATATTAACCTAAATTAAATGTGTCACACCTGTAGTCATGATAGTTACCATTTGTGCTACAATCCATCAATAAATGATGACTAAATGGTCCCTATACACATCTTCAAATTTTTATCTGAACTTTGACCTCTATGTGTAACCTTGACTTTGGTCGCAGGGATCTGAATTTTGCGTGCGACACTCAGCCTCACAATGGTGAACATTTGTGCCAAGTTATATTGAAATCCCCCATGAATGTAGAAGTTTTGCTCCGGACAAGCGTTTTTCAATGAGCTCTAAGTGTGACCTTGACCTTTGACCTGGAGACCTGGATCATGCATTGAGCAATACATATCATGGTGGTGAACATTTCCATAAAGTATTATAAAAATTCTTCTATACATGTAGGAGATATGCTCCGGACAAAATCTGGATATTTCACCATCTTTAGTGACCTTGACCTTGCATATATTGACTTAAAGTACATGTGTCACAGCCGTAATCATGATAATGACCATTTGTGTTACAATCCCTCAATAAATGATGATTAAATCGTCCCTATACACATCTTCATATTTTTATCTAAACTTTGACCTCTATGTGTGACCTTGACCTTGGCTGCAGGGACCTGAATTTTGTGCGCGACACTCCGCCTCACAATGGTGAACATTTGTGCCAAGTTATATTGAAATCCCTCTATGCATGCGGAAGTTTTGCTCCGGACAAGCGTTTTTTCAATGAGCTCTAAGTGTGACCTTGACCTTTGACCTAGAGACCTAGTTCATGTGTGTGACATGGCTTCTCATAATGGTGAACATTTCTATGAAATTTCATTAAAATCCCTCCATGCGTGGAGATATGCTCCGGACAAAATCTGGATATTTCATCATCTTTAGTGACCTTGACCTTGTATATATTGACCTAAATTATATGTATCACAGCCATAGTCTTGATAATGACCATTTGTGTTACAATCCCTCAATAAATGATGACTAAATGGTCCATATACACATCTTCATATTTTTATCTGAACTTTGACCTCTATGTGTGACCTTGACCTTGGCCGCAAGGACCTGAATCTTGCGCGCGACACTCCGCCTCACAATGGTGAACATTTGTGCCAAGTAATATTGAAATCCCTCTATACATGTGGAAGTTTTGCTCCGGACAAGCATTTTTCAATGAGCTCTAATTGTGACCTTGACCTTTGACCTAGAGACCTGGTTCATGTGCGCAACACTGCTCCTCATAGTGGTGAACATTTCTATGAAGTTTCATTTAAATCCCTCCATACATGTAGGATATGCTCCGGACAAAATTGGACGCCGCCCGCCAGGGGCGTTCCCATAATACGTCCCGTTTTTCAAACGGGCGTATAAAAAGACAGCAAATTTCCCAATTCATGACTGATAAATTCCCAAAATAACACTGAAAATTTCCTCAAAAATCTGCAAATTTAAAGGTTAACAAAAACAGTAAAGATCTGTAATGAAATAAAATTGTTTAAACAGTAATCAAAGTTTCTATACCAGAAATAATACATTCCTTTTAGTTGAGACAGTTACATGATAAATCAAGAAATCAGCTGAGGAAAAATTGTATTTTAAAATATACACACAATATAGTATAACTAGGCTTTTTTTTCACAAGAGGGGTGAGGGGCCATTCCCTTACATTTGGGGAAAAAATGTTGCAGTACATTGCATTTTTTGGGGTAGAAAAACTCTATATAAATAAAATTTTAGGAAAAAAATGCATGATATTATCTGTGTGAATATGAAATTTTAATTTATACTTTTACTAATAAATTCAGATCATATGACTGTGATTGCCACCACTGTTTACATTTTTACATATAACAGTAAACCCTTTGTCTGTTAATCTGCGAGACCGACACACAGTAAATCTATTAAGAATTTATAGTTGTCAAACACTGATAATTGAAAAAACTCACTGTTCACCAAATATTTGGTGTGTCATTTCTGGTTGGAAACCTTCATTGTTTTCCAAGTCGGACTCATCTCTCACTAAAAATATATTTACAGATAATGGATATTAATTATTATCACGTCTTAATTTTAAAAAAAATTCAATCAAGAAGTCAAAACAAAATAAATTGATAAAATCTAACTGAAAGTGTCTTTATTACAATAATTCAATATCTCAAAAAAAGTTAACATACTCTGATAAATTAACTTTGTTTCATTACAATAATTTAATATAAAAAAAAAAACGACAACAAATCACTCATGAAACATGGTATTATTAAATTAAAATTACCCAATTTGAATGTTATCACTTCATTTGCATCACATTTGTAATCATCCAATCTGTTGTGCACGAGAGTCATTCCACATCCTACAAAGATATATATATTATTATAATATATATACAATTAAATTTATATCATTCATCATTTTAATAGGATGCAATTTTAATGGAAACCCTGGTTTTCTGATTAATAAAGATTATAGAAATCCTGGTTTTCTGATATTAAATGGCCAAGTCAAATATAGCTTAACATGGGTGCAAGTTAAAAATTTTGAAAAACCTGAACTATTTGTTTGGGGGCCAGGGGGCCGCAAGGGCCCCCGGTGGGTCCAGGGCAACCTTTAACAGAACGAAAACAAAGCATAATTTTCTGAGACAAAATTTTTTTTTTTTATCCAGACCATGAAAAAAAATTTAAGTAGGGGCAAATTTTGTGAGTCGGTCGCGTTACTGCAAACATACATTTTTTTTTAAGGATGGCCTAACATACATACTGTAGTATAGTATTTTCACTTAAATATTGCTCAAATAATTATTTTTTTCTTTTCTCTCTCTTTTTCTTAATTATATAAACAAAAACATTTCAACACAAAAAGAAATGTGCATTCATATATTGGTTCCACTATTTAATATTGTGGTTCCAACAGTAAAGAGTGATAAAACAAACCAATATATAAATAAATTGAAAATTGAGTTGATTTGTACCGAGTTTACGTTTTAATTAGGGCTGAGCTGACCCTGATTCCATACAAACAATAAATTGTTTTCAAAAAAGATAATTAAAACAAGCCTGGTTATGTTTCACAGTAAGTTTGTTTTTCATATGGTTTGGATCGTCTGCGTGCATTTAATTCTTTTTTTCCCGCTGGATCCATACTTGATGGATTTTCTACATACAGTGCAGAAAGCTACGCCGGGAACGTCTGGCTTTTCCAGCCAGTTTCCGTAGTTATCCCCGTTTCGATCACATACAAACAACCATTCCCATCTCCATTTATTTTTTGAGGTCTTCTCGATATCTTTTGTATTAAATCCTTCGTGTAGAAACTTCATTTTGACTAACAAATTGTACAATTACTTTCTGTTTACATATTACTCTGTAGCCGAATCGGTAACGAAGCCGCTTTTTCATTGGATGATTATAATTAGCGCGCCAATCTAAATCGTTGTAATAAATTCACGGATAAAATTGCATGCCGGGATTAATAATACATGTTTTCGTAAACATCTCGTATATCTTCGGAAACTATCGGCAGTTTCCGCGAAAGTTTACTATTGACGCTTCGAGAACAACCGTGAGCATCCGTATGTTATATAGCGTTCTCGATTATGAATTTCTAATCGGTGGTACTTCTCAGTTTGAAAGAGTAGACCCGCACCATACCCCTCCAAATATCTCAACGGATTTACGTGATTTGCAAAAATGATCCCTCCGGCACTTGAAAAACCGGAACTTCCGGCACATGCCGGAAAACTTGCACCCATGGCTTAAAGAGTAAGGACCAAAGACTTGAGAAGATAGAAAATATTGAATATATCCACAGGTGGCCCATGATTTGTTACCCTTATCATTTTCAACAATTCGATACACTGTATTTTCTAATATTAATCCAAATGTTCATGGTGAAGAAATTCATATTTTGGGCAATATTGCAGGATTTCCAAAATTTAACTCGTCTGCTCATATTTACAAGTAGACATCGATGCAGGACGAGTACAAAATCGTGTATGCTCCTCTGACAGGACAAGTGGAAATTTGCCAATGTAATAGTAAGCTAGAATTCTTAGAATCAGTTTGTTTACATTTGACGATGAAGACCAGACACAAAGCTTGTGCCCTATGTTATGTATAATTTGCACACTTTACAAAGCTCTGAAGGCATACATGCCATAACGTCCCGGATGCCCGGCATTGCCCCGAAAATCGGATGTCTGTCCCAGAGATGTCCCGGGCATCGATTTGATCCCGGAAAAAAAAATATATTTTGCAAAATTTTCATAAATCAAATCTCGCACATTTCACCTCTCGATCGTAAAATATATTCTGACCTGGTACACATAATACACAGGAACATTGATATTCAGCCCCCCAATTATCGACTATCGATTCCCCTCGGCAATAGCTTTCTTCATGCATTGGCAATTAACGTTCTCTGTTGAATTCGGCAGCGTTTAATGGTCGGGCTAATTAATGGTTTAAGGCCCTTAACAATTATCGTTAATCCCCCGATAATCATTAATTTTTAGATCAATCGCTTACTTGCAGAAAGTCTAATTATTACAAACAATGTAAATATATCCATCAAATAAATTATTAAAGGTGTCAAATACATTAACTTGCTGTGTTTGTTTTGATGACTGGAAGAATTGCGTTACGTGACATGTAGTAATTATCACGACTTTAAGATTTAACGGGTGAACAACATGGCTGCGCCCATTCACCGGGTTTATAACTTACAACTAACTTGCTTTTAGGGAATAATAAATGAAATACTATAAAATGATAAAGATGTCGACCTAAAAGACTACTTCTTAAACTAGTAAGTTAACAGACTTAGTTAACTGTTTATCATTTGAATTCAGGAGAAAGTCGTCCTAATTTAATAACGTTATACGATTGACACCCCCCTCCCCCCTTTTCCACAACTGCCACCATATCCATTATTGCCGCGATGAAAAGTGTCCCGGAAAGCTGTCCAAAATTTATGGCATATATGTCTGAAGGCATTGTTAATTCGAATGTGTCTGACAATGTCCTATAAAGTCCACGATTCAAACATAACCAAAAACATAAGCTATGTTTCCGGCTTGGGTTTATTAAATTTATGTAAAGAAATTGATTATGATAATTTTAGCGGTCTTTTGAATCAGCGAGGTACTATTGCATCGGCAAAGTTTATCTTGAAAATCGAGTTAAAGATGTAGGACAAGTAGAAATTTGAAGCCACTCGAGTGGGTCTGAAAAGAATAATCGATCCCTGTATGGCAGATATAAAATATATCAAACTTAATTTGATGTTTAAAAATTCTTTTTTGTTTTATAAACGAATATCTGTCAAGATTTTGTCATAATTTTCATGATTCAGCAGAAATGGTGTTGACTGGAACAGGGACAAATTTAGGGCACCTGTTGGAATTCTATCCTCGTGAAAATGTTTGACTATATGAGCCCTAGAAATGCTTTTAAAAGTAACAGTGTTGTTCTCCACATTACAATCGATTTTGCTGCACGTTTTTCAAAGAACATCTGTTCAAAATCTGTGTTTACCTGAAATATCAAGTGCTTATCCGGCAACTGATACAGTTTAGACAGAAGAAAAAACGAACCCTTGAAATTTAATGACATCTTATAAACGATTATATTACTACTATAAAGTGTTCATAAAAATACTGCCTAACTAAGAATAAAATAAGCTATGAGAGAAAACAAACCTGCCATCTTTGATTTCCCGCGAATACGTAATTTTTGTACGATATTAATTATCTGCCCTTGGCAAGTGTTTAGGTATTATACGAAATTAGCCAATTTCGCGAACTGGTGTCAGTTTTAGGTCATACGGTATTAAATTTAGTGAGGTTTTTTTCCTCACACTTTTCTCTCAAAATTGAACATATAAAGTACAATTCTGAATTATAATCCTCGTTTTAATTAACAAATGAGTAAATATTCATCATCATGGAATTACCATGCATCTAAATTATAAATGAAATATTTAGAATATTGTCGATTACTAAATTGAAATTATGTATTGAATACTTTGGAGGATGTATAAACATTTATACAAAGCTTTCTTTAATTAGATTACATTCAATTATTACATTTTTTATATATTATTTGCTTGTTTCTTCATTTTTATGTAGAACATAATTTGGTTTGCAAGAGTTATCTTTATTAATTATTTTAGGTTTTGCATGTTTGACTCATTAAAATTTATTGTCTTAATGTGCTTTTAATAAAAAAAAAAGCCTGGAAAAGTTTGCAGGTTTCAGTAGTTTTAAATGTCACATTGCTGATTTTACTTTTTTATTGTTCAAAAATTGTCATTTATTTTAACTTCTTTATAATTCATTTATTATTATGTAAGTTAGTGTGATAATTTGACAGTAAATGGATCCCATTGGAAATCAGCTTTTAGCTAAATGGGTAACATAGAACATACTTATTAATTAATCTTATAACTATTTTTGTTGAATTCATGTGTGTGTTTTATATATATGCAAGTTGATATATGTGATAACATTGTATGTGTTTATGTCTATTCCCTGAATAAGTCGATACGGTTGTTCTTACCTGCCACTTAAGCCCTTCCGTTCATTTATATATTTTTTCATTGTCATTTCTTTATTTTGCGAGTTAATTTCCTCCAAGATTGTTTTGTTATATCGTCAAGATTCACTGGTCCAGGGTCTCTCTATTTGAACTGGCCAAATTGTTTGTATGTAATATCAACTTCGTGATTGAAACTTTTATATCTATTGTCCATGTCTAACTGCAAGATTTTATAATAAGCTATTTTGTGTTTGTTTTTTGTTGTTGTTTTATTTTTGTCAATTCCTAATGTTTCTTCATCAAAGCTGTGATAAATTTGCGCTTCACATTGCCAGAGACTTACTAAGCTGCAAATATTTAGTTCTGTTACACTGCCATTCAAATTATGTTATTCTTGATAGAATGTCAAACTATTTTATTCAATCTTATTAATCATTCACACTTTTTGTTTTCTGCTTTAGAGATAAATAAAATACAATATTACATACAGTTTAAACAAACTATTATGAGTTGTAAAGGTAACAAAATGTAAACAAAGTAGTATTTTGACTTCCATATAAAAGTCTGTAATAAAAGTCTCGGATATAAAATCAGTATAATTACACATATATCTACATCTACACCATACTGCTGACCAATCAATTCTGATTATGACTAGCAGGCGCGTTGTCAATGAACTGTTCATATTAAAAAAGAAATTATTTATATAAACATTTTAAAAGTTACAAGAATAAAAGTTCTACAAGACTATTAATTTAAAAGACATAGCGTGCAATTTAGAATTATAGAATGGGTCAAGCCTCTCAGTAAAGATGTTTAAACTGGGGCTAGACTGAACAGTTAGAGGAAGGCTATTCCAAAGACGTATGCTCCTAGGAAAGAAAGAATTTTGATGGTATTGTGTCCTCGAGTAGGGTATCAGGTAGTTCAGATTTTCTGTTTGAGTAAGGTGTTGGTGGTCAACAAAACCAATGTTGTTTTTGGATTTTATACAAGAAAGTTACAGCACTGATGTTTCGACGCTGTTCAAGGGTTTGCCAATTAATATCATTTATCATTTTTGAGACACTACTGGTATAGTCATAATCATTAAAAATATATCTAGCAGCTGATCTTTGGACTTGTTCTATCTTATAAATTAAGTATTTCTGCCAAGGATGCCATAACATAGGTCTTATATGCAGTTTCCTTTATCTTTTTATTTTGGGTTTTAACATTTCTTCTAATGAATCTAAGTGAGTTATTTGCTTTAGATTTAATATTGTTTATATGTTTGGTTCATGAAAGGTCTTGACTAATAGTGACTCCAAAGTATTTTGCTTCTTTGGTTGAGTATAGTTGAATATTATGGAGGGTATAAGGAAATATTACAAGGTTTCCTTTTTTTTGTTATCCTGAGAACTTCACATTTATCAGGGTTGAACTCCGTGGACCAGTCTTTTTCATATTTCTAAAGCACGAAGGTCATCTTGGAGGGTTTGGGTATATTGTTTAGATCTGATGGTTAGGAAGACAACAGTATCATCTGCAAAGAGTCTAACCTTACATTTGACAGTATCCGGGAGGTCGTTTATATAAGGAAGGAAAAGGCAGGGACCTAATACCAAGCCTTGGGGGGACACCTGAGAGGACTGGTAGAATTCCTGATTTTTGACCTTCAACTTCAACTTGCTGGGAGCGTGACTTAATCCTACTTGAATAATGTTGAATCACCCTTGGGATATGTTGCCTGCTTTTTAAATTTGTCTTTTGACGTCTTATCTGTGATATGCAGGCTTCATAACCTCTGATCCCTTTTCAAAATTCCATTTTAATTAGTTCCGCCCATTGTTTTCTCGTTTAGGGCACACGCCTTTTATTACTTGGGGACCATACGCCGCTTTTCATGGAATGGCACGGAAGTGTCACATTAAAAGTTCCATGATAACCGCCGTATGAACACATTTGCAGTTGTTTCTAAATTCAAAATTTTACTATTTCATGTTTAAATGTTGAATTCTGCTTAAGCCGGTGCTAGGGGGCGTGGACGGTAACTTGCACTTTCCAGTACAGTCCATGAACAGGCTCAATCAAACCGAGCCTGCAACATTTTCAATTTTGTCGTGTTGGGCTCTCTTTAGGGATTCTGTATTTATCTATTTTAAGGAAGGAATGGACCCAATTTGTAACCTCGTGACTTATACCCAATCTTTCCAATTTACACACAAGTTTGTGATGGTCCACCTTATCAATTGCCTTACTGATATCCATAACTATGACATCAGTTTGTTGGCCACTTTCAAGATTGTCATGAAATTCCTGGGAGAAGCTTACTAGCTGGGACTGACAATTCCATTTTGATCTGAAGCCATGTTGATAGGGGCTAAGGATGTTGTGCTTATCATAAAAGGACATAATATTGGACACTAAGATGTGCTCCATCAATTTGGACGCTATGCATGTGATGGAGATTGGTCTATAATTGCTGAGTTTGCATTTTGGGCTTTTTTTGTAAACTGGAGCAATTATTGCATGCTTCCAGTCTTCTGGGACAATACCTGTTTTTAGTAAGATCTGGAAGATATGGGTTAGTATGGGAGTAACCTCTTGATGGAGCTCTTTTAGTAACCTAGGGGATATTTGGTCAGGTCCAGAAGCTTTATTTGGGTTTAGGTCTTTTAAAAGTTTCTTCACACCATCTTTCGATATAGACACTTCTGGCATAGATTGGTGGTGTTTTGGAATTAGCTTCTGTTTGCAAGCCAGGGATAAGCTAAGGAGCTGAGGCCGAGAGAAGACAGACTCAAACTGGGAGTTAAGGGTATTTGCTTTTGCAACTGGATCAGTAAATGTTTGACCTTCTGATTTGAGGGGACCCACACCGCAGCTTTCAGTTTTGTTACTTTTAACATATTGGTAGATTTTTTTATTTTCACATTCTGGGAGTCTTGTCTGAAAATGGCTGAGTCTAGGTATTGCCAGTATGCTTTCCTAGTTTCTCTTAGGATTTCACTTTTAAGTACTTTGAGCTTTTTGACCAAATGATTGATGGTGAGAACAAAGGTGGTTTAGTTCGTCCTTGAAGGAAATCCAGGCTTTGTTGGGATCAGTGTGGTGTGTTTCACTGTAGACCTTAGCATATTTACTTACATCATTTTTTTTAAACAATTCCAGTTTGCCTTATTATAACATTGGATTTACCTCTTTGATTGAAGTGGACGCCCTCTGTTAATTTTGATTTCATTGAAGACTATGTCATGATCTGAGGAGCCTAAGTGAGGTAGGGTTTTTGTACTATGTACATGGGAAGGCATGTTTGTGAGGAACAGGTCAAGGACGTTGTTACCTGGATGTTGCATTTGCTGTAGGTTTAAGCTAATGAGGTAAAGAGTAAAAGAAGCCAAATATATATTTCATCTTGATACCAAAAATAATATAGGATTTTGAAAAATAAAAATGATAGAATTTAAGGGGCTTAATGGGCCTTTAATAAAATTAAATACAAAAACAAAGAAAATACGGCATATTTAGTACTTTAAAACCCAAAAACATATTGATACGGAACAATAAAGTTTTTAGCCATTCAATATAATGATTTTCGGAATACCTCGGTTTGTTTACTACCGGAAGCGATCACTTTCAATTTCATATCGTTTAAAAAGCAGAAAGAACTGAAGAAATGACGACAGAAGTTGAATGGAGAAGGAGATGGAAACCAGATTTAGATGCATTTCCATGGCAACCAATTAGAGTTGATGGCAACACTTATCTTTTGAAATATATGTTCACAACCGACAGTTATAAAGTGTTGTTAACTGACTTGACAAATTTTTGGCATGAAGAGTTAGAAGACCAGAGTTTACAAAAAAGAATAAAGGTTGACACCAGGAATTATTTTGATGTTTCGTCAACCTGTCATTTCCTCAAATTATTAATGAACTTTCTGTTCAAAATGGGTAGTCATAATCAGGGATTTCCCCCATTTTTATAGGGCCCATTGGCGAATTAGTAACGATTCGCCACACTAACATGACTAACGATTCGCCACATAACGATTCGCCACAAAGTAATAACGATTCTCCACAGTTAAATAACGATTCGCCACAGCATGATAATAACAATGATTTTCTTTAGTAATCAACAAACTGTTTTCTTTTTTTTAATAATTTAATAATGTTTCTTAATACAAGTAATATGAAGTTAAGGCCCCCATCGCGGATTTTCAATTTATCAAAGTAAAACGATTACATGAGTCCATTTATAAGAAAGTAATTATATGTTGAAATAAATATTGAATTAATCTTTCCTTTTTTGTAAAATACTGTGTGATGTCCCCCTTATTTAAGTGTAGGGCCACCTTTACTTTGAAAAAGTACTGACTGCTGTATCTTACGGTCTTCAGCTTATACGATGGCACAAAATACCCAAATATAGCATAGCAATATCCATTTTTTAAAATAAAATATAGATTATAATGGGAAAATGAATTAATATTTATAAAATAATATGACTGAGCCGGCTATAACTTTCATTCATTCCGTTGAAATGTGCAGTTCAGATGTTTAAATTTAGCCCCCCCTGCTTATTTTACTTATGTTGTTTTTCCCCTTCAAAAATTGTCGTTTTCTCCCTTCAGAAATTGAATCCAGGGATTGAAGCACCAGTAACAAGAATTTTGGACCAAATTAAAAGTGTACTTGATAAAACCCAGGATGATCCAAATACCTCTATAAAGGTAAAGTTTAAACTTTAAAAGTGTTAGTCTACTTTTTCATCCTATGAGAATGCTGATATTTGCAAAAATTCTGACAGTCTTTGCACATAGACTGGCACATAGACTGTCCTCACTAGTGTCTTTTTACACTTAGATGTATTTAAATGTTGCATCTTTCTAAAGAAAAAAATAGGATAGGGACTTTTTTAATTAGATGCTAATGAGAAAAAAATAAACGTTTTAAACAGCTTCAGTCACTCTCTTTGTTCTTTTTGAGCTGTTCTAATCATTTAATCTTTTCTTATTAACTTTCACATTATTTTTCAATATCATCAACAAAATTCAAAGCTTCAAATGGAAACCATTTGAATCAAATATAGACCTAACTCTTTATGAATAATTAAGGCATTCTTTTCTGTTTGAGTTACCTTTGGTTCAAGAAGGTATTCACAATGTCCTTTATAATGTAAAATTCCAAATAATGAATTCCCAGTATATCTTTTTTTTGTAATAATGTTGTTTTCTCCCCAAAGAGTAAAAACTTTTAACGATATGACTTTTTTGCTCAAACTGAAAAATGTATTAATAAATGTATGTGTATTTATAAAGGTAATTTTTATACTGTTATGTAGTCTTATTAATTATATACACATGTAGATTATTTCAAACTATCACAGTGCTTTCTGCTTGATTTACAATTGTTAACTTCTAAATCGGAGATGGTGGTGTGGCCGAGTGGTTAACTATGGAGGGCATTCGTTGCCAAAAGGAACAAGCTACATGTCTGGAATTTTGGCAACAAACGCCCTCCATAGTTATCACATCAGACTTGTAATCTAAGGATTGCTAACCGCATGGGTTCAAACCCTGTCAGGGGCAGGCCATTGTTTCCTTGAGCAAGAAACTTTACATTGCTATTAAGTACTGTTTGGTTCCAGGAACGGAATAGACAGTGTTTCAATAAGCTTATAGCTTCCAGCACAATCAAACTAAAATAAATTTGTATAAACTAAACTATAAACTAAATAGGAGATATATGGTAATAGTGTTTCTGTGATCATCATTATACATTGTAAACCTGCTAACTGCAAAATATCACCAATGAAAGGTGTCCAGATTGATAGATCCTTACTCTGACCTTTCATTTGAATAACAAAAGATTTAACCACAAACATTAACATGTGCTCTTTTGTTAAAAAATATGTTGTGGTGAAATTCTTATTGTATTCACTAATCTGATAATTAGAACAAGACAGGTCAGGGATCTATGCATTGGTGTAAATATTTAGAATAAAGGTCAAACAGCTTGATAGTTGGGCATTCAATAGCTGTATAATTCTCAGTGAAGAAAGTTTGCTGTACAATCTTCACAGGAGTGGTGAGAATACACCTGCTTATTCATTCTTTTCCTGTTTATAAGTAAAACAAGATTACTTATACTGTAAAAGAATTTGAGTGTCTTTTTATGTTGAGATAAAGTGCTAATATCATAATGAAAAGTCCCTAAACCTGCTAAATTTGTAAAATGGAACAGTCCATTTAGAGTTCGAAGGGTTTAAGTATCAAAATACAAAATTTGAGCTAAACACAGACCAGTCACACTGCACGGATGGCCTGGCTCAATACTAGTAGCAAAAGTTTGTCAATTTTGGTTCTAGCAGGTTACAGGTTAATTCTGTTTGATAAAAAAAGATTTGGCCGGACGGCAATATTTTCACACTAACACTACAGCTGAAAAAAGGCCCTATTCCCAAACCAAAATAATTAAGTTTTTTCCTTTCAAAAAGATGAATTATGATAATAAATTACGTGTATTACAGCTGTCATTCAAGCGTGAAGCTGATTCTGATGAAAGGAAGGTGATGCTTGTTTTACACTCGGAACTCGCTGGAATGCCATTTCTGTGGAACTTCCAATGTAAACCAGCTGATAAATCTATGGTAAGGAAAGTTTTCCATGTGAAGGAAATAACAAAACATGTGCATGTTTTTTTCCAACTTATCATGAGGAAGACCAGCAGGTTTGAATTTGTTCTTGAATTTAGCGAAATGTTACAGTTTGCAATGTTTATCTTTGATTTATGAGTATTTATCCAGTTTAAGCATTTCTTCACCATACTTGATCAGTACTTGTATTTTAATGATAAAAATTAAAATTTACCTGCTGCAACCAGAAGTAATTAACCTTTGAGTAATACCAGCCTGCACTTCTGTGCACTTTCTCTAGGCTCTATACTGTTGGCTTAAACATATTGTATTCGTCACATGAGCATATATACATACATGATATTTACAATCAATACAAAAAAAGGATTAGACTGGAAGCACCTTAATGCTCAATGAAGTCTTGTAATTTGTTGGTATCTCTATTTTTGTATTCCCCTTCAAACTTCAAATGGACTATTTCTAATTTAGAGCTACACAGAGTAGAGTATGACTGTGTTAAACAAATAGATGTCAGTAATGTCAAATTATCAGTATAGGATTTCTGTAATACTAAGGTATGATAAAGCATCAAAGTGACGTTTTACATGTACATACTATGCTAAAGTTTGAACCAATTTACATTCATAACATTATTTTTGAAGTACAAATTTGCTTAAAATACATATCAGGGCACAGAACATTTGATACTACCTCTCATGGCAATGGTTGGTGAACTTACTCGCAGGCAGCAAGAACTTGTCAAGATCATTCAGGCAAAAGATAAGCAAATTGATGATTATAAGTCACAAGGGGCCAAATGTTCAAGAAGTGAGTAAAATATCTTTTTTTATATCCTGTGGTTTTTAGCTCGACTTTTCTATGAAAAGGGGAGCTATCCTACTCGCCCCGGCGTCGGCGTCGGCGTCGGCGTCGGCGTCGGCGTCACACCTTGGTTAAGTTTTTCGTACCACCCCACTTTATTTCAGAAGTATTACAAGTATGGCTTTGAAACTTACCATACTTGTTCACCATCATAACCTCCATCTACAGACAAGAGTACATAACTCTGTCAAGGTTTTTGACAGAATTATGGCCCTTTTTTGACTTAGAAAGTGTATTGAGCTTGGTTAAGTTTTTTGTACCACCTCACTTTATTTCAAAAGCATTGGAGGTATTGCTTTGAAACTGACCATACTTGTTTACCATCACCACCTTCATCAACAGACAAGAGGACATAACTCTGTCAAGGTTTTTGACAGAATTATGCCCCTTTTTGACTTAGAAAATACATTGAATATGGGTAAAATCCACTTATTGCCTTAACCCTTTGAGATATTGCTTTGAAACTTTTAATGCTATTTCACATCATTACCCCCATCTGTACGCAAGAGAAGGTAACTCTGTCAAGGATTTGTTTTAAAAATTAAGGCCTTTTATCGACTTAGAATCTTGGTTAAGTTTTTAGTACCAGTCCACTTTTTGACTGAACTGTTTGAGATATTAATTTGAAAGTTGGAATACTTGTTTACAATCATGATTCCCAAACATGTCCAGGAGAAGGTAATTCTGTCAAAGATTTTATTTGAATTATGGCCCTTAACTGTCAATGTTTTGTATTATAGGCAAGCACTAAAAAACTTAAAAAATCTAAAAAAATTCATTCCTATCCACTTGTTCACTTTACCATAAATTATGTCATATAAACATTGCTGTAATATTCAAGGGTATCAAACAACTAGTTCACTTTAAAAATACAGAGATTCTTGTATTGCCTTTTACTGCAAAAACTTTTTTTATTGGCAAGCAATAAAAAAGTCGAGCGCGCTGTCTTACGGACAGCTCTTGTTATAGTTACCAGTTTGCCCTTAAAATTGTAATACAGTTTTTATTAACAAGAATACTAGGAATGAAATATTGACTGCCAATAGAGACACGAAATATCCAATCTAAGAAATCTGTTTTGCTGTAACTTTGTAAAGCCTGGCTAATGCCTTGAATATTTACCTTTATGACACCTGTGTCTGTTTGTCTTGGTAGCCAGTGTAATATACTTATATTATTTCAGTGGTTTGTTCAATGAAGTTACATCTAACATGAATTATTTTATTACAATTACAGAGCATATCGAGACACCAAACTTTGTGGAGACTGCATTTGAGATGAACATGATGACCTCAAAGGTAAAATGAGCCGGGCCATGACAAAACCAACAAAATGCGTTTGCGACCAGCATGGATCCTGATCAGACTGCGTGGATGCGCAGGCTGATCCGGATCCATGCTGTTTGCTTACAAACCCTATAACAAGTAGAGAAACTTAACATAATGTTATATGTTCCTTGACCTTTCTGTAATGGAAACAGATCAGCTTTTGCTGCCAGTATAGAGCCACGCTAACCTGCACATTGGTGCAGTCTTACCAGGCTCTAAGCTGTTGGTAGCTATGCTTTATATTGAAACCCCCGCCCTCAAACATTGAATGGACTGACCCGACTACAAAACTTGGCATATCCATTACACAAATAGATAAGCTTGTATGTGCTATAGTAAATTACTGTAATTTCTATGCCCTTCAGATTTCTTTAACAAGGAGAGTATATGTGTATGAGTACTTAAATACTTAGCATGCTAAAGAACCATTGCATTGTTTAATGACAAAATAGAAATTGATTTTACAGAGAAAAAATGTTATTTAATTGTATCATGTAAAGATTTTATAATAATTCACAATGTTATTTACAAATATTTGATGTTTAATTTGGTGCATTTTCAAAATGGCACCATTTTCTGAACGAGCAATCTATGTTTTTCAGCAGATCATGGTTTGATATTAATTGAAATAGTTATCTTTTTTTCACATGTTTAATGATTTTTAAAGAACATCATGTTGTTAGAATTTTTATTTTTGCTGTTGTATTTAATTTTCTCACTTTTCTTGAACTCTTACAAAATTTTGGTATAGCAAACTATACCGAGTTATACCGAGACATGTTTAATGGTAGCGAGAAGGGTTTGCATAGCCCATTTCCAGACAATTCTATTTGAAAGACCCTTGCCAGATGTTGACCATAAATTGGCCATTTTGAAATCATTACATCATCATTTAAAATCATCTTTAATACATGTAGATTATATAATATTATATGTATACATACAGAGAAAATATATGTTAAAAGGTCATTAAATACATTTACAAATTATTATTTATACAAAAGATTATTATTAACAGAAAAGATTTTTATTAACACAAAAGATTTTTATTTAAATACAAGATGATTATTTATTTACATACAAGATGATTATTTATTTACACATAAAAGATGATTACTTGCAGGGATTTGTGGAGCAGATGAAGGACATAGAGTTGAAAACGTTTGACATCAAATCTCAGGATCTTTACAGGCAGATTATGAGCAAGAGGGCATGGGTGAACAAATCTCCAACAAAAGGTAGTGATTGTGTTATTAATTTCTTCTTTATAATCAGGCCATTGTTTTTTCATGTGTTGAAGCTATCTGGCTACCTTACGGAACATTGATGGTTCTTGGTACCTGCTTGTGCATGAAGTTAAATAAGAACTAGATCCATTTATTCATATATGTCTTTATTATGATGTACAATGACCACGGTCATTCTGAAATGAGCATAAAACATATTAAAGATAAATGACTAAGCTAATGTTAATTGAACAGTGATTATAATCCTCTAGAGATAATGCACAGAGGGGCACCTGAGGTCTGTCCCCACCAGTAAAGCTGGAAAGTTGTTGTTGAATTTTACAGTGTTGGTGCAACTTAAAGAATATAATGCTATATCTTAGAGAATATATTCTATAAAATTTAAAACATCAAAGAATCAACAGTAAAACTATATTGGTTCAATAATCTTATGGTTGATTCTTGAAAGAGTTGAACATAGTTAAATATTTCTGTTATTTAACACATGTTTCGGAACAACATATGAGCTGCGCCATGACAAAACCGACATAGTGCATTTGCGGCCAACATGGATCCAGACCAGCCGGCGCATTCGCGCAGTCTGATAAGAATCCATGCTGTTCGCTATCAGTTTCTCTACTTGTTATAGGGTTTGTAAGCGACCAGCATGGATCCTGATCAGACTGCGCAAGCTGGTCTGGTCCATGCTGGTCGCAAACGTATTATGTTGGTTTGTCATGGCACGGCTCATATTATTCTGCTATTTACAGTGGCAGTGATTTTGTGTATGCACGAAGGCTCTTTACTGCCATACAAATTTTATACTAGCATTATTAATTTTAGCTGGAATAAATAGAGCTATTGTAGTCACCTGAGCGTCGGCGTCGGTGTCGGCGTAATCACTTATGGTAAAGTTTTTGTAATACCTCTAATATTTTCAAAGTCCATGGACATATGGCTTTGAAACTTTGCACACTTGTTCACCATCATGACCCCAACCTGTAGACAGGAGGAGGTAACTCTATAAAGCATTACAATTTATATTAGAATTTACATTTAAGTTTGCATACCACCCCAGATATTTTCATATTCTATTGACATCTGGCTTTGAAACAAGTTGAAATTTTATACTTTTCTTTGAAAGTATAAAAGGACTCTCTTCAAGGCCTATAACTGTAACATGGATTTAAAGACAAATTTTGCCCTGACGATAACTTAGAAAATTTTACATTATTAAGGCTTTTTTACTATCAAGCACTAAGAATAGTCAAGCATTACTGTCCTACCGACAGCTCTTGTTTTAAATTCAAATTCAAACATCAATTTTTACAGCAGATATATAGCTTTATACACTTCAAGACCCAACCAAATTCCAGATTTATTATTTTAATTGTGAAAAACAACCAAAAATGCAAAGTTTTTCACTTAAATTGGGCTAAGAATAGCACACAAATAAGATTTTCAATTTTTGAGTCTATTACTACTTTACTACCAATACATACATGTATTTGCATTTCTTCTTGTTTTCAGTACTCCAGCTGATCTTATAATGAAGAATGAAATTTTTTTATGTTTTTAGGTTCTTAAACTGCAGTGGAGTTCATTGAATTAATTAGTAGTGTAAACTATTTATTTGAATATGTTTTGTAAACTTCCATCATGCCTGTTTTAGTCCTCACGTGTATAACACATTAAAAGAATTAATGCTCAGTGGCCTCTGAAAATGAAATTTTGGGTTCAAGCCGAAGGGGGAGAAGTGACTACTTTCTTCAAACAAAATAGAGAGATATTTGCACAAGCCATGTTTGACAATAAACATATTTTGAATATATACAGTATATTTATTTAATGAATAATTTATTTAAGCAACATCAGAAGATGAAAGTCTGCTAGATGACATGAGTAGTGCTGATGATAACCGCAGGACATCTACAGGTCAATCCTGGGGCAACTCACGTCTTCCACCGTCCCTTCAGCAATCAAAGTCGCCCACAAAATCACCGAAGAAAACACCAAGTCCATCGAAATCATCAAACAACTCTACACCAGAGGCCTCTCCTGTAAAGGTACATTTTAGCTCGGCTGTTCGAGGAATAGTTGTGTCAACGTAACACTTTTGTTTTATGCGCAACTTCTTCTCCATCATATGTCATTAGCTTTTGAAAAATATTTGCTTGAAAGTTGATGCACTTATTTGTAATTGTTATAGGAGGCCACTATCCAAGGCCTATACGTCAAGTATGAATTTTGACAGAATTATAGCCCTTTGTGAACTTCTTGGTTAAAGTTTTGCATGTAGTATCAATCTTCATAACTGTCGAAGATATCCATTTAGACCTAACTCATGTCTTCAAGATCATAATTAGAGTCTCTATTCAAGGCACATAACTCTGGCTTGGATTTTGACAGAGTTATGGCCCTTTTGAATTAAAGAAAATTCTTGGTTTAAATTTTTGCATGCAACACAAATCTTAAAAAACTGATAAAAGTACTTACTTGAATTTTAATACATTTCTAAGTGACCATAACTTGTCTTTGAGATTATACAGCTAGTAGCTAGTACACTGTCCTGCTATTTTAATTGAAAACTGTCACATGATTTTATTCAAGCTGTTTAGATCATAGCTTGTTTGCTTGCATGGTGTTTTATGGTTAAAAAAAGGGAGTGTTGGTATGGCCTCCATAAATGATGTTCCTAAAGTAATATAGCACAACTTACCACATTACTGTTTGCTGTCTCCCATTGTGTCTAACGGCTTGCTTGCCTTTAAGGGTTGAGGCATCAGAATTGCAACCACCGTTTATCCCTGCGTGATCGTAAAAGGGGACTAAATGGGTTTGAATTACTGAAGTCTATGCATCTCTTAGCTTCAGCTGATGAGGTGGTTTTGGCGATGCTTTAGGTAGGAACACGCAGGGTTTGCCAAAATTATCTTTCCTGTTCTGGTGCCATATTGCCATAATAGTTGATGCAGAAAAAATACTGTTTGCCATTATATTCTTGTAGTAGCACTAGAAAAAACAGATTGAAAGGGTTCAAAGTACAAACATTTTACATTCCAGGACACAGAATTGTTAAGACGGCAGGCACTAGAAAGGAAGTTAGAATTAGAAGAAAGTAAAAAGAAGGAAAAATCGAAGAAAAAGAAAAAAATTGGATTTTAGTGATCACAGTTGAAAACATTTCAGTTTTATTTATGAACTTTGCATAATATGCAATATTTGGTTTCCTTCCCTTAATCTGCTGGAGACTCAAACTGACTAGCCTTTGCCACCAGTCTGGAGCCAGGTAGTCCTGCACATCTGTGTAGTCTGACCACACTCTATACTGATGGTTTACAAACTTTAGATTTTTGATCTTGATACCCCTAAAATTGATAATGTAAAGGTCCAAAAATGGTGGCTGGACTAGTCCATTTTAAGAAATTTGGCAGGGTAAGGGCTAAAACATTTTCAACATGATATTTTGTTGATGTTTCATCTGATATATCAAGAATGTATATTATGGACTAAGTAAAAACAATGAGCAATAGCGGCATTTAATACTTAAGTATTTGATGTGGCAATATTTCCACAATCATGTTTATAAAATACATGAAATTTTTTGTAGTTGACCTTAATGATTTAGCAGTAATATAAATTGTTATTTGAGCCACGCCATGACAAAACCAACAAAATGGGTTTGCGACCAGCATGGATCCAGACCAGCCTGCGCATCCGCGCAGTCTGATCAGGATCCATGCTGTTCGTTTACAAACCCTATAACAAGTAGAGAAACTGATAGCGAACAGCATGGATCCTGATCAGACTGAGCGAATGCGCAGGCTGGTCTGGATCCATGCTGGTTGCAAACCCATTATGTTGGTTTTGTCATGGCGCGGCTCATATATTAATGAAAAAAAGGTCAGCAATAGTTGCTAAGATATTTGAAGTGGTTGATTGATTCTTGTGAAATATACATGTACAGGTTTATTAAAAAGAAAATGGCATCAGAAGCTATTATCATAATAAAATGATAATTCCTGTGCAAAATAAAGTATTTTATTCGTAATAATTATGAATAAAATATTTGATATCACTGATGATTTATCACTTCATTTTAATTTTCTTGTTCTAGAGAAAAATTATTAGTATTAGTTGCTATTATCAATGAATTATTTTATGCCACAGATGAAATATCATTTTGTGTAAAATTATCAAGATGAAGTGAAAAAATATTAGCATTAATTGCTATTATGAATAAATTATTTGATGTCACTGATGAAATATCATTTTATGTAAATTATCTAGATATAGTATTAAGATGTTAGCATTAATTGGTATTATGAATAAAAAACATGATGACACTGATAATTTATCATTTCATGTACATGTAATTTGAATACCTAGTAAATTATTGAAACAGACAGGTTTTTTCTATAGTTTAGTTTGTCCAGTGAGTGATTCTCTTGTGCTTATAACCATGAATGTTGTCTTCTCATGCATCCTTTGTTGTTTTATTTAGGAAATAGATCCTGATTTTGAGTAATCAGTGGCCTGTTGATCATTGCTTTTTGATAATTTGTCTCTTTATGATTAATACTCTGGAAGACATTGCCTCCTTAATCATTGGCCTCTTGATCAGTGCTTTTTGACCATTTGTCTCTTTATGATTACTCTGTAAGACAATGACTTCGTAATCATTTATCTCTTTTATGATTTTTTGTAAAACATTGCCTTCTTAATCAATGGCCTCTTGATCATTAGTTAATGACCATGTGTTTCTTTATGATTACTCTGTAAAACTTTGCTTTCCTAATCAAAGGCCTCTTGATCAGTGTTTTTCTGAACATTTGTGGTTCTTTATGGATACTCAGTAAGACATTGCCATTAAATCAATGGACTCTTGGTCATTGTTTTTCTGACCATTTATCTCTTTATGATTACTCTGGAAAACATTGCCTGCTTGATCAATGGCCTTTTGATCATTGCTGTCTTGATCGTTGTCCTCTCCTGGTAATATTTTGATCATGGTCGATATATATTGTAGATGCTTTGGTTAGTCAAATTCATAAATTCCCTTGTCCTAAATTGTTTGATTAGATCTAAGATAAAGTAAAAGTTAACTAGTCCCATTTCTATATAAAAAAGTAACAACAAATAAGTAGATGTATCACATGGTTTCAAGAATAGCACATTTCAATACGTGTTGGTTTTGAAGTAACTGAATTCCTGTTCTCTTATGTACGATATGAATGCATTCCTCTCGATTTATTAACTGCATATTTTAAACACAATCGGTATACCATTCTACAAATTATTGAACACAGTGCTAAAGCCAGTACTTAAAACATATTAGAGGCTTCAAAGCTGTTGAATCAAAGATAAGTTAGGTACTAACAGTTTTTGTTTTTCCCTCTTCAAAATATTATTTCGCCCTTAAAAGGAAAGATGTACACATACAGCTTTCAGAAGAAATTAATACCGTTTACAACACCTGATTTTATACTGTACAATTTGTATATTTATGATGTATGGCCGCTTTTTCATATCAACCCTAGATGTAATATAGTTAAATATACATTTCTGGAATAAAACTTCATTCTGCTTATCTCATGAAATGCATTTATTTTCCCTCATCAGTATACATTTGGATGTCCACGGACATATCTTAAATGGTATTTTTAGTGTTCATATATTCATTTCCAAAATTTGATATTTTTAGGCAACACTGGCGTTTGAAATAAAAAGAAATTCAATATCGCACATTACAAATGTAATCGATATTAATTATATGTATTTTCTATTGTATATTTATTACCTTATATTTAAACGTATTTAAATACTACCATTTAAAAGGCAAATATCTCAATCTTTATTCCAAACAAATTACAGTAAGAATATATTTTTGTGATATTCCAAAATTTTGATCTTTATTTTCCCCAATACAATATACACGTGTATCCCACGAAAGACACAAATTAGGAGTATATCCTTATAGAATAGTAATTTATATATAGAGAGGATATTTGTTTAGTGCAGTGTAAGATCGGAATATATTTCACCGAGTGAGCACCAAAAGGTATATTTCACGAGTGGCGTAGCCACGAGTGAAATATGAACTTTTGGTGTTCACAAGGTGAAATATATTTCGATCTTACACTAAACTAAACAAATTTTCTTTTTCTTTTATGCAAATAAACGTTTTAAAAAGACATCAAATCTAATACTGAATGAAAAGCGCGCCAAATAATAATACAACGTGACGTCATTTACGACGTCACGTCATTAAGTTGGTACTCAGTACTGTGCACGCTGGTATTTCACTGAAACAACGTAAGGGGCTTAAATTCAAAACAGTGACATTATCAAAGTGGTAATTTCACTGTTTCAATCAGTGAAATTACCAGTTTTATATCACTGATATATTTCTATAAACCACCGAAAAGCATGTAATAAGAATGAATAATACATTGTATTATCCAAAGATGCCCCACTTATTTAAAAAGTACCATTTTAGTCTATGCAACCCTCACAACGAGTGATTTTTTAAACACTTATAACTTATCACTGGTGACGAAACAGAAGTTCATTTTTATGAATGAAACGAAAATTTCAAAACAAAATTTGGGCTACAAAGTTTGAAAAAGACCATGCATTGCAAAAGATGATCACCAGCATGAAGGTAATGTATATCACATGTTTCTAAACGCAAAATTGTTGATGCAAAATTTAAAATGGTAAATGTTCTTCGAAAACTAAACCAATACTTTCGAGAATGAAGACCCGAAAAAGATTTGGTCAATGTCAGATTACTGCATGACAACGTGTCATCTATATTGCAAGACCTTCTGAAGCAGAACCAAGTCTTTGTGCTTCCCAAGTTTCTGTTTTTTTACCTGACCTTGCCCTTTGTGGCTAAAGCCCTCGGGTCCATTATTCATTTTGCGGGCCGATTATCACCTTCCGGCCCTACGCTGACGTGTATTAAAGTCTTTAATACACTTGGTAGATCTAATAGTAGCATATAAAAAAAAAATAACAAAAACATAATCAAAACAAATAGACTTTGAAGTTCTTTCGTTGAAATTCTTGTCTACTCTTCTACTGTTCTGTACAGAGATGTTTTCTGTTTGTGTGTTCAAAGCAGTAGAACCAAGAAGCAAGTTTTATTTTCATTTTTTTCGGAATGAATTTGTCGTATTATTCCTTCAAATTCAATAGTAACAAAAATGTGTTTGTACTAAATACGCTTAAGGTCTCATAATAAAAATAAAGCGATTCGTGCTGACAACCTACTTTCACTTTTACAGTTAACTGTTTGATGACGTTAAATGTGACGTCATTGTTTCAGTTTGTGCACGTGCACATGTTCTGCGGGCTGATAACTAGTTCTCGGCCCCGGGCCGCAAACTCATAATAGGTCACGTGACACTCATAATCAGTTGAAATCATAGGCAATTTTGTTACTATATATAGTAACAAGTGTATTAAATCTTCTTAGTATACCTCCAAAAGCTATGAGAATGCCTTCAAAGATAAGATCCGGGGAATCTATTGGAGGCGAATACTTTGAGTGAACAAAATAAAAAAAAAAAAAAAAAAAAAAAAAATCAGTGAAACCCTTGAAGAATAAATTTTTACTTGCTTAGATGCATTCTTTTTTGAACACTCCCAGGATATTTTCCTCTGGAGTGTTTCTTATTAAATGACATAGCACGATTGTGAAGGGGAATATTTGTTAAATGCCTATTATGCCTCAGAAAAAAAGGTTTTGTTTTTATTTCTCAAAAGCTTTTTATTTTGGTTTACTTTCATAGTAACCAAAAAGTTACTCATTGCCAAACTACCTGATTTATCTCTAGCAACTCCTACAGTTATAGTAAATTAGTATTTTGTATGGAAGCCAAAATACTTCTTTGATTACATTTTGCTACTTTAATGACAAATTATTTTACACGGATCGCTACTTTGTCCATGTAACAAGCATCTAACATTCTCTTAAACCATCATTTATACATATGAAAATCATGTTCTGAGAAAAAATAATCCCATATTTTTCTTATAAATGTTTAATTTTTCAAAATCACTGGTAAATATGTCATATATAACATACCGGTATGATATAATACATTGTTCTACAGTATATTTATTTTTATAATTTTACAAATATAATGACAACACAATAAAAAAGATGTTGATAAGCCCATCTGTAATTTATATTCAACGTTCAACAATACAAACATTGCAGTACATAATACATGTAATTATATTGAGAGTATCAAAAGTTGCATCTGTTGTTGCAAAAAATGTGCAAAAAATGATAAAAATGTTATTTACATTTCTTTGATTTTACTGTTTTGATTAACTTAAAGAAGAAGAAAAAAACCTACGATACATTGTATTTCAATGATTAATTTGAATTTAGGAATTAAGTCGTTAACTTTGCATAACCAATTTATCAGAAAAAAATATATAATGTGCTGTGGAATAAAAAAATATATCTTAGAAATGTGCGAATAAATATATTCAAATTTGATTTCTGTGCTCTTAAATAATAATAATAATAATAATAATAATAATGCGTGTAATTATAATAATGATAATAATTAAACAAAGATATATCTATCTTTTTGAATACAGTACATTGTTTTCGTCAAAATCTAAATTAAAGATAAATGTATCTATGAATTTAAAAATAGATACCAGTCAATAACTTTGTTCAACCACCACCAATTTTGCAGGTGCTATGAAATTAATTTTTTTAGGTTAGATAACAAATGTGCGAACCAATCTATTCAAAATAAATTTCCTGTGTATGAAATAAATATGAATATAAAACATGATTCTTTCATGTGAGGAATTTCAAATGAATATACATATTGTACTTCTGTAAAATATTTTTGTTGGGTTTTATTTACGTAGTACCAACAAGTCATAGGGTGACCTTCCAGCTTTACTGGTGGTCCTAAGTTGCCCTTCCGTGCATTATTTCAGGCACAAACGGACACCTGAGTAGAATCACCGACGTTCCGTTAGCTAGCTGGGAAGTTTCCTCATATGAAAGAATCCAACGTTCCTGTTGTTGTTGTTACGTACGATTCTAAAAACTATCGACATAATTAATTATGATAAAAAAAATCCTTCCATTGTTGACCAATCCACTGCATTTCACTACAAGTAAAGATCCTGTAAATTTTTTATTACATCCCTTTATTTACATGAAATGTTAAATTCGGTAATATCTTTACAAATAATACTTTTTTGAACTTACAAAATTGATGAATCTTAATTTGAGCATCATATTGATGATATAAAACCATATTAAAATGTATTACAGGATCTTTAACATTTGAGATACATAATATTTAATTGGGTTATAAGTCCCCCGGTTTATAACTTATGAATTACCAGGAAGTAAAGAAAAAAAAGAAGAAATTTTATTAACAATTTTCAGTAAGACTGTTTCTTTACACAAAGGATAGAAAACATTTAATATGTATATACAATAACTAAACATGAAATTATAAAAAAATACGTCTTGGTACATAAGATATTTGAATATTGACAATATACTAAAAACTACTTCAAAATATTTGCGCAACAAACACAATTAGTATGTATTAATTTTTCTGAAATTTCAATTGCCTTGTCGTAATTTAGTTTCCAAATGTTTTCCTTAAGACATAAATCGAAAAATCACATAACAATCCTGTCAGTGCCCGAGAAGGAAATAAATGTCACATTATTTGTTCCTGAAAAAAGATACAACAGATTTCCAGAAATCGATCATTTATTGTTAAAAAGTTAATGTTTAATAATTATTTCTATAATTATTCCCGTTCGTGGAAGGCGACATATCAATTAATAAGATTGGACCATTTCTGCCCGCACACCGCCAGCCCCAAGCCAATCAAAATGGAGAATTTAATACCACATGATTACAAAATGGACGGCAAAACCACCCAAAAAGGGGGCGCTTACGGAGCATGCAATCTGCCATGTTTTTTTATCGGGTTACCTATATTTAGAATTCAAATACTGGCTTAATGTTAGAAGCTCGAAACCAGTGTGTAAGCTCCTACGTGTAAACAATATATGGAGCATTTCCCTAATACTGTAAAAACATCTCAGGTAATAATTGTTTCAATGTTGAAAACTCGCGGAGTTTGTCGAAATGACTGACAATCAATGACATTAATATCTAAAGGATTCAATGCAATCATTGGTTAACAATTATTATGTAAAAATAAATGATCATTATCTAGATTTTATTGAAAATAATCAACATTTCACATTGTTATAATTTAATATACTTACAGCCGGTCAAAAGTTGGTCTTGGTAGCGAAATCTGAAAAAAGACAAGGAGACAATGTGGAACGCATACAAAAATAGTTTGACCAATATCCAAATAATATACAGGACGGATTTTACATGCACCACTATACAGCCTTATGCTCTAACACTACCGTCTTAAAAAGAACAAGGCAGTCTGAAGGACAGCTAAATTCCCTTTCGCAGTGAACATGAATGTGTACTTCTTGACCTTTTACAAACCATGACCTTGATGTTGTGTCATGCATATCATAAGCACATAATCTCATAAAAATATGGAGAAGAGAACATTTAACCTTGACCTTGGGTGTAGCAACCTAGATGTTGAGCTCTGCAGATTCTGTCATGGTGGCGATCATTTGTTCCAAGTAATTTTAAAACCTTTGAATTGTCAATAAGTTATAGAGCGGACATGAAAAATAGATGTTTTTAATTTGGACCTTTGAGTGTGACCCTGACGTTCAGAGTTTTGACTTGATTATTGTCCTCTGCCAATAGTGTCATAAGGGTGATTATAGCTGCCAAGTTATCTTAAAAACAATTCCAGTGATTTAAATGTTATGGACAGACACGAAATGTAGATTTTCTAACATTTGACCTGTAAATGTGACCTTGACCTTGGGGTAAGCAATTCAATTATTGCGCTCTGCACATCGTCTCAAAATTGTGATCACTTGTGCCAATCTATTCAAAAAATTCAGAGCTTTAAAAAATATGGAGGGGACATGCAATGTAGACTTTTATACATTTGACCTTTAAGTGTGACCTTGGGGGGTAGCAATCCAATTACTGCGTTCTGCAAATGTTCTCATAATGATGATCAGCAGCCAAGTTATCTTTTTAAAATTTCAGCGGTTAAAAAGTTATGGAGCGGACACGAAATGTACACTTTTTAACATTTGAACTTTCAGTATGACCTTGACCTTGTGGGAAACAACCAAATTATTGCGCTCTGAACGTCGTCTCATAATGGTGAAAAGTTGTGCCAAGTTATTTAAAAAATTCAGCAGTTAAAAAGTTATTGAGGGTCACAAAATGTAGACTTCTTATTATAAAATGAAGACTTTTTAACATTTGACCTTTAGTGTGACATTGAACTTAAGGGGTAGCAACCCAATTATTGCGCTTTGCACATGGTCTCATTATGGTGATCACTTGTGCCGAGTACTTTAAAAAAAAAATCAGCGATTTAAAAGTTATGGAGCGGACACGAAATGTAGACATTTTATTATGAAATGAAGACTTTTTAACATTTGACCTTTATATGTGACCTTGACCTTGAGGATAGCAACCCAATTATTGCGCTCTGCACGTCGTCTCATAATGGTAATCAGTTTTGCCAAGTTATTTCAAAAAATTTTCAGCGGTTAAAAAGTAATGGAGCGGACACACAATGTAGACTTCTCACTATGAAATGAAGACTTTTCAACATTTGACCTTTAAGTTTGACCTTGACCTAGGGGGTAGCAACCCAATTATTTCGCTCTGCACATCGTGTCATTATGGCGATCACTTGTCCCGAGTAATTTTCAAAAAAAGGTTCAGCGGTTTAAAAGTTATGGAGCGGACACGGAAGTGTTACGGACGGACAGACGGACGGACTGACATACGGACAGACAGACGGATGCCATTTCTATAATCCCCTTTAAAAGAGAAAAAACAAAATCAACTTGCCGTTTTGGATTTTAAAAATATATAAAACGACTAACAATTAATAAAAAAAAATGCATTCATGTAAACTAAAAAATATTAGATTTTAATAAGAATGCTTAACTAAGATATATTTTAGGTTTATAAATAAAATACTGCGTTTTATTTGTTCGAAGATTACTGCAAACGAAACTGCAGACATGCGTGCAATCATACAAGGCTATATATTGATCACATTTGACTATACAATGAATGTTTTTCAATCGGTTGACTGTTATAATGGCGATTGACCAGCAATTGATATTGAAAAAGTCTTTAGGATAATATATATCTGCTTAAAGTATAAAAAAGACTGCCCCACTCTTTATTTATAAATTTGACGTTACAGGTAATTTTTTTTCGATGGATATTTTAACAAAATTTTCTTTGGCCATGTGAGTGATGCGAAATAGATCATGAAACTGTCAGGAATTATTGCAAATGCCAATTTATTTTGACCTCCCACAGTTCTCTTACTATATACCCTTGGATGGGCGTAAGGAAGCTTTGCTTACTTTGTATATCTTAGTTTTAATCTGTAAAGTTGGTGAAAAATTTAAAAATCTTACTTCGTCATCGACATGGGGATACATAAAATCCCACGTAAAGTTTGGTTTATAGGACCGTCTTTCTTCTGAAAAGAAAAGAAAAACTAAATGCCTACAGATGAGTCAAAATTTTCAAGAAAATCAAATTTTATCAAACTGTACTAAGATTTTAAGAAAAGTAAAAAGATTCAAGAAATTATTTACATACTATATATGTGCCATAGATAACTGATTTTGCAGTATTTAAAACCATATTTTTGCTTCGTCTCTCACGCAGTAAAGGCAATTTTGAATATTTTTTCATCTTTATGTCAATTAACGTTACGATTTTAAGTGCCCTTTGCAATGTATAAAATACGTCCGTTGTTCATTTCATAATATTTTACTTTGAAATACATTTTTAAAATCTTAGTGAAATTAGCATGAATCTGGAGGCAGATATTGGAATAGTTAAACCAAGGGCCAGCACAATATGATAAGCAATTACTCAAAGTAACCTTCGAAACATTTTGAGAAATGTTAATTGTATATTGTTACAGACAAAAATTGAAATTTGACAAGACGTATAATATATATTCTTATCATGAGAGTAAAAGTTAACAAACCTTCCAGGCATACTTATTATGAACTAGATTCAGCTGAAATTCTGGTTTTGGTATAACGTCACATTTTAATAATAACAAATGTTAGTGAATTATTATGTTTCTTTTTCATTTATCATTTTATTGCTAACAGATAAATGGCGTCAGACATAATATCCTAGACCAAAATGTTACCATATAATATCACACTTTTGATAATAAGTCATACATAATAATTTCCTTTCTTAGCTACCCAAATAGGGGTTTATGAAACAAAATTGTTAGCAAGGATAATGTCCATACAAACACAATAAATGAATCATTTATTAAGTTTCGCAAACATATGTTTCAAATTGCTAATCGCAAAACATTAGCTATTTATCGTAATCATTTAATTTACAAACCTTCATGTCCGATTTGCACTGCATTGGGGAATGATCTGCGCCGACGGGATTGAGGGGTTTGGTCATGATTCAAGTCTACCACGGACTCCGTGCCTTCCCAAAGGTCTGGAAATTGTGATCCATACACTGGGCCTCTACGACCGACTGTGTCGAATCTTATAGGTATCATGGCCGGAGTAAATCCACTACTTGCTGCGCTAAAGATAGTAAAATAGTACCTCAGTTGCAATTTTGTTTTTCTAAACTGCTTTTATTATATCAAAAATATAATATTAATAAAGATCAATGCTTGCAATTTTGTAACTCTGATTTGGATAACTATCAAATAAAAATGAGTAAGTTTAAGTTTGACTATACCTTACAAAAATATTTTCACCTTTAAGATAAAATGTTGCTCATTAGTAACTTGTGTTGACACCCCTATGGTCGAGCGAGAGCGGGGGAGGATGATCGACCAACTAGCCAAATGGAATCGAACATGCCTGAACAACGGACTTTGAGATTGGAGACGGACCGGCTGACAACATGAGCGGTGACTGAAGATTCATCGTACAAAAATGGGATGTGCGCCAATTGCGAATCTGGTGCGACGCGCAAGGAAACTTGGTGAGACGGAGGAAGAACTGGATCGGGAAGAACACCACAGTGCCCAGAGCCTAAAAGCATCAGATGAGGAAGAGGAGCACATCGACAGTTCTGAGAAAGACACTCGTGAGGAAACGAATGAATCATTAGAACAGAGAAGACAGAGAATGAAATGGCCAGCAAGCACAGAGAAAATAGCATGGAAGAGGTCGGACCAGATGGTGGGGAAAGCAGATAACAAGTTGCATGTAATTTCTGGGATTATCTACAACTTTAGCAAGGAGAAATTTGGAAAAAAATTGGGAAAGAAGAAAAGCCTGTCAAGGAACCCAGGAGGATTCAAAAGATTGCCAAGATAAGGGGAGATCTCAGACGACTGACAGCAACTTTAAAGAAAGAAGAAAATGGAGAAGGAGAAAGTCCTTAGGGAAAGTATGAGGAAGGAACTCAAAAGCCTTAGAAGAGCTGGGAATCTGCGGAAGAGAAGACATGACATGAAAGACACAAGAAAAGAGCCCAGTTCACCAAGGACCCTTTCCAGTTTGTGAGGCGCTTGCTAGTCGAAAAGAAATCTGGTACGCTTCAGTGCACGAAGGAAACGGCCAACAAACACACCAAGGAGACGTATAGTGATACCAGTCGTTATGAAGAACTGGGCCGTTGTGAGAAATTGCTGGAACCAGATCTCACAGAGTTTGAATTTGACAGTGCAGAGCCAATACTGCAGGAGATCAGAGATATACATGTAGTAAGCAAGACCAGAGCATCTTCAGCAGATATATGCTGCAACACTTCTTTGACAACTATATCTTGCGCTTCTTAACAGAATTGTTCACAACTGACTGGCAGAGGCCAGAGGTAGGAAAAGTGACTGGATGTACCATATCAGTAGTTTTGTTTGCTACAGCCACGAATCTTATTGTGAAGTCAGCCGAAAAAACTTCCAGGGGACCAAAATGGCACCAGGATCTATTCAACCTCCGACAAGAGCATTCATGGATGACATGACAATCATAGCCAAGGTCGATGGATGTTGCAGGATATCATTACATGGAAAAGGATGAGATTTAAGCCAGCCAAGTTTAGGAGCATGGTCTTAGGGAAGGGAGTGATACAGGACAGCGCCATATATTGAGTATGTGATCAGCTCATACCTACTGTTAAGGAAAAACCTGTGAAGTGTTTGGGCAAATGGTACAGGGGCTCACTCAGTGACAAGGAGAATATAGCCGATACAGAGTCACAATTTAAGGACTTGCTGAAACAGCTTGAAAAAATGTGGACCTCCGGGGAAATTTAAAGTCTTTTTAATTTTGCCGCGTTGGGCTTTCTTTAAGGATTCTTATTTCACTCTATTTGATCTACCAAGATGGCATCCTTTAATGACTGCTATTGCAACTTCTAATATAGTGTGCCATCGTCCACAGCAGAAGCTATGGAAAGAACCACTATATTGATTTCTAAGAAGATGGTTGGGAGTGCCAAAAAGTTTAACCAGCCTTGGCTTATACTGCACGAAAGTAAGCTACAATTGCCACTCAAAGCCTTAACTGGAGTATATAAGGTTACAAAGGCACGCAACGTCATCATGCTCGGAGACAGTGCGGATGAGAAAGTGAGAGAGGCAGGAGTGAAGATACTTACGGGAAGGAAATGGAAGGCAGAATAAGCTGTAAGAGATGCAGAGTCACGGCTCCGCCATAGTGACATTGTTGGAACTGTGACAGAGGGATTGCTGGGACCAGGGTGTGTTACTCGGTCTCAGTGGAGCAAGGCAAGTAAAAAAAAGAATTTTGATACAAAGTGAGGTCAGACGGACAAAAGAGGAACACAGACAGACCAAGGCCGCAGCTCTTGGTAAGCAAGTCAGATGGCTCAATTGGGAAGGCAAAGGAAGCTGACATGGGTGATATTTGGACGAGCAGGAAATCCTAGAAATGGTATTCTTAGTGACTGGCAGATGGAGCTTGACCTAAAGAAGAAACTGAAATTCCCCGAAGAAATACTTAGTAACTGTAACCAAACTAAGACCAGATATTGTTTTATGGTCTTCAGCTATCAAACAAGTTGTTCTACTTGAACTCACAGTGCCATGGGAAGAAAGAATCGAAGAGAGTTACGAGAAAGAACTGGAAAAATACCAGCCTCTTAAGGATACTTGTAAGGATAGAGGATAGAGGTCTTGATGCTTTCTAGTGGAAAAAAATCTGTAAACAAAGTGATCCCGCGGAAGCATTAATCACAACAAAATTACATAAGAATTGCAGACCCGGTTGTTGGTTTTAGGGGCCTCCCAGCGCGATCACTGTGACGAGCATTTACTTGCCTGGGTATGACAGGACAAGCGCGCAACAAAGCCATATCTTACATATGGAGCACATGAAGCAGAGTCAGCCTCATCGTGGATCTGGCACAAGAAAGAAGAGCCATGAATTGAGGGTTGAAATACCAATAGTTAGGCAGTACCCGCTTCAAGACAGATGAAGCAGGGATAGCTCAAGCCTACCATCTCCTGGCTAGAGCTTGATATTACTCTTGTCGGCGCATCATAGGAGGGCGTAGTGTGAAGCGCCGAAACGCCAAATGAATATGTCACCCACACGAGGAAGGAGATGGTAGCAGATATCGATGCTGTATCTTACGACTGTTTCTAAAAACATAAATCGTCATTTCAGAAATACATATAGAGGATATTTGTTTGTGCGGAGCTACTAAGGATAACACTGTTTTTGAAGTTCACTCGATGAAATAAAATAGCATATCTTACATAATAAACAAACACTTTTTCTTTTTTATTCAAAGCTTAAATACAAATCTAAATGAAATCTGCTCAATAATAACTCGAATATCAAAATTTGTTTTCCCCACTTGTACCCTCAATTTCAGACGAATTGCATACAAATACATGAAGTGTAGAGCTAAATAATAATTTCAAATATGAAAAAGAAGACGAAATAGTTACACCTCGCCGAGCTTAATTCTGCGAAACGGCGAAAGTACACATTAGGTTTTATAAGCCATGTAAGCGGCCACCATTTTTTAGAAGTTGTATGTTTCACACGAGGAATAAATAAAATGTGTTTGATCCGGAGGGATTTCATTTGGATTTTATAATTTTACATTTAATCATACAAAAGAAAAGATATTCGAGGATTGTTACAAACAATATATAATTGTTGACAGATGTGTATACATTCAAGAAACGACTAGAAATTTGGAAAACATAGAATTATTTGCAAGGCTGTCTTACGAACGCTGGGTTATTTTGAGCAGTTTTGCATGTGAAAGGAAGTGTTATAATTAAACTGGTTAAATGGAATATAGATTAGCAACAATATTTGGTGATCGGTAAGTTGAATGACTTTATAAGTAAGATTTATCTTCTTGATTAGATTTGAAATTTAAATTATTTATCAATTTTAGCTTTGCTCTAAAGTTTAATGTCGGAACTGTAAAAATGAGGTACCACATGGGGAATACCTATCAAAACAGTCTCTTCGTTGAAAACTGTGAAATTATGTTTTTGATAATTTTCATTGCAAAATTATCAAATATAATTTTCGCGGAGAAATCAGTAATCCACTCATAGCATAAAATAAACTGATATAAATCATATAGATAGACTGATTTCGAGCATTTTATTTAATATTTATGACACTAACTTTTTTGAATTCCAGCTAAATGTAGATCATATCTAATTACAAACTAAATATTAAATCATGAATAACACGGCTTTTCTTATAAAAGCAAAGTCTTGCTTAGTAAAAACAAAACTTTAATATAAGAAATTTAGGCAAATTACTTGTGTTTTTCAAAAAAGATATAATTTTATTGATAATCTAAAAAAAATCTGGAAACAAAGTGATCCCTCGGAAGCATTAATCACAACAAAATTACAAGAGAATTGCAGACTCGCCCCTAACTTCAAAATGGTTTCTCTACGGTATATGTAACTATTTCAAAAGTGACATTTTGACCATTCTTTCGTTGTCATATATATTTCAAGTGATTGGCTTTAAAAAACAATGGATAATTTAAAATGTTTAGGATATTTTTAATATAGAAACTGCCTAACATCAGGGTCTTTCAGTTAGAAAGTGCTAAAATGTAAAACGATTGGACCTCTTTTCCTAAAGATTGAACATTACCGATACATTCCGAGAGAAACTTTTATTTTGAGTAGCATGGTAAAGTAACAAGGGTTGTTGATAATATATGCGAAGAAAAATATATAATTTAAGACAACTATAGCTAAATGTGATTTATTTTAAATTGTATCTCAACAGTCGCCATTTGCAATTGGATAGGCATAATGTCACTTTAAATTTAAACTTTCTCCGTTTCAAAATTATAACATCTTAGATTGAAAAAGGGAAATTTCAACTTAATGAACGTGAAGACAGTTCTATCAAATTGATATGGAAAAGCATTTTTTATGTTTCAACGGTACGTGTATATTTTGTTTTAAACTTACGAGCTTGGTCTACTGTTTTCTGTTATATTTAAACGCTTCTGTTTCCTGCGTTTCCTCCTTCTTTCTAAGCCAATCAAACTGCAAAGACACCCTAGTAAAGCGCACAATAATAGAAACATCGGTATCCCTACACCAAAACCGACTTTTAAAGCATACTCGTCACCTGAAATATTAAGATATGCTTAAACTATAAAAAGACATAACGAAACGAAAAATTGCTTCTCAACTCCATTATTTCTGTACTTGATATTGAAGTGAAAAACAATAGTCAAGAATTAAAAAGGGACACATAGATGAGACACAAATAAACAAATATATATATACACTAGTAATTTGCCACCGTTACATAGTGCATGAATTTTTACTATGGTAATTTATTATAACTTATTTCATCTGTCTTATGTATGGAAGCATAATCAACATATTAGAAAATAAACGGCAAACTTATTGAACCTACCCGTATCACCGCTTCTGTCTTCTACCGGACTATAAGAGAAGAAAAAAATTGAATAAATTTTCACAATAGCCTATAAGATTATTATATAAATGTATTTACAATTATCTTCAAACAGAGGATAACGAGGAACTCATTACAGAGGGATAAGAAACTCAGAAAAATATATAATTCCAATCCTGACACACAATCCCTCACGCGAGATTCATTGGCCCTTGGGGTTGATCAATATCTGCCATCTTGTTTTATTCAATCAAATGTGTTAACATTTTCATCCATGACTGAGCCGAGAAAAATTTAGGTCTTCTTAATCTTTATTGTCTTTTTTACATAAATAATGCAGATAATGTACTTCTGTGGGATAACATAACAAAACTTATTTCGCAACTTGCAGATTTCAGTCAAATTTCGGCTGCCAGTGTTATTAGATGATGTACCAGTCTAACGTCATTGGGGTTTTGGGCTACAATCATAACATGAGCAAACAGAAACATAAGTCGTTGAAAAAAGAAACACTTAGATATTCTTTTATACATAGAATAGAAGCATGGTATTTGATTTCTATAAAAAATCAACAATTTGTAATTTGCGTTGTAATCTTCATAAATGATTGTTTTATATAAACATCAGCAAGTTAATATTGTTTATACTGTTTTAAAAAGAAAATGTTTAATTTAAGATATTCATTTGGTTATTAAGACACAAACAATGTTAAATGTACAGCTTCTGTCTTTCTTTCCTGTTGGCTTAAGAGTCTCAAGAGTTTTATCATATAATATGTTATCATTTATATAGCAAACAAACAGTCATCATTTATATGGAAAACAACCATATATCAGTTATGTACAAACAACTGTTTTAAGTTATACATGTATAGCAAACAACCGTATATCATTTATTTTTTAGCAAACAACCGTTTATCAAACATTTCCACAAAACCTGTTAAAATCCATTCTAACAAATTGATAATGTTTAGAGTGTCTTTAATTAAAATACAAATTAATCAGTTGTGTGTATATATGTTACTAATGATAATAAAGGGCTCATTGTCCAATGAAATGCGGCGAGAAAAAGATGCAGTATCATGAAGCATGTCTCAGGAGTGATGGTTTACAAAGAGGTTTTAATATATTCTTACTCGCAACGCGTAGTATCGTCCTCCAAGTGAACATGACATTCCGTACCTTCCGGACAACCATTTATAGTATATTCAAATATTTGACAGGATATAGACTGAAGACCTTCAAAATCTAATGTATCATTTTTAACATCTGCAATAAAAATTGTTACATTCATGAATTAATATTTTCAAATATGGATACATCTTTATCAACTATTATAAATATTTACAGTGATTTAAATGGCTATAACATCAATTTATACTTATCATAGTGTAAATAGCATAAGCTTATTTATAAAACATTACATAACATTTATAAAAAAAAAAAAATAATAATACAGGTACAATTTATAAAATGTGTTATTAAACTTAAAATCAGCAATTATAAGCTTATCTACCTTTCTCAGCGTTATTCATAAATGATGCGACATAAGAATATATGTCAAATACGTAACGTTATCTTGATTAATTGTTAATACAACAGTGCGAAAATTAACTTTTAACATTTGTGGATAATATGATACAAAAGCCCACACCAAAACCAAAACTATAAAGGACTAGAACAAAAAATAAATAAATAAATAAATAATAATAATAATAATAATTATAATTATAATAATAAACGCTACAAAAAGTAACAAAACTTATTTTTTCATAATATACACGACATAAACGGCATACTAGAAACTATTGAAAAGATAATACAAATTAAATATTTGTATGACTGCAGCAGTAAACATTATAAAAAATTTATTTACCGGGATCATTGATTTTTGCACATTTAGTGTTGGGGATTGAATACCACTCAAGCCGTTGCTATAGGGCGTGAGGGATGATGCCCTTTTCCATTATCCCTCATGCACAGCCACAATGAAACCGAGTTTGCAATTTTCATATTTGTTGGTTGTTTTCATTACTTTCCAGAGAGTTCCCTCAATTTCAAGATTTTTAACCCTTGATCAAATAAATATTGTCAAATAAAACGTTTCTGGGTTGTTTCAAAATGAAACATGTACATGTAATAATTATTGCAGCAAATATTTGTAAGATAGAATATTTATTTTAATTGATAAAGAATATTCACTTCTAAGTGACTATTACTATTATCAAATATAATAACACATGTATGAAATTATATGTGGTCATTGATACTACAAAATAAAGTTGTCAAGTCTTTGTGGCCATTTATATTATAAAATAAAATGCCAGGTATTCAAGTCATTGTGATCATTATAATTATCAAATGAAATAATCAAATACTTGCGGTCATTTACATTAACAAATGAACTAATTAAGAATTTGTGAATATTAACAAGTGAAGACATTAGAACTCAGGTTAACCGGTTACGCGGCCAGTATCCACTGCCACATAAATCACGTGATGGTCTTATCATATGATTGTGTCAAGATGGCGGAAACGTTTAACAATTGTTTTATCTGTAATAAACAGCGACATTATAACTTGAGCTCTGGTGTCAAATCAGTGGATATGATTGTTAAAATTTGATTTTTGTTAAGTGTAGAATCGAAATTATTTATTACTTGAATGAAACGGCCATTATTTTGGAAATAAACGGTGCGATATTAAAAATTATGTTCATAATATTTATGTTACCGAATTATTGGTTTAACTTACTGTCCGGTCTCACCACTAGAAAAAAGTAACATATTTTTCATTAAAGAGATCATGTTTGATAGATTTTAAAAATAAATAATAATGTTGATAGTATTTAGTATTAGACACAGCATCATGAAAAGAATTATGTATGGATGTTGTTGGCAAGTATGAAATACCCGATCCTATATTACATACATTTACATAGCAGATAACGAAATGTTCTGGAATAAAATATTATTTATTTATTACATAAATTTTCATGCTTTGCCACTAAGAACTTGATCAACATATTCCCAAAGCAATATAGTGTATCACAGTATTCAAATGATATACATTTCTATTGTTTTATTGACATGAAAAATGTAACCATTGTAGAAAAAACCCTTTAGAAACTCACAAATTTACGCCAACACGAGCGCTCATGCGCATACATATGCGCACTTACGTATACTTAGGCATTTCTAGTGTTCTTTATAAATTGACAAGCACAAGAATTCAATTTTCAATTTAATCTGAATATAATTCTTAATAATCTCTTGAATATCAAGGTTCTGTCCCAGCTGAGCTATGTAGTTAATTCAAATCTATGTTTTCAGGTTTTTGGATCTCAGCTCAATACAAACATGAAATGTTTTCTAAATGGTGACCACGCTTGAATTGAGAAAAAGAAAAAAAAAGGTGAACGTTAATGTTTTTCTTAGTCAATTTAACCAATGATCTTACTTACATGTTAATCCATTGAGACATGTTCTAGTTATTGGCAAGTCTTTTTCACATATTGGTAATATTTGTCGTCTGGTCAAATTTGCTTGTGCTATGGCAAATTCTCCTCTAGCTTCCGTCGTGTTTTTAATGTAAACTGTGTAGTTTACTTGGGCAAATGTGCTTTCGCTGAAAACAAAATTGAAAAAAGATGACGTTATTGAATGTGCAGTCACATCTGTTTTCTTATTCTTGTGCAAGATTGTAAGTTGTTCAGTTTTTTATATTCATGACTGGCTTTGACTAGCTGTATTTCATCCATTGTGAAGTCTGGATTTAATGAGTATTTAGTAAGTATGAGTCAAACTTTAGTCATTGACCTTTTGTTTGTTTTGTTTGATTTTAATTCATTCCGAACAGCATTTTTAAAGGTTAAACGGCGGCTTTCCAGCTTTTCTGCAGGGATTATTTAGGTACCTTATCCAGCATTATTTCAGCCACATGCACGCAAATTAAAAGAACGATCGACCTGCCGTAAGATAACTTGAAGTTAAGTTTCCTCACATAAAAATCCAAAGTCCATGACAGGATTAGAATCTATAGCGGTAAGGGACAAGCGATATGAAGTCATTTAGTGGTTTGTGGTGATATAGAGCCTGTTCATATTTTTTAAAATAATAATTATGGACACCGAATGGATGATTTATCTTATCCTATACTAATCTACGACTTCATATGTGCTCCTTTGTCCAAATTAGTTAATAACCACTGCATTTGTTAATATTAAACAATTATACTCAGGGAATGACTAAATCCGGGGAGCCTTTGTTTTTAGGGAAGTAATACAAGTATTACCAAGTTGCCTGGAGGAGCTAAATGTAATTCACCATCACTACAAAGGATATTAATGGCTATATGGCGACGCTTCAGCTTCACTGGTAAAGGAATACCACAGGTACCCCTTTTGATTCATGCACGAACGGGTACCGGAGTAGAACCACAGTCCTTCTGGATGCTAGCTGGATAACTCCCGCGCATGATAGAGTTCAGATTCAAACCCACAGCGGTGATGTGCACGTGGTATGGTGTCAATTTGTATAAACAAAAACAAACCTCAGTGCTTGTCTCTTTCTACGTCCTGTATTTTCTGTACTTTCATTATAAAATCTGTAAAACAAAAATAGATTAAATAGTTTGAAGCAATTTAATAATAATAAATAAAACTGAATATTAATATATATCTTTTGAAAGCTAAAATAAAACCATAAATTATGTCATATTTATTTTCATTTCAAGAGCAACTCTTTGGGGTTTTTTTGTTGTTGTTTTTTCATGTAAAGAAGGAGATTTCATTTTCTTGTTATATAAACATAGAATACATTGTTTGTTTGTTTCGTTGGATTTAAAATCACAACGGCATAGAATGTAAGAATATAACTAAAGGTATATATATACATGCAAGAGTAATTTAACTAGTCTGTCTGTGATTGCCGTGGTTAATAGCTATAATTACTCACTAAATTCTCTTTTTGAAAATTGCAGGTATAATTTCCACTGTATATAATATGTCTGTCATTAAAACATTTTTATTTCACCAAATATTTTAATTTCCTCGTATGAAATAATGTAACTTATAGTTAAAGAATTGGAACTTACACAATACTTATGATGGTGACGTTATCAAACATGTTACCAGGCATAGATGCTCCGAAGTATTCTTCAAGCTAACAAAAATAAATAAAAGAAAAAATCAGACAATTCTTATTAAACCTTACACAATCTCATTGGCTTAATAATGTTATCATTTACTTATCACAGCCTTTCATGATTGACATATAAGTAGAAGAACACTGTAAAGACGTTTGCACGCTCAATAAAATACTAGAAATGACACTGAATTAAATATTTTAGATGAAAACGTGACTGCACAAAATTACATGAAGTTATAATGTACATACTGGTCTTTCATAATTTAACGAGAAAAGTTTGTCTAGATGAAGATAACCTACATTCGTCGAGTTGCGGAGAACATCTACTTCCTTAAGAAGTAACAAGTAACACGCAGTAAGTCGGATCAAATGATTATATTAATAAGTGTTTCTGATTAAAACCAACAACTAAAGTTAAAAAGAAAAAATGTTTAAATGTTTCATACGCGCTTTGCCTTCATTCATTATTGCACATATTGAGTACTGATACATAGTAAAACGTCGAAAGTATAAAGGAACGATACCGTTTAAGCGATGTGAATTGGTACGATACGGTACAATGGCGGAGGAACCTGACAAACAGCGTGGGTAAGAGTCGATTTGTTTCAAATAATTGTTGTATGGGAATAATAAAGTACATGCGAAGCAGAACATATTATTATGTATGATGGTCAAAATAGAAGAATACACACTTAAGTAAGAAAAAAGCTATTGAGGTTAATTGTTACTTTAAATGCCTCCGGCAACCTGACACACATATTAAAAGTATAAAGTGTACAGATGTACAGATGTAAAATATATTTTATAACATATAGCACCAACGTGTTACCTATTAAAAGCAAAACTAAATGCAAGAACAGAAATTAATGATCTATTCGCATATATCCACAATATTTCCGTATGTCTTATTGTACTGTACGCATGATAATTGGTCGATAAAGGAACTGTAATTAAAAATATTGGCTCCTTACGACGAGCTTTCATACATGACCGACTGATGCCTGTTCTCTGTGCATGAGCAACTAGTTACCCGTATGGTGAAAAACAGTTTCATTTAATGAACAGTGAACTATAATATACTTATAGCATACAAAAATAGACACAAGGAAACTTTAGGGCAGTTCTGATTCGAGAAAAAGTCTTCCTGTTCTGATACAATGAAATTACCTCTTTGATAGACTATTTAAATCGACATGTGTTTTCTTTTTAGTAAAAGTAATTGTGGTGAGTGTGGAAAATAACTTATAAAAACATAAACACCGCATCACACTAAAATGCATCCAAAGGAGAAGGTTCCCAGGCACAGAAGGGATACAAGAAGGGCCATCCAGGCCCATCGACTACTCCAACCTGCCCACCCTGATGAGCTGGTGGGCCCACCGGCACTACCTTAATATATACCCATATCTCCCAGGGATTCAGCTCGGTGGGCCCTCGGTGTATAACCGAATATACCGTATGGGAACCGTATGTCCAACCGTGTTCTGTGTGAGACGGGCTTTAACGCTTATTACTCGTGTATACTAAAGCTAAATCCGTTGGAAAAGGTCACTGACCAAATATAGACCTATATAAAGAAATGCAGTATTCTTGGTTTACAGGTGAAAAACATAATTAATGAAATATGTCGTTTTTATGGGAACAATGAACTTTTTTTTTATCTGTCACATGGTGATGTAAGAAATTTAAAAGTGTTGTGGATTCATAAAAAAGATGCACCTCATACACGCCGTCCGAAAACTGCAACTTCGCCAAACATGATCGAATTGTAAAGGCTTTGATTGCTTGTGATGCAAGATTTACAACTAGGTATATTGCATAATGCGTTGGTATCTCTGTAGGAGCCGCTAATACAATTCTCAGACGTGATTAAAAAATTCGAAGGACAGTGCCTGAATGATATCCCATCTCCTTACAAAAGAGCAAACACTTGCTCGATTCAGAATCTCCAAACAATTGTTGAAACAGTTCCCATAATGCAACAATCGATTTTTCGCAAATATCATCAGTGGGGATGAGACGTGGGTTCATTTTTATGAACCCAAGCGAAAGATACATAACAAAATATGGGCAACAAAAGGAAATCAAAGATCTTGCAAAGCAGAAAGTACCATGAGCGTGAGTATTTTGAGAGATTGGGGTAATAATTTGGCAATGTTTGTTAAGCACTTCTGAAAATTGACCCCGTTGCATTCATATACTACTTAACTTTGCTAAGCACGATATGTTTGAGTAATATAGATAGTTTGGGATAATTTATTCAACTCAGTGCGAAAGGTTTAAAATGTTGACTTACTGATTTGTCAATTCAGCTGACGAATTTAACCCTATAAATGAGTTTTACACTGATTTTGTGCTGTCCCCATGCAGCGTGTTTTCCAAATTTGTTAAATTGGTGTTTTTGTTTACAGTTTTAAACTTAATACCGTGTTTGTGACCCGTGACTATCAATGACAGCTTGGCAGCGCCTACTCATACTCCCTTTTAGGTTTCTGATCGCTCTAACGGATATGGCTGTCCATTCTTGGACCAACATGGATCCAAGTTTCGGATGGTTCTGAGTTGCAGCTGACGAGCAGAAATTCTAACCTGCATCTCATTCCATATGTGTTCTATTGGATTAAAGTAAGGTGAGCGAGCTTGCCAGTCCATGTGCTCAATAGACTCCCTTTCTAGGTAGTCCTGGACCACCCTGGCCCTATGGGGCGAGCATTATCGTCCATTATAATGAACTGATCGCACCTTGCTCCAGCAAACAACCTAACATGGTTGTCTAAGATGTCATCTATGTAATGCCTTTTTGTCAATGTGCCTCTATTAGCACAACCAGGTCGGTCCGTCCATGTCATCTGATGCCTCCCCACACCATAACTGACCCAAAACCGTAGCGGCCATGCTCAGCAATATTTCAGCCTGAAACCGTTCACCTCGTCTTCTGCAGACTTTAGAACGACTATCTGTGCAGTCTATGCATAACCTGGACTCATCAGTTAACAGAACATGTCTGGCAGTGTTGCATGGTCCACCATGTAAGCTCCATTGTCCATTCCAAACGGGCTTTGCAATGGCTTAATAATGAGCATTTAAATAACTTTGCAAGTACAAATAGCAACTAACATTCACGATAATTATGGACTCTGATCTTATGACTGTTTCACCGACACAAAATCAGTTACAGCCAATTTACTTTCAATAACTTTCAATAATCTTAACGCCTATGATTTCGAGATAACACGTGTAGGTCAGAGTCCCATATGATCAACACAAAATATACTATGTTAATAGTTACAATTTTCTATACTCACTCTGTCTGACGCGTGCTTACATGCTAAAATCCACCATTACTTCGCGTCGCACCTTTTCACCTCGCTTAAAAAGGATCGTACCTCTATACATTCAAGTAGGTTTGAATTGAAATCCGTATTTTTAAATCGACACTTGCTCATTTTGGTACGCCTTACATCTTTTCAATATCTCTTCACAAACTGATTACATATGATTATATCAACTTCGCTAAAGTGACATCAATGAACTGGTAAAACAGAAATAACTCGAAATTGACATACCCCGGAATTGAAAAATATTTTGGGTTTTTACCCAGCTAATTCATAGGTTAAAACTTTTACAGCTTCGAAAATAAGTGCAACAAGTTGACAATCTGATTAAAATAAACACATGATTATCGCTACGCATTAGGACTTTACTACGGAAAGCCATGGCTGTCTGATATGGTTCTTTTTCAATTTATTTAACCATTTGGATAATATATAAGTTCACTTCGACTATATATGACTTGAAAACACCTTCTTATTTAACCGGAATCCATTATATTAATCCACAGTTACAATATATGAAACCATACTGTCCGTGTATGAAACCGAGTTAGCAATATATAAGTTGATTTTCTCAATATATGATTCCAATTCTTCAATAATTTTTAGTTTTTGCCATAATTGTGTTCGATTTAATATTTTCCTATTATAAAATCATCAATTATCCAACAGAAATTTCTGTAAATATCGATCAGAATGTATTAGTAGCGCTCAATTCTTAAAAAAATGGGACAGTCTTTTTTAAAATTCGGTTAGCTTTAATATTGTTTCATATACATTTTTTACTATCAAATATTAATCACCATAATAAAAGTCATTTTTTAAAAAAAATATGTTACTTATGAAACTCAACTTGATAGCGACGATAATGTGCACAATATTATTGTATCATGGGCAAAAAAGAAACAACAGTACCAAGTTCAAGATTGTATATACTGGTGTATAAAACTTGTACATACCGTTAGTTTGATAGTTTTTTTAATATACTTTTGTTGCTCCTCTGAAAACACTCGGAATGTAACAGATACATTGGTAGTGTCGGAAGGGTCTGGAAAAAATCATAATCAATTTTCCTAAAAAGAATAAAAAACAACAACAAATAACAAGAAATAACAACAGCAATTAAAAGGACTCAATTATTCTTTTGGTCTGTTTCGTTTGTTGATCTGAAGTAATTTATAGGGAGTAGAATGTAAAATCTTACTCCCTTAATGCAACAACATTATGTCGAAAAATATGTGTGAATTTTATGTAGATATTAATCGTACCAGACACAGAATTACAGTATGGCGGGAACAACCATCCTTGATCTTCGTAACATGTCATTTGACTGTTCCCTCTTAGCTCATAGCCGGCATTACACGTGACATTCGCCGTGCAACCCGCCAGTGCACACGTGTATGAAAGCTGCGCGTTTGTCACAGTTGAATTGCAGCAATCTGAAAGTATACAATTAAAATAATAAAACTGGTGGTAAAAATATGCTCGTTATATCAACTACTTCAAAATGTTATTTTGCTGGTTATTTTGTAATGTATCATATTCGGAATACAACATGGATATTTTAGCATATTAGTACTGATATTTGCATTTGAGTAAATTAATAATAAAAAAACACCAGTCCATCAAAAAGACGTTACCTCAAATTAAAACATAATAAGACATGACAAAAGTGATAAAATGAGTGTAAGTTAGATATTGAATTTATTGAACGAGTTGAATAAAGTTAAAGATCCTGTATGTTTTGTGATTGATATTGTTACTGTGTGTATACCACACTTGCAAAAAATTATATATATATAATTATGCAAATAAATCAATTTTCAAACATCGAAGAATATGTAAAATGTGTACTTCAAATATTTGTGCACATTATATTTAATCAAAAATTTACATGCATTCATTTCATATTGGAAAATTTGACTTAGAATTTAGAGAAAATAAATTTCTAATAACCTCCCTTTATTTACATGAAATGTTAAATTGGGTAATATCTTTATAAATAATGCTTATTGGAACTTACAATATTGACAAATCTTTTTTGAGCATCATTTTTATGAAATAAAACCATGAAAAAAATTGTGTGACAGGATCTTTAAATTACATGCAAGCCTCTGGCAAGCAAAATATTATTTTATTCAACGAATTCAATAAATTGAACTTACAGGAATAAAATATTCTATTTATCACGAAATAACGACTGTTTAAAGTGAAAAAAGAATCATTTTTCAATGACGCGCCTATAGGGAAACGCTAACATTTAGCGCGTGTTTACACTATGTTTGTATAACGCAAATGACGTCACATCAAAATATATGCACGGCGGTGCGATACCGGTTTTGCGGAGTCGTGATCAAAACATAAAAATGAAGAGATTGAATAAAATAAACACGTTTTTTTAGTAAGGATGAAGCATTTGTAAGACATGGGAATAAAATAAAATATTACCTTCTTTAAAAAGCAATCCTTCTTTACAGCTAAAGAACCTTCATATATATTCAAAGCACCACCATCAAGTTGTTATCTTGTAAGTAAAAATGCTACGACGGATGGACAGAAATACGCCAGGTGTATAGCATAATATAAGCAATTTTCTAGGATATATAATTAATGTACTCAATATAAGTGATCATCCTATGAAGTTTGACAGTTGTAAAACAATATTAAGGTCATTTGATATTGACTTTTGACCTTGTGACGCAAACATAGATATGGATCTTTTATTCAATATCGGCAATCATCCTATGAAGTTTGAACGCTGTAAGTCAAATTGAACTTGTGTTATGTTCCAGAAAACACAATTTTCAGTGTTAAGATCATTGTGAGCTTGACCTTTGACCTTATGACACTAAAATCAATAGGGGTCATGTATTAGACATGTCTGTTCATCTTATAATATTTTACAGCTGTAGATTGATTAATACTTAAGTTATTGAACGAAAACCGTTTCCAGTTTTAAGGTAGTAATGACCTTGACCTTTGACCTTGTGACCAATGAGAAAATAGGGGTCTTCTACTCAATATTTACAATCATTCTATGAAGTCTGAACACTGTGGGCCAAATGGATTTTACGATATGCTCCAGAAACCACAATTTTCAGTGTAAAGATCATTGTGAGCCTGACCTTTGACCTTATGACACTAAAATCAATAGAGGTCATGTATTGGATATGGCTGTTCATCCTATAAAATGTTACAGCTATAGGTAGATCAATACTTAAGTTATTTAGCAGAAACTGTTTCAGTTTTAAGGTAATAGTGACTTTGACCTTTGACCTTGTTACCCCAAAATCAATAGGTTCTTCTACACAATAATGACAATCATCCTGTGAAGTTTTCAAACTGTGGGCTAAATGAAACTTAAGTAATGCTCGCTCCAGAATCAACAATTTTCAGTGTAAAGATCTTTGTGACCCTGACCTTTGACCTTATGACACAAAAATCAATAGGGGATTTGTTTTGGACTTAACTGTTCATCCTATTAAATTTAACAGCTGTAGTTTGATTAATGCTTAATTTATTAAGCGGAAACTGTTTTCAGTTTATCTTTGACCTTGTGGCCCCAAAATCAATAGGGTTCTTCTGCTTAATATGGACAATCATCCAATGAAGTTTGAATATTGTGGGCCAAATGGGACTTAAGTTATGCTCCGGAAACTGTTTTCAGTTTTAAGGTAATAGTGACCTTGACCTTTGACCTTGTGACCCCAAAATCATTAGGGGTCTTTTACCCACTATGAATAAAATCATCCTATGAAGTTTTAATATTGTGGGCCAAATGGAAGATATGCTCCGGAAACCATATTGCTAACGGACGGACGGACAGACGCCCGGAATTTTCTCGGGCATATAAAAAGATAAATAAAAAGACAAGAATCGCCGGAATGCGACGAAAACCAGATTTTCAACGACTAAGTTTTGATGTGACAGCAATCGAGAGGTCAAAGTGCACTGAAGTTATTGATTAGAAGCTGAAAACTCTATTGTAAGCAAATGACCTTGACCTTGCTCCCAGATATCTAAGTGGCAATTCAAAGCTGCCACACAGCACGTTTGGTGTCAAAAGATCAAAGCAAACTCAAGTTATTGAGCGGAAACTGAATTTCTATTTTTAGTGAGAGTGACATTGACCACTGACACCTGGGTGCCTCTTGATATAAGCTACCCATATAGCAAGTTTGGTGTCAATTGGCCAAAGCAAACTAAAGTTATTGAACGGAAACCAAAAGTTGACAAACCTGCCCGCCCGCCGACTTCGGCATTACAATTACCCGGTTTTCGTTGAAAAAACCTGGTTAAACAAGTGGGAAAAGACCAGTGACTTATCATTTATACACTTATAAATGAAAGTAAAAAAAATCGTTTGCTTGGAATTTCAGTAAAAAGTTAGGAAAATGTTCCTTGTTTTGACAAAATACTTACTGTAAATGCAGGTTGGAGTAATACTCCAGGTACCATTGCCCATGCAAGTGGCTGTCGCAAATCCTTGTAGCTGGTAATTTGTATAACACGAAAATGTTATTATGCTTCCAAATGAAGTATTTCCGGAAAATGTCGAAAAGGTAACATTTGGGTCTCCACACTCTATTAAAATAAAAAGAATTATCATTTCGTTTGTAGAAAACATTTTGGCAATGAAAAATCTGGTTATGCGTTGTGTATTTCTGAAGCATTAAATGCCCACTTTACCTCAAAAATGCTATCATTTTTAATTCTTACAAACTGTTTATTTTTAGTTTATTGCTATGATCTCCAAAATCATGCTCATTTGCTATATATACGTGAACTTTCTTTTGCATCTTTAGCTATGTTGGCAATTGGTATTTATAATTGTAGTAATTTAGTATTTTGTATGGAAGTCACAATACTTCTTTTGTTTACAATTAGGTACCTTTCCAACACATAACTGCATATTCAGCGCTACTTTCTCAGTTTTAAAACAATTAACATGCATTTAATCCATTATCAAACAAATGTTTGATATTTCTAAAGTACTAAAGATATATGGATTTCTGAGGGAGGCATAATACGCCTTGAAAATATTTCATATATATTTACGACAGATTGGAAAGTCTCGTGTGAAGTAAAATTCAACTATTGTAAAACATTGAGAGAAAGTGTTTATCAAATTCAATTGAATCATTTTGACTTTTCTTATTATGAATTCCATGATAGGAATAAACGCTTTTTTTCATTTTCATAAAAGTTTTACAAATTATCATAAATATATGTCATTCGGATAAAATGAATCGCTATGAGTAATGCAGATAGTTTTTGTCAGTCAACACATGAGCCTATTTTATCAACATTCAGCATAACTTCTTATTATATTTAAGATATAACGCTCATATTAATTATCTCCAAATATCTCGACTCACGTTTAGTTGAATTACAAAAATGTACATGTCCTTACATTTGACAAAATGCTGTTCTTTTGTTCGTTTCGTTAAGGTGACAACGGAGTCAATTATCACTGAAAATACCTAAAATGAGATTTTTTGCTACGTAGATTTATCAACCTTTTCTGAACACATTCGTGATTTAATTTTGGAAGCAGTTTGTCCAAAAAAAATGTGTTTTTAAACGTTTTAAAACGGTACCTATACTATTTGTATCTGCTATTCGCGTAACCTGTCGATTATCGATAACGCTCCGCCCCCTGTTGAGGCATCAATGAGGGAAATCGGTAGTTCCATATATCCGGGTCCATATTGGTCCATACTTCTCGTAATACATGTATCGTACAACTACCGTACATCTTTTATGAATATCTCAACATTTATCCTTTTATTACAAATTAAGAAATTGTCGGCCAATGTACGTAACATAATGAATGAAACATAAATAATTAAGATAGCGGCAAATCGCACGACCACGTGGTTGATTAAAAATGTAGTTGCTAAAATATCCATAATATGTGAAAATAATTTGTCTGTCCCGTTAATCTGATAGATATTACATTGAGTTGATAGACTTTTGTACGGATTCAAGGGCTTACTTTACATTCAACCTCGTTTCCTAACAATGTCAAGTAAAACAACAACAAAAACAGACAACATTTTTTATGTGAACGCCTATATGACTTGTGGTAAGGTGTCCCTGACAAATTTCTAAACCATTTTAGATTGTCTAAGGATGATTATTTCTCTATAAATAAAAAAAGATATTAAAATATATTCTCAGTGAAAATAAATTGTTCGCCAGTAAATCGGACACAGTACTAATAAATCTGAAATTTATTGTCAATCCCGGTAGAAACTGGATCTCTATGCCGTGCATAGATGATATTCATAATAGAAGTCAAGAAGGCCAGATCATAATGATCGAGTAATACCTTTTATTTCTATTAAAATATGTGAAGCATTATCAATTTGGTGGAAAAAATATATAATATCCCGTTCTTATTTGTACATCTAACATGGACTTTAAAAGA